TTAAACGCCTAAGAATGCTTTGTCCAGCATTCGAATTTAAGTGGAAAACCATCCCAGGCCTTTTTTTTTTTTCTCTAGTCAAACAATCAAGAGTGCACATGGATATTTTTCCTATTTTTGAGGTCAACTAGAGTTTATCTGCCACAGGACAAATCCAGGTCAAAACTGTCATCAATTTTTCTTATCAAACAAGAATACATTAAAGAGGGGGGACAGGGATCCACACGTCAAAAACATCTAAGTCTGCTATAAGGGCTGGGGAAATGCTTCTCCATACCTAGAAAAAGATCTTTGTGAAGTCTGATAAATGGCCTCAGATGGTGTTACTTGAGCCTGCACTGGTTAGGGCTGAATACTTTTAGGTAAACTAAGAACATTTTCAGAAAATTTTGATGTGGGGCACCAGTTTGACTCAGCAGTATAGCATGCGCTTCAAGTATAGAAGCTGTAGTCGTCTTCACAGCAGCCACTGGTTTGACTCCCAAATTGAGTCTTTGCTGCATGTCCTCCCTCTTCTCTCTACTCCACAAATTGTCTGTCTCTGAAGTTTTTCTATTTTTTAAAGTTTGAAAAAAAAAAAAAAACAAGAACAACTATTGACGTAGAGTTTGAAAAAAAGTGAGTTTGCACTGCAGTCTGCAACATGAAGCTTCTCTAAGCAGTACTAAAGCTTCACCTCAACCTCAAACTTAAGTGTTGTCCAGTTGCATTGTGGGTAATGCTTGTGAAAGAAAAACAGAATATGTTTAACATAAAATAGATTCTTCGGTTTTTGCAACAGTAATTTTGATCCTCTCTTAAAACATTTGGAGTCTAAATCAGAAAAAAAAGCAGCACTAAAATCAGCAGGTGTGAAAAAAAAAATCATCATGGCTGCCCTCCGTTTCCCCCAGCACCGCCCCATCTTCTCATCACTGTGGGAGACGAGCCTTGTCAGGAGCGAGGCATGATGAGGAGCAACCTTATCACTCCAATACGAGAGCAAACACAGGAGTCTTTACAGCACGTTGTCTCAGGGAGCAGCGCACGGTGAGATTACTGCCCTTTAAGAAGCCCTAAGACACGACCAATCCCAAGTAGTGTTTTATCTTGACAGTTTGCCGTGCTTTGTTTGCCTTTTTCTGTGAAGCCTGGGGATAAAAGAGCAGCCTCTGTGAGCTGTGTCTGATTAGGATCTAATTGTTAACATTCACTGTGCCGTTTTTCTTTTTTTTTTTTTTTTTAGTTATCATCAGCCTGGTGTAGCCGTACAGCAGCAGGTAGAGAGGGCCTTTTCAGTGTTATGAAGGACTCTCCCCTCGCTGCTCTTGTGTGTTACTCAAGTACTAGTTAGCACTAAGGTGGCAGGAGTGGAGCCCCCAGCTCGTCGACATCAACAACAACAACAACAACAACAACATCAACAAACAGGAATTGATGGCGAGTGTTTATTATCTGGTTTAATTGCTCCTCATCTGGAGGATCTGACAGTTGCGGTTAATGAGAGAGGGAGAGGAGGCACGCGCTGTTGGCATGCAGCTTCATAGTGTAAGACATGCGTGTGTGTGTTTGTGTGTGTGTTTGTGTGTGTGTGTTACTGTTTGTCTGTAGGATTGTTGAAGAAGATAATGGACCACTTACAGCCTAAATGAAAGAAGACAAAGATGTGTAAGAGATTTTGAAAAAGCCCTTTAATCAAGAATTTCAACCCCGTCCTGGAGCCTCCTCTTCTTCTTCTTCCTGTAGTCTGCATACCATTACAGCCATTACAGCATACTCTGTGAGAAATACACCTGTGAACCTGCACACACACATACACAAACACACTGTGCAATGGATCTGAGCCCCTATGCAGGCTATGAACGCACAGATGCCGAGCAAAGACAGGATATCACTGAAATCAAGCCTCTTCCCCCAATTTTTCATCTGGCCCGCAGCAGAAGGCCCTGGCAGAGGTCCAACAAGGGACCTCCCTGACATTGTTTAGTGTCACGCACACACAACAAGCATGGTGTGACAAAGAAAGCAGAGAGGCCAGTAAGCCTTTATGCAAGAAGGGGGTGCTTGGTGCAGGCCTGGAGGACAGACGCAATGTTCTCTCCTGCAAGAAAAGAAGAAAACCTTGGATTCACACATAAACACATATGTAAACACACACCACCACCACAACCACCATCACTGGCTGGCTCATTCATAAATTTCTCCCGTTGAGAAACATGGGCACATCTCAAACAGGGCATACCCGCCCCTTTTACTACTCCCACTCAGCAGGCCCACATGGGAACAATTAGGGGTATACGCAAGTTTGGCGAAGGTCCGTAGCAACCAGCTGCATCTGTTTTTATTTACCTTTTGCTCTGGTGCCGGATAATGTCATGAGCACATCTGCTACTGTGCAACGCAACCGTGGTTACATGCGTGGTTGACCCATGATTCTGTAATTACCCGCTGAGCGAGATGAAGAGGCCCAACAAACCACTCAAAGCCACACAAAGCCTTCCTCCCCCTCTCCCTACCCGCGTCTCCGCAGTGGCATGAAATCCTGTCTGCCTCGCCAAAAACATGAGGCTGTGTAAAGCCAGAAAGAGAAGGATGCTGAAGTGGCATTTAATGACCAAAAGTTGGCATTGCAGTCATTCTGATTTCATTTTGGTGTCACTGAAAAAGCCAGTCATTAAATGACTCTCGTTCTATTATGTTGGATCAAATGTGGTTATTCTCAAATTGAGTCTAGATGATACACACTTATCAAATTTCCTGATCTGATCTGATTGTCTGTTTGTGGTCACAGGACACAGGCTAGCAGGGTTTGTCACCCGAGCTTGTTTTTAGACCACTTTGGGAGGTCTGACAACTTTCAACGTACAAGAAATATTTTATTACTGTAAGATAGAAGATAAAAGTTCAGAGATCTAATCAGGGAAAACATTTGGTCTGAACCAGAACTTCCTGTTAATCTTTCCTCTGAGTGGCCCTCAGATGCACGAAAGTTAAAAGTGTAAGGGATTAGTCACAGGTATCAAATTCGGAGAAGGCAAAGTGGAGGAAATAACCTCGTGATGTCTGAAAGTTTTGAAACAAACAGACAAAAAAGATAGTCACTTTCTTCAAAGGCCCTGTGTTTGTTTGAAATTCTCACAGTTCACATTACTGAGCATCTTTACACAGAAAAATTCAAAGCAGCCAATCAACATGGGCCTTGTTTATAGTTATGATGAGTGATTATGAGCAATAACAATGAAGACCATATATGGATCACTTCACAGAAGCAGCAGTGTGTGTGGGGGTTGGGTGCCACCATGCTTAGCATCTCCCAGATGTGCAAACCATATGCTCTGACTGAAATTAAAACAAAAAAGAAACAGTGAAACATGAAAGGGATTTTTAACTTTTCAAAGACAGTTAACAGTCGCTACAGATAGGGTAATGACCGAGAGAGGCCACATGAAAGAAGTGGGGATGTTGGCGTGCTTTTTGCACCACTTATTCCATTTCCTGCTCACCAGTTCACTGAGCAGATGGGGACCAAAGGCACAAGGAAGTTTAGATTTTCTGCCCCACAGCCCATTGTATATGATGCATGTAAGTGCGTAACACTGCACTGTTATCATTTACAGACGCTTTGACGCATAAAGGTCACAATAACAAAGGTGAAAATAGGGTGGAAACCCCAGTGAAATACCCCCAGTTATTTAAGTAAAAGTTGCTCTTCTCTGTGTATGTTTTCTGTGAATGTATGAAAGGTTTTCATTTCTACAGCTGCTTAATAACTTAAAGTAGCTTGTGTGAACAGCCCAAATGATCTCCCTTTTTCTACTCTTTGCGTCTCTCAATTACATTTTAGGATTGAGCTCAACTTACAATGCAGACAAAAATAAAGTATGAGAAAGTTTCGGTAGAATGCTGTTAAACCAGTGAATTCAAGTAAAGGAAATCTGCACTCAAGCCGCACTTGCTAAACAGTCTACTGAAAACAAATTCAATAGTGCCCTCTTCTGTCTGTTCAATATACTGCAGTAAAGCCTTCAAAGCAACATCACAGCACTTTCATTTCTATCATAACCAAGGTTTTTGATATGAGAAAAAATGTGAATAAAATTTCAGTCTGAAACTCATTAAAGTAGAATTTAAACACATAATTGAAAATCACAGTGTGGAGACAAGAGTTAAATCAGGTGGCATCAGCCCTAACAAGTGCAGGGTTTTCTCTGCATCAGTCTGTTGTGCTGCTTAGACACAGGAGTGTTTATTCAACGCCTGCCTCGTCTGTGTCTGGATAATGTTCACCCTCAGGCAGCAGCTGGCAGAGCTCTGGCTGAGTTTCTGCTTGTATAATCAACCTCTCCTGCATTGACTGACCACAGCTTCACCTTACAAGATGGCAAACAGACCTGGAACATGTGACGACAATGACGACCAAATCAAAAGCAGTGAAGCTTAATAACAAACAAGTATCTGAAAAGATTTTTTTTTAAGTCTTGCTTTTATTTTGTATCATAAAACTTGATTCTCTTACTTTTGGTGTCATATTTTTATTCAGTTTCTCTCCTCTTTGCCATTATGTATTACTTTTGTTACAACTTCTAGCTCACTTCAAATGTATTTTATTGATGAAAGGTGCGATATAAAACCAAATCATCAGTTGATTGAGCAATAAACAAAAGTAAGTGCCTGATGTGACTACAGTAAAAGCCTTTCAATGGTTAGTGGTCAAAATATCATCCAATAATTAATCACCACTTAAGTTTTATTGTGTTCATCAGCAACACACTCACCTGCACATAGCCCTGTGTTCTCCATGCTCCAGTGCTTTTTGTGATATGTCTCTTTGAAGGTGAGCACAATTTCTACCCTGTAGAATGACTGCAGGAGTTGTTTGCTGTCTGGATGGGCCTGTCAAACAAACCTGATTTAGATGTTTTACACTGTTATGAATCTTTATTGGGAAGAAGAACAGAACTTATGTTTCTATCAAATGTCTAAAGCTTGTCTAACTGTATTACCTGTTGCTTCAGTCCCAACTTTTGTCTTGAGTGTGGGTTGTAGTTAAAACATAACTGCATGCAAAATTCTGCATGCAGAATTAAAGTCAGTGACAAGACTTTGGATGGGCATTAGCAGTGTGCATGACAACAGTCTGTGTGGGAAGTAAAAAAATCAACTTTGATGTAATCCAAATTCCCACAGGCTAAAATTAGCTTTAATTAATATCTACAAACAGCTCTAGAGGAATACAAGTGCAGCAGAGTCACTTCCAAGAGCTGGCAAAAAGAAGGTTTTAGCCAAAAGTCTAACATCAAAAAATGCCTGCAAACATCACTTCTCTGCTCCCAAAATGACCACACACCCTATTTGAGGGGAAAACACATGCCATGCACTATAGGCTATGACATGGACTGTACCTGAGAATCGATACTAACAGTGTTCACTGACTGTGAAGTTAAAAGGTTTAAAACGCCCCCTTCTAAATTTTCTAAAAGGTTAAGTTTTAATAAATTCCTTTAATTTCAAAATATTTGGTACTAGATTGACCGAGTAGAGGAGGACCAGTGAGGGTAAAAGTGATGAACTCTAACTTTCAATAGCGTTGATGATCGTCGATTAGCATCTGCTTCAACTCAATTACTGTGCACACTTAAAACCAGAGGGATCTGATGCCCAGGAGGTAGAGCAGTTGTTTAATAACTGGAAGGTTGGCGGTTTGATTCTGCCCAAGCCAAGTCTGTCTGTCGTGTCCTTCAGCACGACACTGAACCCACCTTGCTCCCAGTGTGTGTCCTCTATGGGTGTATGATTGTGAGTGATGTTTGGTTGTGGTAGGGGAGGCCATTGGCACGAATTGGCAGCCATCTTTCTGTCAGTCTGCCCCAGGGCACCACCAGGGTGTGGCTGTGTGAGTGAATGAATGATGTATCCGTGGGGTCACTGATAAAAAGCATTATATAAAATCTGATGCATTATTATCATTTTGTTTCAGGTGAGTGAAATGCATTGTTTTGATCAGCAGAAATTATGTGTTGTCAGTCCTGCAGCTCTAACTGTCACTTCTGCCCATGTCTTGGCTTTACCAGCCCAATATATCAGTGCCTATCGGGGTACTGTTTTGGCTACGTCTCACAAGGACAATAAATGGCGCTCACTTGACCTCATAGCGGCTGCCTTTCACCTTTTATTTCAAACAGTTTTTAAAAATCAACACAATTTATGTTTTAATTTTCTCCAAAAAAAAGGATGGAAGAAGAGCTCTGCACTTCTGGGTCATGTATGAGAATTTATTATCTCTTGAGAGGCATTATCTCGTTTCACTCACAAATGGAGTATAGTACAAGACAAATTCCAACATAGCGCTTGCAACCCAGAAAACCTTTAGATCATTAGCTAGACTACAAACTTAACAGTAAAACTGGACTTGAGTTTTGTTGATTTTTCATCCAGGAATAATGTCTACTTTTCATTTTGACAGTTTAGGGAGCATGTTTATCAACCAATTTTTAGTAAATTCAGACTAAAGAAATTCCAACCATTTTGAACTTTGGAGATTCATGCATATTTCTCAAGTAGATTAAGTTAAAAAATAAAGTAGTCAAGCTGTATTTTCTGATACTTTCTAATTCTGACCTGTGAAAGAAGAGCTTTGGGGCTTTGGGCTATCTGTGTCACCAGATATTCCACAAACTACAAGCACAAAATTGGCTGTATATTAGTCACATCATATACTTTTGACAAAAATGTATGTGTACATCAGTGCAACCCCACAGTCACTTACTAAAAGGATAAGTGTATGAAAAATTCAAGTGGAGCAGGATCCAGGCTGAGGAAAGAAAAACCTAACATCCTGTCTTTACCTCACAGCTGTATTTTGTCATTAGTCCATGTTAGTTTACAAATAAAGTCTATTAGCATCATGGAAAGATTGATCTTATGTTGATCTAGAAGAAGTGGTAACTGTGGGTTTCCTATGGCCAGAACAGTATTATAATTTTGAACTCACTTTTGAATGACTAAACACTCCTGAACTTTAATTTAGTGTCATAATGTTGGGATCTTATGCATCCATGCATTGCCAAGAACGTGTGAGTGCTTTCCGCAGCCACAGTCACCCTAGCAGCAGAGAAAATATTAGACTGGAAACACTAGTGGGGAGTCACCAAGTACATTCACTTGAGAGCTGTGCTCAAATTTTGAGGTATATGACCATTTTAGGTAACTTTATATTTTAACTTTACTCGATCATAGATGAAAATACTGCAGCTTTTACTTATCTATATATTTAATGGCTATTATCAGATCATTTGCAGATCCATGGCATCAGCTTGAGGCCTTTTTAAGTTATTCAGACACGTTTTTATGACTCCTCAAGGCCCTGTGATGTAAAATCAATAATTATTCATAAACTCAATCAATCAATTAATTTTTATGCATATTGTGCCAAATCACAGCAGTCGTTATCCCATGAGTAACATGAGTGAAGTGCTTTTCAGTATTTAGCAGGTTACGGTGGCAAGGAAAAATTTCCCTTTGACAGGCAGAAACCTTGAGCAGGACCAGACTCATGTTAGACAGCTACCTGCCACCACTGGGTGGGGGAAGAGAGAGGATGGATGGAGATACAAAGAGAGAGAGTAATAGACTCCAAATTGTAAAAGCATTGGAGTAGATCTTTTGTTTGTGTCACTTTTCTCTTATAAAACACTTCTCTCCTCTTAAGATTTATTTTTATGACACTTTCAAAGGGGCCTGACCTGCAGATTGGTAACCTTTTCAGAGTAGATTACTGCCCCTGCAAACAGTAATGCAAGTAATAAAATATTAAAACTGATTGACTCTAACATTATTTGAATAGCATTTTTCTCTTTTTTCTCTATCATGATCGGAGTTAGTATATTTGAATGCTTGATTTCATATGATCTTTACATTATTAGATTGGCACACAAAATAAAATGTATTTCTATCTCTGACTGAGACATGACAAGGTCAATGAAATTTTGGAGCTGTTCACGTGCCTGATACACCTGTAGTAACTTTTAACTTTTAGTTCCCAATAAAGGAGACCCATTTGTGGACAGCAGCTTGCACCTGATTTTTTTGCATGAGTTTTTGAACATGGCAGATTTACTTTTATTTTGTTTTTGTAACTGTAATAAATATAAAAAGTTCATTTCAGCTATGCTACTCTCATAAATAATGTGCATACTTTTAGCCTTGAAAGTATATGCATTTTGAGCCTAAGGTCTTCATGACCATGCTGTTGTTTGTCTCTATTCACCAGTCCTTTTTGTGAAGTATCTTGAGATAACATTAGTTGTAAATTGAAGCTATGAAAATTAATGATTTACAAACTGATCATTGCCCCTGGCTGGTCCTGTTTACAGGGGGATCAAAATCTACTTGTCAGAGCAAACAATGCAACACCTGGCAAAGGCTCTAGTAACATCATGCAACTAAACTCCTTAGACTCGTAAAAACTGAACCCAGCAGTGTAACTTCCACCACTTCAAAACAGCACATCACCATATTGTTAATAAGTCTCCTCTAGTTTGTTGTTAATAAGTCTCCTCTCGTTTTATTAGTGGTACTAGTTTGACTGGAGTGGCCAAACTGGAGCTTTAACATTGGACGGGTTGGTCAGGTTTTTTAAATTTTAGGGGCTTGGGGACACAACCCAAATAGTTGATTTAAATATGGGTGCTACCTCGACAAAGGCAAATAGCATTCAGGATTATGCTAACCTCCAGTTGCTGCTTCAATCAAATTTAAAATCCTACTTAATATCAAAAAACAGTTACAAAAACAGCCCCATCCAACCTGCTATTCCTAACCCAGGTCTCTACATCCCCTCCTGCCTACAATGCTCTCACATCACGACCCTAATAAGTCACTCATGAGAATCTTCTCCTCTGTTGTTCTCAGGTGATGGGATGAAATACCTAAATCCATTGGATTTAGTGAATTTACGAATTCGGGTTTAGGAAGGAAGAAAGAGCTTACCAAATGGATATGCCATGAAATAATAGCAAATGACCTCATCTTATGTAGCTCAAACTTTCTACCACTTGATGGCAGCAGAGACTCTGATGTAGAACACCCCAAGTATGTGTATTTACACTATGTTTTTGAGTAAGAACATTACATGAAAAAAAAAATTCAATGGTGAAGAATAGAGTCAAAAAAACTCTGAGGCGAAACTTGGGTGAAATTACACAGAATGTCCTCCCCTCCTCTATCAACAACGGTGTATGTCTTTACCAAGGAAATGGCTGAGTCCTGGGGTAATACCACTACCTGTACAGTCTCATGGGCTGTGCTACTCCAAAATACAAATGAGCTTAACTTTTCTTTGCAGCACTACAATAATAGAGCTAAAGACTTGGGTCACAGGATTTACTCTCTACTGGAAAGCACTTACATCACCAGGCATTTCACTGAGAAAGTGTAAGGAGTTGATTTATTCTCTTTACCATAATCCATTACAGAACATGGTATCCATGATTTATAATCAACGTGCACGTTCCACGATAAATGTTGGCGGTCAAAGGTCAAACTTTCCGCAAATTGTTGGGCATTGAAGTTTTAATTTCAGTGTCACTGGTAAAGAGCAGAAGGTGAGTATCACAACACATATTTTCACATTTTTTTCATGGTGGTGGGGGAGGGGGGAGGGGGTCAAAAATTAGAACTCCAGTTTAACTTCGATAACATGCCTTTGCTTCACCTTTTATTGAAATAAGATGACATTAAATAAAGAGTTTGCCTCTATTTTTATACTGGCCAAGGGTTGATAATATTACATTTGGTCGGAATATAAATGTCTATTACACTCTGATAAAAAAAAGGCTAAAACACTTGTAGTATTTTTATAAGACACATAGGTGCATGTTGGTGAACAGTTTATTCAATTTCATAGTGCGCACCTTTTGTTGAGGGTTTGAGGTGAGTCCTTAAGGTTCGACTTTAAAGGGTACACCTGGTGCTTAAATCTTAAAACATTGCGAAAACGATGACTACGAATCCAATGTAGTCCATCAGAGAACTTAACTGTACTGTTTGGTTAAAGTTAGGACATAATTGTAGACCCCGAAGCAAACTACAGCGTAAAGGTTCTGAATTTTAACTCTTGACATCCCTACAAAAACTACCAGTGCGCCCTCCCAACCAGATGATGTCATACAAATTGCGCAGCCATTTTGTTAGCTAGCTTGAGGTTAGAGAGGTTGGCTGCAGTTGCACAGCTGCAAATATTCACACTGGTTTGGCGATTTCGCTCTTAAAATTCCACCTCATGAGCAGACCTATCAATGTTATTTTTCATGTACGAATTTCGGCCAAGCGTTTTTAGACAAGAGGAGGGTCCGTGTATTTGTTGACAGTAAACATAGTCCGAAATTGTATGCTCATTCATTTTTCAAGCTGCTTTGAGTTTGCTAGCTTGTTAGCGAGCTGGCTAACTTGTTTACGCGTGCTGCCCATGGCCTAAAGCTGCTACACGTGAGAGAGTTGTGGAGTAAGTCCTAGTTTGGCAAAGTTTGTCTGTTTGCGTCTTTCTGTCGTTGCATTTCAGTTGCGTCATCCCGTTAACAGAAGTAAACCTCCGCGAGCGTCGTCACTACAAACTCGCACGCATCGTCCCGGTGTTTGCTGGTAACTTGAGATCTCTCCGCTGACTCCTCTTGGATCAGCGCTCAGCCAAATCAGACACCATGTCAGAGCTTTACATTCGTGTGGCTGAGGATGAAAACGAAGAGCCCATGGAGATCCCCTCAGAGGACGATGGTACTGTTTTGCTGTCGTCTGTAGCGGCACAATTCCCAGGGGCGTGCGGGCTGCGGTACAGGAACCCGGAGTCCCAGTGCATGAGGGGGGTCCGACTCGTGGAGGGTATCCTACATGCTCCAGAAAACGACTGGGGAAGCTTGGTGTATGTCGTCAACTACCCCAAAGGTGAGACAGGTGATAGTGTTTACAACTTAACTTTACACCGACCAGCCACAGCGACCATGAATACCTGAGCAATGAGGTGCAACCCAGTATACCAGCTCTGCCTCGAATCTAATTTTCTGTATGCTTTTACTCAGTCAATTTTGTTGACATGATCAGACAGATGATAATAAAACTCTAAATTTATTATTGAAGATGTGGAGGTGTACTGAGATGTGTCACAGTAAAAAAATATTTTGAGCGAAACACGAGATAGATCTTTTAATATGATATACTCTACAACACACCAAACACCCACCACAACTTAAACAAGTAATTCAAAGAACAATTATCACCTGTTGAATTATGAAAATAAGTTGAACATGTAAAACATGGGTTTTTCTTTGGTTTGTCCAGGTGTTAATAATGTTGTGGCTGGTCACATTTTCTGATAACATAAGATGAAATTACCCCATATGTCTTGAAAGGGTTGGGTCACTGTCACTGCAGAATCAGACCCGTCTTTGTGGTAGTAATGGTAAGATGTTGGTGTTCTAGTAAACATAACTAGATCTTTGACATTGTGCAACATGATAGACTTAAACGGTCTACAACACCTGTCCTCAAACTCTTAAACAACACAGTAGATGACTTGGTTTGTGCTCGGTGTTACGTGTGGCCTGGAATGCCACTGATGCTCTCTGTCTCTGGTCTCCCTTCTCCTTCTGCCACCTGCACACCTGGGTGCACTCTATTTAACATTTTCTACCTATGGTAGTCCAGTTTTCGCTCTTTTTTTTTTTTTTTCTTACTTGGGTTCCAGTTAGGGTTGGGCGACATTTATATTTTTTCATATCAGTAAATATCGATATATATCGCAGGATAGAAAAATTACTTCTGAATCTTAATTGTTCCCTGTTACTCTTAAATGAAATGTAACAGTGCTTATTGGTAGCATGTCTTTTGCAATACAATAAGCCTCTGCATCTGTGAGGTCTTTGTGTCTCCAACGTTTTGTTGAAGGCGATGCGCTAGAGAAAGCGGACTGAATGGTCGGCTGTTTCGGCTGCTCAGGCGCCATGGGCTCCTTGCTCTACTCGGGGTTAGTAACCTTTTGCACTGCCAGTGTTCTACTGCGTGGCACTGCTTCAGGTGGTGAAAAAGATTTGAGGTATTCCCCAAATTTACGACAACATATACTCACCATATTTTGCAGTGCACATTACTCTGCTTCATGTTCGACCTCAAAAAAAACAAAATACTTCCACACCACCAACGTTCTCGTGCCAGTGTTGTTGACGATATCATCATCTGTTGAACCTTCATCTGCATTTCTGCTGGGGGTAGCACTCATTTTCTTTTTTTTTCTCACCAACAGTGCTGTCGGCTTCACGTGTTAAAGTGCTGTGGTTGCGTCTAGTTGCAGCCTGCTACTACACAGTTGTTTGCTTCTTGGTTCTAATTCAGCACATGATTGGTTCAGCGTCAAGCCGACCTAGAGCAAATCCCCTTTTCATTGGCTATTCGTATAGTCTACCAAAACATGGCAGAATTGATTTTCGAGATATATTATTATCATTTAATCGCCCAGCTCCAGTTCCAGTTATAGTTTTGTTAGGGGGAGGTTCTGACACAACGGTCCATTGCTCGGCTGGGCCAGCATCTTTACCTATTACTTCATTTTGGACAGGGTCTCCAATTCCTTTTGTTTGTCCGTGGTTATTGGATTCATTTTTAGGGAAAATAAAGCATGCGGGGTTAATTTTTCATTCATTTGTGATGTCCCTCTGTTCGTATGTTATGGTCCCTTTGTACGAGCTTTTGGGTTTTTTTAGTGTTAAGGAGGCTGTAACACTTGGGTTTATCCAACATTCAGCTTAGCGTCTTGTTGCTGAATGGAAGCAAATCCCTGCTGCCAGATCTTAGACAAGGGTAGAAAAATTTCTCATAGGAATGGGTTCTGTTATAAGTGCGCACTATTATACATCAAACTTTCAGCACGTGTTGTTCCGTCAGCACTCTTTTAACTGTCTATGTATCATATCTGTTGTTTGTCACTGTCACCACAGTCCTGTTTTGGGTTGAGAGGCTTAAAAACCTTAAACTCCATTTATTGGAGATTTGTATTAACATGTGCTTGCCTCTTTTTTCTTTTGTTACAAATCTATTTTTTGTCCACAGATAACAAAAGAAAGATGGAAGAAATAGACGCTGCCTCAGCTGTAAAAATAAAAAGGGGCTTTCAGAAGACATCAGATCTCATTGTCCTCGGGCTGCCATGGAAAACAACAGAGCAGGATCTGAAAGATTACTTCAGTACTTTTGGGGAAGTCATCATGGTGCAGGTAATGGCAGCTTATCATTTCTGCATCCCACATAGTTGAACACTGATATCATTGATCTTTTCTAGTTTGTTAAAAAACAGAAATAAAGCAAGATTTTTTTTTTCTGCATTCGTTCCAGGTCAAAAGAGATGCTAAAACTGGCAACTCAAAAGGGTTTGGGTTTGTTCGGTTCACTGACTATGAGACTCAAACCAAAGTTATTGCTCAGAGACATATGATTGATGGACGATGGTGTGACTGCAAACTTCCCAATTCAAAGGTAATGAGTTTAATTCAAAAGTAATAATGGTCACAGTTTTTATGCGTAGTCAGTTGTATTGTAGTCCGGCCAAAACAGCTGGCATTGACACCTGAGACGGAATCAGATGTAGAAAAGTCCAACCAAAATAGAAGCAATTATGTAAAAAGTATCCAAGTAAAAGTGCTCAAATATTTAGGCCTTGAAATGTACTGACAGTGTAGTCCAAATTAGACTTCAGAAAGGCTTATCCACCTGACTAATCATACTGGCCCTTACATAATGTTTGGGAGACTCCAGTACTGACATCATAATAAATTTAGATGGCACTGAAATAGAAAGAGAACAAATGGAGAAAGACAACAATATCTGAGCTCTAATTTACGATTCAATTATTTTGAGAATGTTTTGCTTCTCTGAATCTTGAATGGTATATATAACTTAATGTCTGGTACATGGTTAGTTCATTGGAATCCTAACAGGGTGAAACAAGATGACAAAGCATTATCCTATCTAAAGCGTATTATTCTGCCGAGCAAAGTAACACAGAATGTAACTGCTTATGGTTGAAGTTTCTTTGTGAATTAGACCTTCACTCATCAGCCCTGCAGCTGTTCCCTCAAGTGAAGGACCAGATCCAATATCAAATTATCGAGGCTGTATAGCCTACCAATGTAGCATATAATTGTAATGCTAATTTAACTTCATTGTTAACAAACAGAAGTAAAAAGTGCCACAGCTGTTGAGTTGATATGATGATATTATTCAGAATTAATAACTATTATTAAGGGGGTTTGACTTATCAGAATCAAGTATTTGGCAGGTGAGCGGTAAAAAAGCCTGCTACTAAGCACCATTGGGAAGGTGAAAACAGAATTATATTTTCTTAATGTTAAGGACCAGTTGGTAGGATCTTAATGGCCATCTGGCAGTAAGACATTTTTGTTAAGTCCAACTGAATATTTAAGGGTTGATGCTCTTTTTGAAAAGATCATAGTGGGCTGTTTGAAGAGGGTATCAGAGGGCTTCGAGCTTTTAATTAAATTTCAGTTGTGTCAGAACAGGAAGACATTCCACAAACAACAAACTTTAGTGCTGTAAGATGAAATTAAATAGAAGAAAAAAAGAGAGAAATCTCCCTTTTTAGTTCTTATGATTTAAAAATGCTATTAATTGTATTTAAAACTTAAAAAAAAAAAAAAAAAGCTGAGTGATAGTTTTGCAGCTTGAAAGCATTTAACAACGTAGATAAAATAATTCCACAGAAGGTTTACTTAGAAAAAAATGAAGACATAGTTTATCGTTTTCTTCCTTGTCTTTGGCTCCTCAGGCATGTCCAGATGAGCCCATGCGGAGCCGCAAAATCTTTGTTGGTCGCTGCACAGAAGACATGACGACTGATGAACTGCGGCAGTACTTCATGCAGTACGGTGAAGTCACTGATGTCTTCATCCCCAAACCTTTCCGGGCGTTTGCATTCGTCACTTTTGCTGATGACCAGGTGAGATTTAACTTGAGTTGCAGAGTTTGATAATAATTTGGCAGTGTTAAAACGACTGTATTAATAGTCCTTTTGTTCGCTTGCTTCCCAGGTTGCCCAAGCCCTGTGTGGAGAGGACCTGATCATCAAGGGTGTCAGTGTGCACATCTCCAACGCTGAGCCCAAGCACAATAATAGTAGGCAAATGATGGATCGTGGGCGGTTTGGGGCTGGTGGGTTCAGTGGGGGTTACGGCAGTAATCGTGGTGGGCTAGGCAGTGGTAGCGGTGGGGTTAACTTTGGGGCTCTTGGTCTGAACCCTGCAATGGTGGCTGCTGCTCAAGCAGCACTGCAGAGCAGTTGGGGAATGATGGGCATGCTGGCTAACCAGCAGGGTCTGACCACAGCAGCAGGCACAGCCACAACAACCCGAGACCAGACCTATAGCTCTGCCAGCACCAGTTACAGCAGCCCCAGCTCAGCCAGCCTTGGCTGGGCTGCAGGCACTAACACAGCCTCCAGCGGTGGCTTCAGCTCCGGCTTTGGCAACTCCATGGAGTCTAAATCTTCTAGTTGGGGGATGTAGTTAGCTTCAAATTGACCATTTCTGTTGCTATTAGGTTGATCTGGTAAGTATTCTTACAGGGGAACTGCTTATATCTTATGTTCCTATAATTTAAAGAAACACTGCCTTTTATTTTGTCTACAAGAAAATTTATACTTGTGTGATTGATCATGTGGTCATCATTTAATGAGTGAAAATTTCAGTTTTTTAGTGGAAAATGCCACACTCCTTTTATGTTTTTGAGAAAATGTTACACAGATGACTGTGCATGCAAGCTGAATATTTATGAACATGCACGACTATCTCCAGAGCCCCTCAGCCCCTTGTACAACGGGCTTGATATGATGATATGTGTTTATGCAGTTGATTGCATCTTTTTGTTTGTTTTTGTTTGACGTCTTTTGAAAAAGCCTTCATGAAAATCTCTTCTGCAGTTCACCAACTCTTTCCCAATTTCCCGGGAGGAAGCGCCTCATTGGCTGCAATGTTCGCCAGATCTCAGTATCAATTCCCCTCTTCCCATGTGTAAATGCTTTGTCATCAAAGAACACAGCTTCACTCTGCATATACTGTTTTCGACGGTGGGTGTTGTCTTTTTTTGTTGTCTTTTTTTGTCGCTTTTTTGAGATCAATGAGTGGGACTGGTGTTGGACCGAGTGAGAGTGAGCGAACGGGAGAACAAAATGAAAGGAAGCAAGTGTGAGAAGGACTGTTTGTGGAAATCCTTTTTTAAGAGACAAATGCCTGCGAGCGTTGAAGAACCTGTGGCTTTGTGCGAGTGTGAGAGGAGGAAGCAAGTACGAGTGTGTCCCTACTGGCCATCACAAGGACATTTACTGCGTCTCGAGATCTCTGTGGTCTCAGCTTTCTCTCATTGTTCTCTTTAAAAGACAGTGAAAACAAGAGTGCTTAGAGTATTTGTATTCTTTCATAGCTTTCTCTTGCTGTCTGATTTGATGTGAATGCTGTGTCTGGTTGTGTGCTTTTTTTTCTCCTTGTTATCATCCCCTCTGTGTGAAAATGTGTCTTTGTGACTCTGTGAAGTCTGTGTGGGGAGGGGGGCAAACATGGAAAGTGTGTTGAAGTTTGCAAGCAAGTTTTGAGATTGATGTGGTGAGTGTTTGACGAGTTTCCATTGAAAGTTTGTGTTTGAAGTGGTTACGAATGCATTTTCTATGTTTTGTGAATCTAAGGGAAGCCTGAATAAAACTGAATTTGACTAGGTATAACACACCTTTGACAGTGACTTATTTTTTTAACTTTACATTAATGGAAATGCCAACACTTTAATTCACATGTATAGGAGCCTTGGACATGGACAGCGAAGGTTATCGTCTGAATCCAGGTTGGAGTGAGTTATGGACAAACTGAAGACATTGTCGGCACAAAGAGTGGAATTGCTGCACGTCTACCTTAATCCTGAAAAGATTCTTCTTCACCTTCACTTGCAAGAACACCTGGACCATCCTGTCAGGAAATTTTAAGTGGACAACACTCACTTGGTAGAGGTACTTTATACCTACAGATGTCACAAACAGGGCAAATGTCACACTGGAGTGTTAACGGTTCATTTTTATTTCAAACATGAAACATGCAGCCTGCCTTAAATCTAAAACATGCATTCTGTCAGTAAATACTTTATTCTTTGTTACATCAGAACTTAAAGAAGTACTAACTCTAAGGTCTCATTAATGTGAGCATTTAAAAATGGCAGCTTGTGATCTTGTGATGTTTGATTGTAAAATGGTTTGAATGTATGAGCTAAATGATATCCAAAGGGACTTGGAATAACAGACTGAACATACCAGCAGGAATTCACACTTTCTGTATTGAAATATCTTAGAATTGCAGTGCAAAATAAAGGTTTGGAGTTTTTTTTATTGCCTGTCATCTGTTACATCTATAGGTCAGTATAAGTGTTTTTCTACCTGTTTCCCATTTACTCCATTTAGACAGTTTTCTGTAAACTCAGACTTGGTTCTTGGTGTGAAATGTGCCAGAAGTGTCTTGTGTAGTTTGTTGTGTGGTTGTTGGCTGTAGTTAGTGTAGTTTCAATGTTTTACCTGCTGAGGGTGCTGTGGTACCATTTTGGTCTTAGAGCATGTGAAACAAGACTCCCAAGTCATCATTTATTCATTAAAATATATTGATTAGCTGTAACTTTGTGACCACCCACCTGATACGATAAAGATCCACCTCTAATCAGGTCAGGTCCAAAACAGCCCTGACCTGATGAGACATGGACTCCACCAGACCTTTGAAGGTGTGCTGTGATACTGCACCAAAACATTAGTAGCAAATCCTTTAAATCCTGGATGTTGTGAGAGGAGGCCTCAGTGGATCTCACTTGGTTGTCTAGCACATCTTAAAGAAGTTGGATGGAAGGATCAGGAATGTAAAGACCAAGTCAAAACTGCTGCGTAGCTCCAGGCTACCTACCCTGTGGTCCAGTTCTGATGCTCATTCATCTATAGTAGGAGCTTTCAGTGGTGGGTGGATAAGTCTGTGTACCCTCAATAGCCCAGAGTCATTTCACCCAAAACAAGAAAAACTTACATGTGCTCTTAGACATGACTTTCATAACAGTGATTAACTCTCTCAGCACTTTGAGCTGCTGGGTCAGATCACGTCAGTCAGCCTTTACTTAGAAATAGCCTCGAGATGCTCAGTCAAACTTGGAGTTTTTTTCTTTTCAAACCTAAATAACATTCCTGCTGGATGTTTTCAACTGTAGACTTGTTCAAAAACTTTGATTGTAAATGAAAAAAGGCTGTTAAATTGAGATTAAATTGAGTCACTTAACCTACTAGCAGACTAGATTATTTAAATGAGAAGACTAAATCTGTTCACAAGGTGAATTTTGTACAACACTTACTGTTAAGGCCACATACATCCCTTTAGTTACTGGAGTTGAAGTTAAACTTGTTGCTAAACATTTGGGATCACAGGATGAATGGATGTGCTATCTTTTGCATCAAGCAGGTCCAGGGAATGTTTCTGCATACCTGCCCCTCGGTACCTCCCTGATCCACAAAAAGAAAGAGTAGCTCAATTGTTCCTGAGCACCTGTCATTCATCTGTAGTTTGGGGTTTGTTTACTTCTCTGGTAGCGAAACAGTTGATTCCATTGCTCACTGATCCAATATAGTTGTGTCCATATTCATCTGGATTCAGCAAAGTCCGTAAAGTATTTTTATTATTATGTTATATGTTATACAATCTATATGTACAATATTAATGCAATGATCTTAATATAGCTATGTAGTTCAGAAAGGGAACCTGATTGTAAATCTTGTGAGGTATTGCTGTGTTTGACAGTATTTAGATTGAGTATAAAAACCAGTAGTCTGCTCCTGTCCAGAAACAAAACAGATTTATGAAACATACCATCAGACTGGGAGCCATGCTCTTGCATTTAGATGACAATAAACACCAGTTTGTGTTGAGACAGTCTTGCATGAATTCCTTGCTGCAAAGATTGTAGTCCACAACATATGCGGTATATAAGTAATTGGGTTAATTGAAGTAAAGCCTTCAAAAGTGAAAATAACTGCTGAATGCTTGTTTTTTAAAATTCAAATCTTCAATCTGAGTTTAATTGTTTTGGACCGCACCCCTTTTTTGTCTATTGATTGGAGGTTGATTAATATCCTCTTTAGCATCTTCTGATCGATGGGGATGTGCATCACAGAAATACATAAAATTATTCAGTCTTGATGAAATTGATTTGCAATATCCTCTGGTCCTCTTCCTGCTGCGCTGCAGTGCGTCATCCTTCAGTCTTGCGTGTCCCTGCCATCCGGTTAGTCCGTCGATGAGTCAGTGGCCTCTTTATCCACCTGAATAGCTGTTACTGTGCTCCATTAGCCTCTTGTTGTCTGATACAGCCTCCATTTGGCATGAGGCCACATAAATAATCCAAATTAGCCTTTTATTATGAAGAATGTTTTATCCTGTAGTTATGATGTAGAGTAAGAGAAAGGGGGCGTGAATTCAGACATTTATTTAACAGAACCAGTAAAATGTTTGTTAAGGGGCCCTTTGAATGGAAGCAGCAGTTAACCTCTTTCTGATTATGGAGCAGACTGCTTATAGTATTTGAACTGTATGTATGGAGCTAAGCATATGCATGACTATGTTTGTGTTTGTTCTGCTGTATTTCCCTGCAGAATCAAAGCTCGGTCAAGGGGACTCAAACAAAGAGCTCTTTGATCATCCTATAATCCAGTTGGATGGAGGACAGGTATTTGATATAAACACTAACCTGCTAATCAAAAAACTGAGCGGAGGGTGCGCTGAGGTGAGGCTTTGTTTACTGTTGAACAGAGGGTGTAATAGCAGCTGTGACACACTCCTGTCAGACACATTCCCACTACATGTGGGGGTGCAGGCAGTAGCACTGTTCACACATTTATTTTAGCTGTCAGTACAGCTGAGGATAACTTGACAAGGCTCGAGGGAGGAGTGAATAAATGTTGATAATTTGTTTTTAATACAACCTTATCCCTGTCTAAATGAACCTTCAAAATGCTCAAGATGTACGACAAGAGCAAGCCCCAGTTTCCCAGTTAATTCAGACATTTCTTCTATTATTATTATTGTGATTTTGTTCTGCAATGTGACGACCAAGAAGGACAGGAAGTTATGGGACACAAGTTGCATGACCAGTTTAACAAAATGATCACTATCACATTTTTTTTCCTTCAAATCTTTGAGATCATTTCATTTGAATCTGCCATGGGTCTAAGATATTTAATTTGCAGGACAGCAGTTTTCCTTCATACTGAATATTGAGATTTTTGTTGAACTCAATCGTGGAGCAGATAAGTGACACAATTGTTCAGTTGGTGATACAAGCATGAAAATTGGCATGAGAATTCTTCATGGGTCACTTCACTAGGAAAGTGTCCCAGCCATTTGAAATTTCAGGCTGGCGGCCACCTAGGTGGAACAATTAGGTGATGTCCTTGTTAAGTTGGTGATATAGGCATGAAAATAGGTATGAACTGTCTTCATGAGTCACTCAACAAGAAAATACCCCAAGTTGCTTGAAATTTCAAGATGGCAGCTATTTTAAAGATGGCCGCCATCTCTTTAGAGCAGTTAAATGTTGCAAAGTTGGGGATATAAACATGAAAATTGGTAAGGCAATTCCCCATGAGTAACTTAATAAAAAATGCCCTAAGCTGCTTGAAGTATCAAGATGGTGACCATTTTTTTGATTTCTTTTAAATATTTTGTGTTTTTCTCTTTAATTCAAACATATGTTTATTAAGGAGCCCCTAAAAGGATATGGGGAAAAAAAGCAAACGGGAATGTATTGCGTGGGCATGCAAAAGAGGAGCATTGTTCTCCTCTTGGAGCGGGGATACCACAGGGTATATCCTTACCGGAGACCTTCAGCTCCTGGACTTTAAAATTCACCTAGACTTGGGTAAGGCAAGGATCGAACCCACAACCTCAGGAGTCCCTGTCAGTCTTTTTATCCTCTGAGTTATGTGGACACAATGGACAATTCTGTTTTTTTCCTATTTCACTCTCTTTTCTAAACACTAGACTTTAAGTCTGACCCATGGAGAATGTTCATGCCAAGTTTCATGCCTGTATCACCAACTGAACGATTCTGGCTAAAATTTGTACTTGGCCGCTGCACTTTTAGTCCCTAACTTGCTGTTTGGTTTCTCTTGTTAATTATTCCACACACTCTTTTAAGCAGCCCTAACCTGTAAGCTTGGAATCAGTGATTAAGACCTACTCAGGCATCGGGTAATGTATGCACCATATGTTTCATTTTAAACCATGTCACCATTTTCAAAGAGCTGCTGTGTACAAGACTAGACACTGAGATAGGTAAGAAAAGAAAAAAAACAGATGAACAGTCATTGTCATTGGTTTAATTCATGTTCATATGTGTTTAAGTGCAAGGTTATGGTGTCAAGCAGCCTTTTAGTTCAGTGCAGCCACTTTGTTTGATGTCATCCTGTCTTAGACCAGACGGGTCTTTGAACTAAATTTCCTGTGTGTATTTATAAGGTAACGTCTGTCACTTGTTGCCAAATTTAGCACTACACACAAACACACCTCAATCCTGTTTACAGCACAACACACACAAGCTAATTATAAAGGGATTGAAATCTTTATTTAGCCTAATACAGTACAGTGCAACAGTTCACCCTAATCCAGTGTTAACACCTTGAATCCTGCGCCCAACATGACTGATAAACATTAGCCTGGTTGCCAGTATAATAACAAAAGAATCTAGGTGGAGTTTTTTAAGAAAAGTTGCACCAAAACACACAGGGGGAAGCTTTTACAGCACACATAATCTAGAATTCCAATTCTTGATAAATAAGACTGCAGCAATAGATTCCTGTTAAGAGTGAAAAGTTGGATTAAGATGGTTGTGTGTATGTGGAATGTGTAAAATGTCCTCTTCACAGTAGCTTTCCATCTTGTGTATGTTTTTGATTGATGGAAAGATGGTCCTTAAGCATTGTAGGATGAAGAGGAGACATTTCCACCATGGCCTGTCCAGTTGGTGTGGATGTATTTACCGGGGTTTGACAGCAGCTCATATGTGTGTGCTCCAAAGTAATCCCTTTGAGCCTAAAATCCAAAACAAAACAGAATCAATCATCATAGAACATTCAATAAAAACACAGTTTATATTCATTTTTTTTACCACTGTTGAATCTATTGATCATGAAAATGCTAGTTATGCCAATCTGAAAATCCGACTCAACTTAATATCTTTCTGATGTTCAAAAAGATTAAAGATAAATCCAAAGACCGGTGATTGAAGTAGCTACAAACATGAGCACACACACACAACTCCATGTGGTCTTTATAAACTGACATGTCTTCACACAAAGACCATATGCTCAGCAGGCTCTACTCTGCAGCATCAGATCTCATCTTACCTGGAGGAGGTTGGCTGGCAGCATATCATGCCTGTAGCCGTCATAGAAGGACAGCGCTGTGGTGAAACATGGCATGGGGATGCCATGTTGGACTCCAGTGCTCACTGTTCTGCGCCATGACTCCTAAACACAAAGAAAAAAAGAGTACACATCACTATCGTTTTAAGTTAATGCAGTTAAGACATTAATAGAATATGTTCATATGTGATGCCAAGAACCAGAAGTCTTCACAGAGTCATTCATTTCATTGAAACTAAATTTAGCTGGTTTGAACAAGACTCTCCCTCATCAGGTTTAGTTATACTGTACTGTGTTAGACTGTTGTGGGTCCCAGGTTCGTATGTCAGTGTAACACCAAGAAGATCTGCTAAGATCTTGAAAGGAGACTGTGACTTAAAGCCCCAAAAGCCTGGCTACTTTAGGCACAACACTGACTGACACAGACACTGGTGCATGCCATATTTGTTGGCAACAGGCCAACATTATGTGGGCAAATATTGGCTAAAGAGGATCATTAACTGATAAACTGACGTGTCCCTAAAATCCAACAGTACTTCCCCCCCCAAAACAGCTTCTCACACAGCTGATGATGGAGTCAACAAGTGGCCAGGTCTATTCCTTTGTTTGTGAGAGGGGAAATAACTTGTTTTTTTTTTTTGGTTGGTCTTTGTCAATGTGGGTATTGCAGATTGTTCTTCTGCCACTTCCTCCTTCCTCATACCTGACAGTCCTGCACAGCATTACTGAAGAAAGAGTCCAGCAGCAAGTTCTGCAGCTCCGCGTCTCTGTCAAATGCCTCTTTGATTTTACCCAGGAAGACACTGGTGTGGAAAGCAGAGGGGAGGGTTATCCAACAGTGTTAAAGAAGAACAAGGAAAGGATCTGTTTACAGCAAAATACCATGACTGAGTTTTCATCAAACATGAATCATGATCAGGCTGAATGGTAGCTAAACATTGACATTCATGCTGGATGTTACGCTTCATTTAGGTTTATGCAATGTCTCCAAGATTACACAAAGTAAAGCAGTCTCACAAACACCATTTCCTCATTCTCGTCTCATTGTGATTGCGTAAGAAAGATCACATTTTCATCAATCTGGAATTTTCACTCCAGGAATAGAAAAATGAATGGAAAAACTTGACATTATAAGTGTCTTTAAGGCACACAACTAAATTATCTTTAACCTTCCAAAACCCTAAAAGTAAAAACCACATCATCAAAATACTTCTCCATTTTATTCTGCTTTTCTCAAGCCTCTTTGTTAAACTGTGTAACCACCAGTTTTCACCATCAGTGTGAAAGGCAACTGTTGAAACCAAGTTGCACAAGGCAAACTTTCCATATGAGAGCACATGAAGTTGAATGTACCTTCGAATGATGCAGCCTCCTCTCCACATCAGGGCGATTGCACCGTAGTTGAGGGACCACCCAAACTCTTTGGCTGCCTGCCGCAGAAGCATGAAGCCCTGGGCGTATGAAATGATCTTAGAGGCATAGAGAGCCTGAATGGAGAAACATAACAATAGGTTAAATAAAAAAAAAACACACAATTTTGAAAAAAATCCAACTCCATTAAAATGTATTAAAAATCAGAGGCAGCTGAATTTCTTGGTTAGCAGAATGATTGGGTATCATCCTGGTAACATAATCCTCAGAAAGCTAAGAGGTGTTACAGCTCTGTTATATGAAAAATTATTATCAGCTTCAATTAGCTGTACCTATGAAATGTGCTTTACTCTGTGTTTTACCTTTCTTATGTCCTCCAGGAAACCAGCCTTGTCACCGCTGAATTTGACCCCCTGAGGCCCTGACAGGCTGCGGCTGGCCTCCACTCTCTCATCCTTCAGAGAGGACAGGCATCTGGCAAAGACAGCCTCCCCTGAGACACAGCGGGAGAGAGAAAATGAGGAAAAGAGAGGGAGATCCAGGTTAAGCTCTCTGATCACGTGATACTTTTGGAGCGTCACACAAAAACAAAGACCTCTGGAAACAAGAGGAGCCTAAAGACCTGTAATAATACATATCATGCCACCTCTCATGACAAAGCATTACATACGTGACACTTAGCTTCAGAAACACAATGCCAGCATACAGACCATGACCAAGGATCTGTATGACTCAGCACTTACAATAATACTGTCATAAAAACAAGGCTTGTCACTGGTACTCAGTATAAAGAGCTAAGACTACCGGTTGCAACAACAAAACAGATTTTAATCCCACATTATAACAACACTTCCCCCCATATGTTGAGATACTGGTAAAACTGTTGAGTAAGCATGACTTGCAAAAATCTTAACAGTTACTCGCAGACAGAGGGACAGGAGACACACAGGGACTGAAGGAAAATACACCTGGTGATTAAACTATACTGGTGTGGAATGTGATCTGTGTAAGGTGGCAGAAATCCACCCATGAACGCTGTAGGGGCCTGTCAGCCTGCTCCATACAGACTGGCTCAGCAGCTCAGTCACAATGAAGTCTTTTGTACTGCCTTTATCTCTACATATAACAAGAGGATCTGCTGCACTGATAAGGATTCAGCAAGCCCATACTTTTAACTCAAAAGACCTCTAATCTGAATTATGGCAAGAGGGATTGCCAAAAAATATCCACTGGATATTTAAATATCTACTATTTATTGACTGGATTAAACTTTGCTTTGTTTATGATGTATTTAATGCACTCTAAAATCAGTCTGTGCAGGGGCGGGCCCACTCTGCTCAGCTGATATTACATCACTTTTTCCCTTGATTATTAATCCTCCTTTCTGACCCCAGTACTGTCTTTTCTGTTCATGAAACCGCCTATCATTCGTAAGACTGAAGCTGAAGGGAGATCACAAATCCCCCCTTATGTCACTTGAGATGAGCAGCCCCTGGGAAAAGCCTTCAATCTTCTTAGAGGCACCAACATATTGATCACGTTCCTTAGAAAAAGCTCACTTGCCGCACCGTGTCAGCTAACAGGTAAGACTATAAACATTAAGCCCAGCATACTGTAATCATGTAGCCTACTGCCGTTTCCTCAAAGTCATGATGAAATCCAAACAGGTGCGACACGCCACCTTTAGTCACTGTGACAAACAAAGCTTACAGAAAGCAAAGAGAAGGAAATCAGACACTTCCTCGTCTACAGCCTTTTCTCTTCCTCTTACCGATCAAAGTAACAGGTGTGCCATACTCCAGGGCTGAGATAGCCGTCCACTTCCCTGTGCCTTTCTGTCCAGCACTGTCTCGGATTTTGGGCAGAAGATGTTTGCCATCAGAGTCCCTGTATTTAAGGATGTTTGCTGTGATCTCGATTAGGAAGGAGTCCAGCTCTGTCTTGTTCCAGTTATCGAAAGCCTGTTATGAACATATTGTTATGAAAATGTCTGCTAATTTGATCAAACAGTATTAGACTGACACCAAAAATACAAAGAAGGATTTCTTACCTGAGCCATCTCATCGTGGTCCATACCCAGAACATCCTTCATCAGGTGGTAGGCCTCACAAATCAGCTGCATGTCACCGTACTCAATGCCATTATGGACCATTTTCACAAAATGACCAGCACCCTCATCTCCAACCTGCAAACAAATTCAGAAATAGACATGATAATAAATGTGATAACCATCCAATCAGCATATTAAACATGATATACACAGTACAAATAGTATAAAACTCACCCAGTCACAACAAGGTTCTCCTGTTCCAACCTTCGCAGCAATGCTCTGGAAGATCTCTTTTATGTGTGGCCTAAGTAATAAAGCAACAAGTGTATCCATTCATAAACTTACACTGAGAACTACTTTTGAGTATCAGAATATGTGAGTGGTCATGCAGTGTGACACAAAACTCACCAGGCCTCTTTGTGTCCTCCTGGCATGAGTGAGGGTCCATAACGTGCTCCTTCCTCTCCACCACTGACTCCACTACCAACAAACAGCAGGCCCTTCTCTTTTAGGCTCCTACACCGCCGCTAAAAAGCAGAAATAAAAAGAGCTGTGAGGAAATTGTCTGACATTAGAAAGGATTCACCTCAAAACTGTTGTTTTTCAGTGACTTACTGTTGTGTCTCTGTATTCAGAGTTGCCACCATCGATGATAATATCTCCAGCATCAAGAAGAGGAACCTGAGGGAAAATACACACAGGGTAAAGCCAGCTGGTTTGATGAAGAAGCACAGAGAGTTGCTGCTCAATACACATTGTACCCACCAGCTTGTCAATAAAGTCATCCACAGCCTGTCCAGCCTTGACCAGCAGGATGATCCTCCTGGGCTTCTTGAGCTTGGACACCATGTCCTCAAGAGACTCAGCCCCGATCACCTTGGAACCCTTTGCCTCGTTCTTCAGGAAGTCGTGCACCTTGGACACAGTGCGGTTGTAGGCACAGACCTGTTGAGGGGGTTTGGTAATTACTGAGTGAAATAATAGAGGTCTGCCTAACAAGTTTTACTACTGGGAGGAAATACACAGACATAATAGTCTTCATCTTACCACAAAGCCGTGGTCATTCATGTTCATGATGAGGTTTTGGCCCATGACAGCCAAACCAATCAGTGCAATGTCTGCTCTGTGAGGAGAGAGAGAGTAACATGACTGAGAGACTGATGGGGGCCTGGATACAACATGAGAGTCAGCAGGGACCACAATTTCCACTTTCATTTGTTTTATACATCTTCTATACTGTCTGCAACTTATATACTTTGAACATTGAGCTTGAAGTAATGATTTTAATCTTTTATTGTAAGGAAGTGAAACTCGGGTGTAAAAGCCTCTCTGCCATGACACAACTTTAAAGGCTCACGGTGCCCTCAGATAAAGAGGAAAACCTGCGACATATAACGTTAAATATGCACTTTATTGTCAATTCACGTGTATTTTCAATTCAGCAGAGAAGGGTGGAGTAACAAAGTAGCAGCTCATCTGATCAAGATCATGATCGGAAAAACTATCTCAAAAAAGTGCGCAGATAAAACAACGCAATTTAGCAGCAACATTTCTGCTTTATAAAAAATACAAACAAGTAAAAAAGCCATTGAAGAACTTACTCAGCCATGGTGCTCAGTGGTTCAGTAACCGCGAAGTAACAGTGTTCAAGTGACAGTCGAGCTCAGACTACCAGCCACTTCACAGGGATTTCCTCCTCGCTAGGTTTTTGTACTTCCTCGTTCCCTTCATAACGTGACGGTGGAAGAGGACGCTCACGTACGCCCCAAGTAGATAATCGACCAATCAGATGATATTCAGCAGGCTAAAGAGAGCTTGTTCAAGAACGCTTATTGGTTTAGAATCCTGAGCAGAGTTTACTGTTCTCCTATTAGCCTGACTGGACGTCAATCATTTTACGCAAGCGCACGCCCACAACTGAATGGATGACGTTTATTTGACCTACACAGTGAAATACAGTAATTCAATAGTAGATAAAGTAACCCCCTCTAACTTTAACACGTACGTCTCTAAAGTATTTTATTAGTCCCTCTACTGCACAGGTGATGCTCCTTAAACACTACACATGTGGTCGAAAAATAAGGCTTGTCTGGGAATTATTACATAAGATTATTACATTGAGATTATTTTGATATTGTATAAAATATAAAGAATTTATCCATCATTTCTTTAATAAGCAATTTCAGGGAAAACAGTATAATTGTATTGCCTTCTCTTATAGTTTCAGAATCCTATTAATGTGATTATTTTATAGTTGAAGACAGTGAGCCAAACAAAGGGACAAAACCAACAACCAGGAAGCTCCAAACAAATCCTCCTGAGATCTCGACATTTCCCCTTTCTTGCGTAAAGTCATTTGAATATTGTTGAGAAAAGCAGTGTATTGGGTTGGGTCTAGTGGTACCACCTGATTTTTGAGAGGGTCCTGGTGTCATATTCTGGCTTTAGGGCTGAATTCCTGCATACTTCAGTTCAACAAACTGGGGGCCAGTTGTGGAAGAATCAGTGTGCTCATTTGATCCTGTACAAGCAAGCAGGTCCAAACAAATCCTGTCTCCTGTCCATGCAGAGTTAGATTTCACATGGTTATTAAATCATGCTTAGTTATATTAAATATGACCTTGAAGTTTGAGGTGAAACACAAGGAAAACTGCGCCTCACTAAACCAGTTAAAGACCAGGAAATCTTTACATGCATGGCAGGCAGGAGGGAGGAAGTGGTGCTCTGGCATGAGTCCAGACCCAGACTATTCAAGAATGACACCTATATCATCACTGATGATATTTCTGTGCTGTTAAAGTCGATCTAAATTTCACTGATGAGAAAGTCGACCAGTTCATACACTTAACCAAGGTTCTACACAAGTGGATTTAGGAAAATGCCAACACTGTCGGTTTGCTTTTGATAGAAAGATAAACAATTAGCAGAAGGCTGAAGATTTTAACAGGAAAAATGCCAGTTCTTAATTCTGGAGGCAATCATTAATGATCACCAACCAAAACTATTCTATAATAATTTTTGTGTCAAGATTTTGAGTTGCAAATCAGTCAAACACAGCAAAGTATACATTTTTTTCTCTTTTTTTTGTAAAGCTATGAGATAGTTGGATATTATTTTAACTATGAGTTAACTTGACTTGACAATATTTAATGTTTTATTCATTCATATCTTGCAGACTTTGCAGGAAATTATAACATGTAAGATCATGTAATGACTGGAGTCAAACTGTGCCCCAAAGAGTAGACAAACAGGCGGCACTTGTTCTGCTAATGCACAGTTTGCACTTTTATTGTTGCCTCATTCACTAAACAGTTCAATGGTGCAAGATTACCATACACAGAATTAGGATATCTGCATGACACATCTATGCTATACAGCGAATGGATTATAATTATTACAAATACAGTAAACATATTTACATTTGAATTCAAGCTCCATACAACACAGATATTTACAAAATAAGTATGAAAATGAAACCAGTCTGACAAATAATGTACAGTGTTGGATGTCATGGTCTGTCTTTTTCTGCTGCTGAACAATTCAAATAAGAGTGAACTCATATTTACTGTCAGAGAGAAGATGGGAAGTATCATGGCTAGTTTTGTTTGAAAGGCATCAACAGAAAATAAAATGTAGAGGTGAAGGAAGACACCAGCACAACAATAGTATACTGTCATTTGAGATGTCACTAGCTACTCTGTTTTCTATTCCCTGATATTAGAACAAATGTTACAACCACCTTTACTTTGTTATAATTTGAGTGGTTTTGTAGCATAAGCTGTGAGTAAATAATATCAAATTAAAAGCAGACTTTTGTTGAAACCACTTTTTAATAAAGAGGAAACACTTTTGTAACTCACCTCCCCTGAAAAGATGCAGCAGGTTACATTTATTTTTGAATGATGGTGAACACACATCTTCATAGTACATTCAACGCTCTCCCAGGTCAGCTGGAAGAGGCTGCCACACTGTCATTTGGTTCATTCTGAGTAGAACAACTAAACCGCACAAGACTTTATTTGATCAGTTAGTTGAACCTTTTATTGATATGTGCAAAGAGCTGCAAACTAATATTTACATTGCAAACAATAAATACACAATCCAAAAGAATAGACCTCTGCAAATTAGTAAAGTGAAAATGTTTGCTCTGACAGGGATCATCGTGTCCATATGTATCTACTCCACACAAGCAGAATACACTCAGGTTCATGTGAGTCCTTTGCACTTTGAGCCTTGATCACTGCATAGATATATTTTCTATCAATATTTGTTTTGTGTTTTTTTCTCTCCTTTCTTTCTTTTCTCAGTACAATTTTCCATGATTTTGACCAGCAGGTTGGCTGACCTGAGGGCACAAACTCTGCAATTTTGATTTAAACAGACTTCTGGAGCAAATGTTCTCTGTTTTTATCTCAGCAATAATGACGATAGACCTCAAGTTACTCCACTTCCACTTGTAACAGACATGGCAACCTCTGTTTCTACACATTTAAGCCTTTCATACAACTCGATGAGCTCACTGCTGGTTGGTTGGCCAGAGTTTTGATCGCCCATCTGGACTTGTAACAGTCGTATCATTCAAAGAAACAGAGGCGCCAAACAGATTTAATACTAATCAGTAGCCAAATGTAACAGCTGCAGTGCGACACACAGAGCAAATATTTTCATAAACAATGCCAGAAATAAAACCTTTGAGTATATGTCATCCCTTTATAACTCTTCTTTCTTTTAGTAAACCTTTTTGACAAACAGCTATCCAGTGTAGCCTTGATATGTGCTCTTATCAGTGATCCTGATGCTCACAAATATTCCGGGATTCAACATGTGTGATGATCTGCCCTGGTCTTGCTATAGATATGTGTTAATGTGCAAAATAATATCTAACATTGATTAAGTTGGTTACAAATTAAGTTATAAATGCCCTCTGTTACATTTCATATAAAACTTCACAATGGAATGGTTAAAAGCATAATAGAAAAAAATAATAATCAAACGTTAACAGTTAAAAAATAAAGTCAACCTCATGAGTTAGATGAGAAAATGAACACCTGCAGAACAATAAGTACTTCACTGAGCAAATCTTAGGTTAGACTGTCGTCGTCATCCATCCTGCAGGCTGGAGCTAGCAGCTTCATCAGTTAACTACTGGCATCAAGGCTAATGTACCTAAAGCAACTTCATTCTCAATCCTACTTTAACCTCAATCGATTCAGTTTTGTCTTCTGTTTCACACACACACAAATGTGAGGCTTAAACTAGTTTTTAGCAAATATTGAGACACTTTTAAGATCTGAGGCTCAACATGATAGTTGAAGAAAAGACTTCTAGAAGCAAGAGGACTTGAGAGGAATAGCTTTGATGAGAAATAACTACCACACGGATCCTAGAGCAAAATGTTTGTTCAAATTACATCCATCTCCCTCCTCTTTTTTTAAAACCCCGGACGTGGGTGAATATCTTCTCCTACAGGAGAAATCTGTCAACATATTAATTCTGAGATATGAAATTGTCTTTGCATTTTTTGCATGTTCAGAAAGCATGTATCTATGCTTCTCTTTTCCTGTAAGTAATCACTCTCTCGCTGAGAAGACGATCAAGGTTTGGAGAAGGTCAACTTGCATGGACTGAGGAGGGGGGGTCTAAATATCATATGGATGAAAGAGGAAAATCCAGTGCTGATGTCTTGATTTTTTTTCTCAAGGCAGTTTGGGAGACGGGGAACCACAGGCAGCTGCCTAATGCTTATCTAATGAATAGAAGAAACATCTATGAATTCATTGGCAGCACTAGATCTTTACGTAGCCTTTCTAGCAGAATGTAAACGCATGAGTAACTGGAGATATTTGTTTTCCCTTCATGGTTTCAACTATTTTCTGTGAACTTTTTTAAGAAACTTTGTCTACTCCTGAGGACTGCTGCAGTCACCATGCGGGCATTAAAAAAAGAAAATAAATGACAGAAATAAAAGTCTTTTCTGGACACAAGTAACACTGATAGAGACATATTTGTACAGATGATTGGCAAACTGAAATTAGTGGCCAGAAAGAGCAGTTTCTGAAGAATCGTGCACACACAAGTAGACTATTACAACATGCTACTAGTTAGGGGAGTTGGGGAATGACAAGAAAGCCGAACCAAATGAGACTCAAACATTGTCATAAAAACAAAAACACTAAAAGCTGAGGAAGAGAGGGAGGAGGAGGGTGGTAGAGAGGAGGGAAGAGAATTTGTCAGGGGTTTGTGAAGGGAGAGAGGGGGGAGGCATATTCCTCTGAAACTGAAACTTTTAGTCGCATGAAAGAAGGCTTAAGCCACAAGTCTACTTACAAGAGAAAACCGTCAAGAATCACAATGATTAATAAGTGTTAACACTCGGTATGTTCAAAGCCTTCCAAAAACAATGGAAGTCGTGTTCTTTTTCTGTGTGCCCGCCAACTCGCTCAGTTCTTCAACAGGCCACTGCGCCTCCTCGCCAGTTTTGATCTATGGAAACAGGATTTCATGAAGTGAGGAGACAGGATGGTAGTGTCAGGAATTTATGTTAGGCTACTTAGTTGCATGTTGTGTGGGTAAAACATGTGTGTACCTTATCGTTCCTGCAAGTAGTGGGTTGAAGGCGTACAGCCAGTCGTTCATATCTTTCTCGTTGTTGGCCTGTAGGAGGATTCCCCGGTGTTTTGTGCACACGGCAAATGTGTTTGGAGTCTGGAAAACAAAAAACGGCATTAAAAATTGACAAGTTTTTGTTTTCTTGTCAGCTACAGTGCATGCTCAAGCTCTGCAGACCTTGAAGAGAAAAGCCAGGGCTGTTAAGTTGTTGCCTTGCTTTTTATTTGCTTGCAGATTAAGTAGACTAACCTGATGCAGCATTTTCACTTCTTACAAGTGCTTTTACTTCATGAAAATTCAGTTTTCAGGTAAGTTGAAACATGAATACAGTTCTTGATTAGTTTATACACTCTACCTTGAGCATGGCCTGCTGGTCTTCACTGTATTCCACCTGTGCTGTGGAGAGGTTGAGGACGCCCCGCTCCACTGGGTCCTTGTCGCTGTTGTAGATGAAGACGTAGGGCCGGCGCACGACAACAAAGTGCTTCACCCACGAGTTAGACCGCGGCTCCATGAAGCTCAGGAAACCTTTCTTGGACACGACCGATCTGAAAATAAAAAATAATAAATACATACAACTTTTACAAATCCTCTGTTATTGAAGAAAAGCCTAGATTTCTATGAAAGGAAATAAGGTTGACTTTCAGCTGAATGCACTCAGGTTCAAAAGTTCAAATCAATTCAAATCATTTCCTCTTGAATAAAAATACAGGATTATCTGTTTTTGTCCAGGCTGTGGGCTGCATCTACAATCGACTTTGTTTTGACACCGCTGCACATGAAAGAAATCCAAAGAGTCATCATGTCAGCTCTCACCCTGGCCTCATTTCTTCAATATCAGGCACCAAGTTGAGGAACTCGTTCTTTCCAGCCCGCGCCAGGTAGGAGGTCTCCAAAGAGGGGACCATCGGGAAGTTTTCATAGTCGGAGCAGGAGGGACTGGAGGCACGAGAGCTGTTCTCTGGGGTCCTTAGAAACACGGGACACACAGTTAGTATCAGAGTGACATTCAGCCAATCACTTCAATCTACAAATTTAACGGCGTTGTGACTTTGATAGATATTGAGACATGAAATATAAATTAATTCGGGTTGCATTTACTTCTGGTCTAAAGAACTACAGCGAGAGTCGGCCAGAGAAGGGCAGGTGGAGGAGGGGGTGAGGGTGGCGCTGCTGAAGCTGGTCACTGATGGGTCTCGTCCAATTGGTGAGATATCGGACAACTGTGGAAAAAAAGTGGGAAATATTCATTCAAACCACCGTTTTATGTTCTCAGGCAAATTCAGAGAGAGGAAAAAAAAAATTATTGTTTTGGAGGGTGCAGAAATAAGGTTATGATTAGAACTAGTCAATAAAAACAATCAAAAGGAGATGTTATTTGAAAGGTTACTTATTAATTTAATCCATCTGTGCCTCTTATTAAAAGTGATTGTGATTCAAAGATCTGTTTCTTTCACCGTCATTACTCACCTTGCAGTCACTAATACTGTTGACCACCTGGTTATACTCATTGTTGAAGGTGTGTGTCAGGAGGCGCAGGCACTGTAAGAATAAATAAGAGTCTGTTATGATTCCAAAGGAGGAGATAAACACCTGTTATTGGACGATAACACTGCAGCAGAGAGTGATTCATTACTTTGAAAATCCTTAAACTCAAAGTTTTCTCCTACCTTAGTAGCCAGCTCCTTTTCACGATCCACCAGGCTCTCGATGTCAGCGGAGTCGTAGCCACTGCTCTCGCTGGGGGTGATGGCACTTTCAAAGGTGGTGCTGGAGATCTGTGAGGAGATGGAGGTGGAGGTGGACAGGCTGCCTGTGCTCATGCTGGGGGACAACAACTCGCTGAGGGACTTGGTGGTGGGGGCTGTTCCAACTGGGGCTGCTTCTCCCAGCTTCTCCCTAAGCAGGAGCAGGTGACGGGTCTTCTCCACCTGGATGAGGGCCACGGACAAATTAATATTGAAAAATAAGGTGAGGGTTTTTTTCATTTTTATTGTGATAAGGTAGGTGAGGCAGGTCAATATCATTTGCACCCACTTCATGAAGCTGCTCCATTTTCTCCAGCTCCCACTGGTGCTCCAGGATGAGACTGTCTCCTCTGGGCCTCCAGCCAGCCAGGTTCTCCTCTCCACGTACATAAGCCACTGATGTGTCCAGGATTTTCCTCCGTCTTCGCTGCATTCCTGCTCAGCACACAAACGCTTGTTGGAGCAGAGCAGCTTCACTTGAAACATTTAGCCAACATAAAAGATTTTGAGTTAGCTCACCTGGACTTCCAGTGTCAGACATTTTGCACAAGCTCAGCTCATAGATGCCGGTGACTCGATTGCTGTAATAAAACAGAGAAGACTCTACGTAAGTTAACGGTTTAGATTTACCTTTATTCACCTGGTCTTATATTTTGTGAAATTAATGGATTTACCAGTCTGGGGTTTTGGAGTATCCGCTGCCAAAGAGGTTCCTGAGGGAGCGGGGAGGGGAGATCTTTGCGTCTCTGGAGTAGAACACCATACAGATGTCTTTGGTTATAATAGCAGGCTGGATGCAGTGGTCCAACTGTGAAGAAAGGACACCGAAGAGTTAGCTGTGGTGAAATTCAGAAGGGTAAAAAACAACGAACAGTTTATAGAAGCGGTGACTGACCTCTAGATATGCCGACAGGGTCATGTAGATTTTCTCTCCATATGGAGTGACTCGGTTTAGCAGGAGAGAGTTGTGCAGGGAGCTGTCCCACACTGCCTCAAAGCGGTAGAAGGTCCTTAAAAGACAAAAAAAAATCCAAAAAGGACATGTTATCATTTTGTAATATCATCCACTTACAAGTTAAAATCATCCTTTACGGAAAACTGAGTTTTTAGTGCGACTCTATCATCTTTGACAGACTAAATAATGGACACTGTGCAGTGAGTTCAGTGGTTATTTCACTTATCCTTAATCATTTTGAGATGTCATTACAAGAAAACACACTGAGGTGAGAGCAGAATTGTGATCAGGAGCAATAGTAATAAACCACAGTGTGAGAAAAGTGCAGAGTGCACACAGCTGCGTATGTTACAGCGGGTACAGAACCAGATGATTGCAAGCAAATGACCAAGGTCATATGTTCTGACATGATGGAGCTTTTATAGTCTGATATCTGAAAGCATCAAAGCACACAGTGATAAAACCTAAAGGAGAACATTCACTGATTATTTCATAGTACACTGTGTCCTTTGTTAGAGTCTGCCTGTTTTCTAAAAAAAACTGTGGTGTATCGCTCTGTGGTTACAGAGTTCCTGTCTTTGGCAGCAGGGGGCGTTCTTACCCACAGACTGAGAGCTAGGATGGCCCTGTTTGTGCCTCACTAGGTTATTATTGAGTGGAGACTGAAACGGTGAATAACAGTCAAGAGGAGAGCAATTTGTGGAGACCGGGTGCCACAGAACATGAACAAACCAAAGGAAAAGGGTTTGCATTTGCATGTGAGATTGCCTTTACTTGTTGATAACTGATTCAGAGTCAGATTTGTTTTTCAGATATGGAATATTGAGTCAAATAAAGGCAGACCTCATGCAACATGCATACAAGAAAAAAATATAGTGGAGGACTTATTTCTATGGATCTATAGGACTTAAGAGAAGCATAAAGGTCTTTCACAGAAGGAGCCTTATGTTCTCAGCTCACTAGTACCTATCAATATCCTTATCAATAGAAAGCCTGAGCACAACAAGAGTCCAGCAGCAGCAGGAGGGGAAAAAAAGAGAGTGCAAGACAAAAAAGAGAGAAGCACAGAGAGTCAGGCACCAGAGACAATGGAGCAAATTAACAGCAGAGATAATGGAAATGGTCATGCAATGACTCCACTGTTTTTGGCAAAAATACACAAGAGAACACATACACAGAAATGTTGTTTACTGTATGCAGAAAAGAAATCCAACAAAATATGTGGCAAAATCTAAGTTTTCTTTTTAAAAATAAACAAAAACGAACACAAAACGAGCAAAAGATCAGTGCCAGACCTTCATTTAGAACCAATCAGACACTGGATTTACACATGGAGATGATGTGTATGCTGTTTATCTAGAATACTCTACTTTCACTTTGACTTTTCCTGCCCAGGGACTACAGGCGGAAATTGGCATTTGTTGCTGTAACCTGTCTCAAAGCATCTCCTCTTGTCTTCCAAGATGAATGTTTTTTTTGTGCATTGTCCCTGTTTTACATAAATTTAAATTCAAATTCAAAATACTAAGATGCTTGAAGTGTGTGTACATTTCAGGTACCTGTTGGAGTTGTGGGATGATTTAATGTTCTTGGCTGAAATGATGTTCAGGGAGAGGACTGCATCTGCAGCGCTGTCGTCCACCTCGGCCTTGTTTCTGATACGACCTAGTGCACAAGACAGAAACACCCATCAAAGTCATGCGATCATGAGAGCTTGAGTTAGTTTTTGAAGGAGTCTATCTTAGCCAGAAGAGTTTTGAGTCCATGGTATCTCGTAGATTAATCCCTTAAAATATTGCGAAGCCCGTTTTTTCATGATCTACTCTAACAGTTCTAAGTCTAATTATGCAGCGTGTAATATTTCGCCCATGAGCCACAGCTACAGTATAAACCGCTTCAAGAGAAAGGCAGTCTGGGTCAAGAGACAGACACATGATTCTCAAGCTGTGTAAGAAGTATTTACAGTGTTGCCTCACACGCTTCCTTAGAGACAGAAAAGGTGTTGTATCATATTGTAAGAGCATCCACTGAGGCTGTTGTGTGAAGGAACGAACAATCATGTGGCCATCACTTTTTTCAACAAAAATAAAACAGCAGTATTTTGTGTGTCTGTAATCCCTGATGAGGGGAGCCTGCTCACCCACAACCAGCTCTCGAACATCCTTCCAATGGAGCTCGCTCCCTTTCTCGTGGATGAGAGTCACTGTGATCCTCCGCTGGATCCCCTGCAGCAGCAATGACAGGTACTTAGGAGTAAAGCAGTTATGACGAGATCTAAATTAAGCCTCTTAAATTTAACAGATGAAGAAAATATTACCATGAAGTATTTTGCAAATAAAAATGAGACGTCCTCTTTTTTTCCAGTTAAAATGGCAATTTGATTCTGCGTAAAATGTAATTCACTCCATATTGTTGGCAGGTAGGATATCTAATCAGTAGGAAATGTGCAGTTCTCTCCTGTACCTGGTGCAGTAAGTAGGTGCCATGGCAAGGGAGTCCTCCACTGTGATCCACTACAGCTGGAATGTACCTGTAGACAGAGGCATCAGATTTAGCCCAAACCCACACGACACATTTCATATTATTAATGATTATTTGATGAAAACACTGGGGGTCACCATTATGGTTTAATTGAAGGTGTTTAAAGACACATTGTATGAAGTTGTAACTTAAAAAAACAAGTTTATCATAAATGCTACTACGATGGTAGTCCTTGATCTATCCTTTTTATACGTTCTGTACCTGTTATAATGAACTGTACTTTTTAAAGGAATATCAGTTAATGTAGCAGAAACACAGAAAGTGAAGATAAAAGTTTTTTTTCTCTGTACTATTCTTCTGGCACTCCAACTCTGTCTTTAAGGTCAGAATTACACTTTAAGAACAAGAAAACAAATCAGACGACTTCATATTTACTTCTGATATCAACAGGTCATATGTATGAGGACTTACTCTCCTGTGGGCTCCAACTCGCTGATCTCAAACCACACCAGCAGGTCATACTTGCTGACACACTGACCCAGGTTAGACTTGGTGATGGTGTTCAACTTGGTGGCTGGAACTGCGTACGCATACACACACAGAGGCACAGGTTACTCAATTTGAGAAGGAGTGAATGGGGTAAAGATAAACTGCAGGTGGTGGGATGCTAAGACAACTAAAACGGGGTATGGCACCAGTAGCTCACTCCTGTTTTGTCCATTCTAGTACAATTTGATTTTAATAATGTGGACACAAAAATATACAATGTGACAACCCAGTGAGAATACATAGAGCGACACTAAATCACAGATTACACCACCACTGACAACTCCCTGCTGTCCCACACATCAGGATTATGCTCCTGATGAAACAGGCTAATCTCTGAGGCACACGGCTCTGTTCATCTGTGTTCAATATGGTGAAATGAGCGTTATTCCATGTGAAATGCACTGTAATTGGACTGCAGATGAACCTATAAAGGCCAAAGCCTCTGGATTTTTATTCAGGCTGTGAATGCAATGTCAGTGATCCTCTGTGATTATGATAAATACTCGTTTTATTATTTGGCTTAGGATTCAGCTCAGCCCAGCAGCTTTACCTGGAAGTGTCAGCTCAGGCCACTTTGTAAGCGACAGGCTCGGGTTGGACTGAGCTGACTGGACCTAAATAAAGCTGCAGTGAGGTGCAGCACACTAGCCACTGCAGAGCTTTATCCTGCTACAGTCTGCAGTCACACAGCACAACAGGAGCAAAACACAGCACTAGCCTAATCACTAAACAACAAACAAGAAGCATCTACTACCTGCTCTCTCAGCTACTACAGTGTCTGCTGTACCAACCATGGTGCCTGGGCACAATAAGCACAGGATCATAGGGCACTGAAAGGAACGGAAAGTGATAGAGCTGATCCGCCTCATCCTCAAGACTGGCGACGGCGGAGGAGGCCAGAGCATTGGCGTGCTCGGACAGAGTGTCCAGCACTTTACCGTTCACATAGCCGCTCATGAGGTAACGGACCAATTCTATCTTACGCGTATGGTCTGAGGTTTTGAAATGTGACATTGTACAAATGGTGAGAGGGATTGTAGGGGTCATGTGAAAATGGAAGATGTGGAAGTGGGAGGACATGGTTGGGTAAGAGGATTATGGACGGTGGGAGACAATTGAATAGATAACAAAAAATCCAAAGGAGGCAAGAAATACAAGAAAAATGGAAGGAAATGAGACAAGCTGATGTAACTGGAGAAAAATGAACAAATCTGATGAAATGAAGGTGAAAGGTGCAGAACATTTTTTTGTTGCATTGTGCGCTGTGACGACATTCAAGTCCTTACCTGGTTTTGACAGAGGCATGGGAATAGGATAGTATTTCCTTGATGGTGTTAGAGGACTGTGAAAATAAAAGAGACCGTTGACCTTAAATACTGACATCAATAAAATTACACAAACAGAATCAATCTACTGTGCCAAATCATCATCAGAGGAATATCTTTACACACACCACCTACCTGATCAGGTCCTGGCCATGAAGATGCAGTGGGTGCTGCTGGTAGTGGCCGAACACCTCAAATACAATGGGTTTGCTCTTGATGTACTCAATAAAAGACTCTGTGACCTCGACTGATATCTGCACCCAGAGAGAAATGTTGTAATGAATAAGCATGATGTAAGTGTACATCTTGAGGGTTTATATACAGTATGTGTGTGCACTTACATTCTGAACATGGTAAAAGCCCAGAGGAGCTCCTTTCCCAGTGTTTTTCAAGGGCTCAGTGGAGAAAGCCTCATCATGACGATGAAGGAAACTAAGAAAACAAAACATGTAATAATCAGTGATTCAAATGTATTTAACGCTGAAGGTCTAAAAACTGCACTGTGGAGAAAATCCACCAGCAAAATCACTTTCGATTTTTTTTCAAGGAATTTTGTTAGTTATAGTGAAACAATATAATAACTGCATTCTAGCTTCATACTGTTAGCTACATACAAGCCATTTTCTTTTGAAAACTGTACAGCCTTTGCTTTAGTTTCAATTTATGCTTTATCTACAGTTCTGTTACTTTAACAGGTTGACATAAAACACAACATGAGGCACCCAGAATTGTAGAGGTTATATCAGGATGACGTTACCAAAGTTATAGACTCACTTGAACTGGCAGAAGATATCTGCATACTCCGGTGGGATGCCGCTAGCCTGGAGCACAGTCACACGGAAGGTAAAGATGCTGCCCACTTCAAGTTGGCCCGCCAGACCATCACCAAGACCCAGCTTGGTGTCTGCAACATTCCCCAGCTTGAGGTCTAAACAGAGCCGCAGAGGACGGTTAAGAGGTCTATTGCTGTGATTTATTGAATATAAGCTGTAACTGCACCTGCACTGTGTCATCTGCATATCAATTCTAAGTCCTGCTCAATAAGAACAGCCTGGCTCCTGCAAATTATTAAGTCTGTGATCTTCAATCCTAAAACAGCCTTTGTATACATTCCTACACAAAGTCCAAAAAATAGGAATCAGTCTCATTTCCATAACTAAACATTCAACGACCTCCTTTGCATTAAACAGGACCATCTGCCGAGTGCACTTCCCACTGCGCTGAGAAATCAAGATTTACGTGTCGAGAGGTGAAGGTCTGGCAGCCGTACCCATGTCATTGATTCTGTTGAGCTCCTCTGAGGGTGTGATGACCTCTGAACTCTGACCCTGACCCTCCACAATGCGCAGTTCTTCTAGTGACATGCCAGAGCGGGTCATAACCGTTGAGGAGAAGTCATTCTGATTGGATGAGAGAAGATGGATGCAAGAGTAGAGGAGGAAAGACATGAGGATACAGCTGTTGTCCAAATAGGGAATAAAAATACCTACTGCTGCATATATGATGAGTTTGTTTTAGTGCCATATTGGAAAAATAAACAAGAGCAAGCTTAGGACAATATTTGCTATTTTTATGGACTTTCAAAGAGGAAATAGGTGCAAACTCCAGAAAAGCCCACAACTGTTTAAAGACTTACTCACACAGAGAAAAAGTGTGTCCTGAAGTTTGAAAGTGCTTTCATCAGACTGGGAGCTTACCTTTTTAAAGTATTCATCATCAAAGGAGATCTTGGCAGTTCCTGACTGTCTTACTCCTGACCCATAGTCTGGGGCCTCCTCATCAGCTACAAAGAGATAAAACATCCTCCAATCAGAATCTACTGCAGGTGATATCAAACCTTAAAACACACTACAGGGAAGACACTGAGACTCTGAGGGAATCTTCTTCTTTGCAACCAAAGCTCAAGAGCTCTTGATAATATCTGCAGACTGAAATCAAAGTGAAGCTAAAACTACTTATATGTATTCAGGTGACTATCTAAATAACACGATTACTAACCTAAACCATATTCGTCTCTACATTGCAAATACGTATGAAATTGAAATAGATGAGCTGCATGTATGATTCAGCTTCTCCATGTGCCTGCGTGACTAACACAGACCAGTTCCCACTGTGAGCTTGAGTTTAACCTTTACATGAAGATGCTAACTGCCTCGTTCATTAGAAAACCTCATTAATTACTCACCAGCTATAGCCTGAACCCCCACACGCAGGAAACCCCGCACCTCGCCCTTTTCTGTTACTATGGCAACACGGTGCACCAGTGGCACAGGGTACAGCAGGTTGCTCAGGTACACAAAAGCTCTGAGTAGAAAGGAGGAGAGAGAGATGAAAATCTGATTGTGGTGCAGTGTGTGAAACTCCTGCTGCAGTCTCCAAACCCACAAAACATTGAAGTGTGTTTATTAGACCACAGCCATGTTATCTGTTGTGTTTATCTGTGCCTAAGAAAAACACATTAAAGCTAAAAATCCAGAGATTAACAGTTTTCTGATATCTCGAGATAATATGTAAAAAATATATTTCTTTCAACCAAAATACTTTTGACATCATCATTGTTTGACACATATTACTGACTACAGCAACATTTTGTCAAATATTAGTGACAATTCAGTTAAGGGATGAGCAAAACAGCAACAAAAACAAAACCAAACAAATGAGTCCAACATAAAAGCACACATGTTGCAGGGCAGTGAAATCAGCAGCATTTAAAACCATCCAGGTTATTTTTAAAGTGTGTGTGACAGGGTGATGACAGATCGCCTGGGATGCAGCAGCTAAGGCTGTAAAAGAGTGTTTTACTGTGTCATGTTTTGGTGACGTTAGCCCCTCACTCACACGCTCACTGACATTTTGTTTTGTAGGGCTTGATTTGTTTTGCTGCACCCCCAGTGACCTACTCATTCTCTCTCCCCCCTCCCCCCTCCCATAGCCAGGAGACTCAAGGCCAGACCGAGGGGGAGGCATCAATCTGTACAATCTATGAGGACTCTATGACGGAGGTAGCTGAGCTACGACTGTTGCAGCGACTGGCTGGCTTACAGCCTGCATTGATCTGTCGCCCTTTTTTGCACATGCTGTTTATTTTTAAGCTATGATGTTTACAGCCGTCAGCTGGAAACCTTGGCAAATTTTTGCTGTGATTTCAAATGCTGCTGCAAACACTTCATAATGGCACTTAACATGAATTAATATAAATAAAAAGAGCATGATAAAATGACTCTAAACAACCAGTGAGTTAATATTATCTACAACATAATCCAAGAGCAATGTTAAAACAAATCTGTTCTAATAACAAATGTGCTTGTGTTATATAAAAACAAAAATAAAACAGACATAAAGAACATAAAAAAAGGATTGAATAAACATCGTGACAGACAGCTCACAGCACATACATGGACTGCACATTAAGATGGGAGTTAATACAGTCAGTGTTGTGATGTGGCAAAGGGGGAGACACGTCACGCTGGGAGGATGTGGGGAGGAAGAATGGTGGCTTTTCAGTTTTTGGGAACAGAGTGTAAATTGAAACAAAGTCACACAGAGCAGGTCTGTGAGCACAGAAGTATGACTAATCGTTAAATTCTATTCAATTAAAAACTGGTCCAAGTCATCTGTGCGAGGTGCAGAGATGATATCTGATACTGAGATTATTAATACCCTGTGAAGGTCTAAACTAAAACAATTACTCATTTGCTTTCAGGATTTGCCATGTGTTTATACTATATATTTATTTCTCCCTAATTCCCAGGACACTGTTCTGGGTGCAGCATTGATCTTCATGTTGTTATATCACAAATTATGTAAATAATGAGTCTTAAATATATATATTTTTTTTTTGTTCTATACTTTTTATAATTAAAATTTCTCATTTCCACACTTCATTTCTTTTTTGCTCTACATCTGTGTAATCAAAACAAACAGTGCTAAACAAAGCCAGCATTCACAAAATATCCTGTCCCAGCCTGTGTGTGGAGGTGGAGGAAATGACACTGCCAGTAACCAACCTTCCCACCAGGATGAACCAGGGGGAGCGGTCGTAAAAGGGGTCCTGGCCGTCGCTGAAGATGTCTGAGCCCTCCTCAGTTCCAGCGTCCGAACTGGTGTCGTCCACAAAAGCCTCATCGTCAATCAAGTCAGACATCTCGCTCTGGCGCTCGTCTGCCAGCTCGGTGATCTCAGAGTCGGTGGTGGAGAAGGTGGGCGAGGGTGTGCGGTCGGCTAGGCGCTCATTGACACAACCGTGGAAGATTGGGGAGCTGAGGGGGTCCGCAGTTTGGGAACAGTGGCAAAAATCAAGGAAAGGCACAATAGAGTAACTGTGGTATTAAAAAAACTAAACCATGTACAGATATCATATATTCAAAAGATAAAAATAAAGAGGTTCCTGAATGATCTAATTAATGATCAAAATCATTAATTAGAAAGTAGTTTATTTTTACTACTTATTCCAGCTACTGTAACAAGATTGGTCTTACAGCCATTATCAGAAACATGAAAAATAAACACTTAAATGAAATGCCACCTTTACAGGATTAGCATATAGATCGTCTTATATATGCTGGCTTAAAAAGATTAATGCACAGAATACAATGAATTATTTACAAGCTTGTGTTTTAAGTGGGAGGAGTATCACCACAGACAAACTTCAGTGGTACAACAGATAAATGAAAAAAGAAACATGGTGGAGGGAAAAATAATTACAATGAAATGTCAAATAAAATGAAGGACTTCACAAAGAATAATAAATCAGTGACATTTAAATCAAGAGTACAAAAAAAAAATCACAAAAGGTAACTTCAAAATAAACATGTCAACTACAACAAATGCACACTGAAGGATGAGCAACGAAAACAACCAACATAAATGACAAAAAAATGATGACAGAATACATGATATCAATGATATACAAGATTATGACAAAAAAAAATCTGAGCATAAAAATGAAAAATGAAGGGAGGTAAATGTGTACATCGGTTTAACATCAATGCATAACAAAAGCTGCCATCCCAAAAGAACAATATTGAATAAGTTAGCCAAGTAAAAGAACCTTGTGATTCAAACACAAAGTCTTCTAGCAGGACATTTAGTGATTATTTATCGCTGCATAAGCAGTATTGTGTGTTTTTCTTCTGCAGCTGTGAAACATACCTTCCCACGAGTTTAAACCAATGGAAGCGGTCATAGAAAGGGTCGTTTCCTGTTAGTGTTCCCTCTCCATCCTCTTGGTGTGAGGAAGCCATTTCTCCTGCTCGGTCATACATCTCTCTCATCTGGTCCAGCCGCTGCCTGCAATTATGACAGAGAGCAGAAAACTGTGATGACAGCATCTGGTAAAAATCAGGTGACAGTGATGAATCAAAGTAACAGCTGTAGCCTGGTGAAGTGTGGCAGGGCCCTTACTTGAGTTTCTCCAGGGACCAGTAGTGTGTGGCTCCATTCTTCAGGTCCTGAACCTCTACAGCAACCACAGTCCGGGGGAAAGGCCTGGAGTCTCGCTCTTTCTCTGGTTCTGGGGGCAGGAGCTCAGGTGGGAGCGGGGAGTACAACGTATCTGTCAGTAAGACAAACTGGAACTGCACCTGAAACATTGGGAGGGAAGAGCAAAATAAAGTGAAGAGACGCAAAACAAGAAGTCTGGAAAAAGGACTTCCAGCTCTGCAATTTAGACAATGTTATGTTTGCAGGTGTTTCTAGATCAGAACTGTTTTTCAGCGAATAAACCAAAGATGAAGTATTATGGTCAATAAAAAAAGACCATTTCATATCCTCCCTCTTCCCTGTATCCTTTGGGGTTAAAAAGCTAAAGCAATTAAAAACACTGGATATAAATTACAGACAGAAACCAACAAAAACCTCTAGATAAAAAATAAAAAACAAAACATAAAAACCTCTCTGAAAGGTATCTGTGACAGACAGCCGATCTCTAGTCTCAATCATGAAGCTCAGGGAACTTGACAAGAACATAAATTACAGTGGTGCCCAGATGGGGAAGGTGGACTGCTACAGATAATTCATAACAAATATAATTTCTCTGTGTGACAGTGAGCCAACATCCCCTACACACACACACACACACACACACACACACACACACACACACACACACACACACACACACACACACACACACACACACACACACACACACACACACACACGTGGGGTGAATGATTGAAGGGATTGCCTACATAATGTTTCAATGTATCTGTCAGCTAAATGATTCACTTGCATCACAGGCTATATTGAATTGTTTATCAGTCTCATCACACCATCCTGCTGTTTGGTTATTTTTTGTTGCTGCTTATTTTAGAAAAAATGACAAACTTAAACCAATGGTGAATCACTGTGCCGTGAACTGAATTTTTCTCACTTTCTTCTTCAGCTCCACACTTATGGCGTTGGCCTCCTTCAGGTAAACAGCATTACCCCACAGCTGGTCACGCAGGGAGGTGAACTGATGGTACCTCCACTTCCTGAAGGCCCACTGAGCGAGCTCAAACTCATGCTGAGTCCATGGCACTGCAGGGAGACATGACAAGGACATTATGTGCACATAATCACATACAGTAAGAACACAGAGAATGGTGAAGAACCATATTGGTGGTTTAAGTCGTTTTAGTCCAATCACAAATGTTGCACTTGATATTACGGTCTAGGTAATTCATTATTCAAACATAGAGTCCCCTTCTTTGTTAGTCAATAGTTTCCACAAGCAGTGACTGTGACGAAAACTAACATGTTGTTGCACTTGAGAATCCAATTTCTGCAATCTGTCTCAGTAAAGTCAAACCTAAAAGTCAACATGCAAAGATGGACATTGTGTCTCTTTTATTTTTCCTTCTCTACAGTCTAACTGTAATGCACAGAAACACTAGAAAGCAACAACAGAATTCAAAAGATGCTACTCCTCTCGAAACAACACCCCAGAGAATAGATAAGGTAAGATAAGATAGACCTTTATTTATCCCACGGTGGGGAAATTTGGAGTGTTACGGCAGCAAAAGATCAGCAGAGCAAACATAGGAGAATAACTACACTGGATCATTACTGCTTTGAGCACCGATTCCCTGAAATTGAGGAAGTTATTCTAAATGTATAAAATCATTACATACATCATCAGGGTCAGCTTCACTGAGCCCTTTCAGTCAAAAATTTGAGACTGTGGTGTATTACCAATAACATGAAAGAAATAAACACTGGTACTGATTTGAAGAGTGGCTTGAAATGAAAAATTGTTGCCAGGGCTTTGGAGATGAAGTGTTATTGACATGTTATGATGCAAATACTTCAAGCATGATCTTTTAAACTTCATCTGAGATGGTTTTGATAGGTTATTTTTCTTCATTTTAAGGAGTTAGATAATGTATTAATTATGAGCCACTTTAACTTTATTTTTGAACAATTAGTATTTATTATGAACAATTTTGCAACCAATGAGGTTGATGTTATAGTCTTTTGATTATATAAAGAGAATACTATACGCACATCCTAGAAGTTTGGGCTCTGGACAGAAAAATAGAGAAAAAAACATTTATGTTGTTGTTTTACATTTGAGTTTAGTTATAGTGAAATCTCTAGGACTATGAATTGCAATACACACCTTCCTCTTCTTCCTCCTCTTCCAACTCTTCTTCATCAGGTGTCTCAGCTACCAGAGAAATAGTTTCCACCTGTTTTTGAAGTTCCTGCAATTTGCTCTCGTACACCTGGACACAGAGACACCAGGGGAAAGAAGAGAAAACAGCCACAACAGCACGTGAGCTAAGCTAATCATCTGCACCACATTTTGACTTTCCAATCAAAGAACTGTGAGACAACTGGACTTAACTTGACCCACCACAGCACCTCCTTGCTTTTATTTACTCATTGAGGACAAAATGAGATAGTTCAATAGAAATAGAAATCTGAACTGGATATGAAAATATTGTCACATGAGAGTGGACTTAGAAAAATACTACTGTTGAATGAGTTTTACACAAAAACATAGACTTAATATTGTCAGACATATTGAAATGCAGTCTGGTCTGTTTTTACCACAGTTAAAACTAGCATTAAAAGGGAAAATTCACATTGACTATCATCCATAATTAAGTATCACAAATAGATAATAGGTATTATATTTATTGTAGTTTCAAGATATTTAAAGTGCTTAATTTCAGTCATTCTAACAAATTAAAAACTCAAACGGAACTAAAGATTGTTTCCCTTAAAATACACGATAAAGTTCTCTAAATAAGAACTGATTAAAACACTAAAACTTCCTCTTTATTCTGATGGGAACGGCTGGAGAAGAAAAAGAGAAGCGCTGGTGGAGGCTGAGTCAACTGTAATCCAATGAGGGTCATCATCATCAGAGCAGGACATGCCATGGTCCCGATGACCTCATCCTGTTTGTTCAGTGTCTTCTGGGAAGACAATGCAGCCTTTTCATTCATGGTTTACCTCCTCCCTGCTAGGTTCCTGCCTGCAAGCTACAAACTGCACTGTCTTAAATCAAACTTTGAAAATCCAACAAGCAAATATTATCGAATGTCTGCAGTCAATACATTCAAAATGTGCCCTATATTGTCTGTAGTGTTTGATGTAGAACTGAATGCAGTACTATGAGCATAGTTTGAGGCTTTTTTAAACACCTACATTTTGGTATAGTATAATAATAAATAACTGTTAACAAATCTGCAAACTTTTAGCCTGCATAACATAATTGAAAGCCCATTAACCACAACTATATGAAATGTTTACAAATCAGACTTTTTGCAGTTACCCATGATATTGTTCAGATTTTTAAATAAAGGTGGTACATTTGTATGGAATATTTTGAAAATAAACTATATCTGTATTTACTAAAGCACTAACAAATCCTCTTCACCTGGTCACTTCTGAGCACCCAAAACACACAGAGACCTTATTTTATCTAAAGCTCCTATGAGAAACATTTGGTTTGTGTTAAATTTGGCGCCCCCTGTGGACAGAGCAGTCTCTGCTTAGCTTGTCCTTTACATGCCTACATGGTGTCTTCTCACCAATAATTTCATCCTGCTGACTTTTGACAGTCAAATGTGCCATTTATTGTGAATATTTTATCTGTAAGTTGTAAAAACAAAGCTCCTCTTTAGATGCTCGGCTAACATCTACCCCCTCACACCAGTTTCAGACATTAAAAATCACAATATGAAAACAGTCAATCCTATTACTAATGGTCTTGTTTGTTTGTGTTTATATTATCAAAAGGTGTCAACATAAATTTCTGTCTATTTCATGGACGTTAAAAAACTCCTCACAGGAACTTTAATCCTAACTTATCCACAGTCAGTTAAATTCAGCCATGTATAACACACACTGCACTTGTAGCATGTCATTTATTTCAATCATACTTTGAAAATAAACCTCCAGCAACACAGGCATTCAGTATATTCTTTTTTTTTTAAACCTGTGAATACAGTTTTCACACATGAACTGTATGTATGCACATCGTGATCGATTAAAGAACAACACAACTTGGTACACAGCCACTAAAAAAAAAGATTTAAAAAAGCAGCAGACAACAATAAAGACACTTTGAATTGAGACCTAACACTGATATATATATATATGAATATTTCAAAGAACAATACAGTACGCATTGTCCATTCGATGAAGTTCTTCCAAGCTTACCTGGCTGCCACCAGCACCAGTGCATAGGCTTAATAACATTTGTTAACAGAGAATCTATTAAAGATGGAGAAATGTAAGCTTTTGCATGCAAAGGCAGTCAAAGACATAAGGCATAGAGTGGAGGGACTAGACTTGCATATTGAACTACATAATTTGGTTTTTGTTGAAGAATAGTAAGGCAGAGTATATACTGGCAAATACTCAGTATAAAACACAGAAATCATTTAATCATTCTGAACTCAGAGTATAAAACTGTGACAGTACTTAAAGGTCTTTCTGAAATCGCTGCTAGGAGTCAAAGTAACCCTAAAAGGGTTAAAAGGCCAACCGGTATCGAAATGTAATAACTTTTTTTAAGCAATTGGTAAAGACAAAACAGATTACCAGGCAGACTTGCTACTAATTTAGACTGCTTTTTCAAAAACAGTAAGGCTGTCGAATGATTTTGTGGATCATTATGATAGATCGATCCATGTTGTATGAAAATGCAGTTTATGATGCACCTAAAACGAAGCAGTCCCTAAAATCCCATTTGACATGGAGAGTTCTCACAAATAACATTATGCAAATACTTTGAGTCTTTGTGCTCCCTCCAAGATTTTTAAGTAGAGTCTTTGGGAACCATGACAACCCTCTGTAGGACATCCAGTAGACACAGGGTGAACCCTGTGCTAACTCAGTGAACCACAGACTGAATGTATTTTGAACACTGAGAAAGAGCTCATGGTTCATACAGGAAGAGAAGGGCGATGATGAAGAAAACTCTGGACTTGTTACAGAGAAACTTAAACACACATGAACTTTCTGTAACTAATCTGACAAAAGAGGTCAGCTTGGTAGCATTTCAGCCTTTAAGAAGGACTCTAGTAAACTCAAGGATTTACAGAGAACATCCACATCATTAAAACCATCCTGGGGTAAAAACTACCAATAATGTTGGTAGTTTATTGTGGAACTTTTTCAAATTGTGGGTGAGGTATTATTTAACATTTGAACTTATATCTTAAAAAACTAACCCCTAAAAGAAGTGCAAATTACTGAAATACAAGTGGGTGGTAATTATAAATTTAAAATAAATTCAAAAAAGAAAGAAAATATAGATTAAGTAATAAGGGAGCTTTTGAAAAAAAAATGGAATCAGTATGTTTTAACTCAAAAGTTAGTCTGGTTAGAAAAGTTATGAAGAGTTTTTGCGAATCTATGCTGAGCCCTTATGTGTTAGCCTTGAATTTAAAAAGAGGGGAGAATTGTTCGAAGCAGGATTAATAGAGTTAGAGCATAGTAGGCACCTTTGGAACACCTCTGGCTTTGCCAAATCTTTCAGTCCATTTAAACTAGTGCATCAAGCTACTCAATCATTCATTAAGGAAAGTCCAGCACACTGGTCTTTTGATTCCAGATCTAGGCCAATGGTTATTTTTGACAGAAAAGATTTCATGAGACACAGCACAAAATGTGAAGATGATTTAACCATGATAACGTTCAGTTATGTGGCACGTATAAATAAATATAAGGCATCTTTCAATTCTTAATGTGGACTACAACATCAACAAAAATTCTCAATGAAATGAGAAGTGTGTTCATACTGCGGTGGCTCAAACATTCATGATAGATCAATACTAAAAAGGCAAATATGTAAACCATGAAGATAATTTTGGCAAATAAAAGCATGATGGATGAATTGTCCCACATGATAAAAAATGAATTGAGTAGGCGTGGCATGTCTCTTCTGAAAAACTGTCTGTTGGCTTGATTTCCTTATGACAGCTCTCCCAATGGTAGTGATGACAATAAACACGAACAAAGTTATAACCGGCACATGTTTTTTTGATTGTGAGGATGAAGCAAATAAAGTCTATTTTAAAATACAAACAACACTTTTGGGTCAACCAATAACACTGATCAAGTGCAAAAGTCTCAGTACAGTTTAGCTGTTTGACTCTCATGATTCAGACTTGTTGTGATCTGTAATGTGTTTGCCTACTAAAAGTTTATTCAACTGGTTCCTGATTCCTCAAGTTCCTCTCAGACTGCTGTCTCTCTGCTGGCTTTTAGATTAGGAGCCGACAGTTGCCTACGCATTCGCGGGGGTGCCTGAAAGGTGATTGGATGGTTCGCGTGGTCAGTATGGTGGTATTGCTGGTAGCCGTTGAATCTGCCGTCTGCATACATCATGCCGTTGTAGTGGCAGGGTTGTTGCTGGGGGTGTGGCTGGGGATGTGGTGGTTGGTTCTGATGATGACGGGGCTGGTAGAAGGCCTGTGTGTGCCTCCTGTTGCCTTCAGACTGCTGCAGTGACTCCATGGAGCCTGACGGCCGCTGGCGGTGATTGAATGAATTGCTGCGGCCTCGCTCATGGGGCTGCTGATGTTGGTTGTTTCTATAGTTATATCTGTGACCCTGGCTTAAACCTTGCTCCAAGTCTTTACTTCTGTGCTGGACTACAGGGTTCGGCAATGGGGGAGTGACTTGTATAACTGAAGCAGCCATCTGCTCTTTGGGCTGTACTCTTTCCTCTGGCTGGCTTTCTTCTCCCTCTTCTTCTTCTACGGATTCTTTCGGCACCTTCAGCTCAATGACCTGCTCGTCTGTAATTATGATGTGAGTACCAGGGCTCCAGGAGTTTCGGTGCTTAGGGTTACTTTTGAAGGGGAACCGTAGCTTGCGGTCTTCTGGGGGTATAAAGCGATGTGGTCCAGTATGGCGGCGGAGCTGCTTTGAGATTTCTTGCTGCTGAAGGTTTTTGAGGCGCATCTGCTCTTGGCGCATCCAACGCATTTGGGCTCCTCGCTTTAGAGCTGTGTCATCCCCTGCACTTTGGCCTATTTGCAAATCTGCTTCCTCTGTTTCAGGCTTTTCAGGGAGAGGGGGTTTTGCTTCTCGGGGGCTTGGAGTTATGGGAGCACTTGTAGAGGTACCACCACTTTGTGGCTGTTCTTGTCCATCTGGCGTGATTAGTGGAAGGACCTTTTCCATTTTGACCATCTTGTTCCTGAGAGCACGGATCTCCTCGTCCTTCATGTTATTTTGTTTCTTGACTTCATGAAGGATGTCCTCCAGTTTGTCAATGTGCACCTTTAGATCATCCATGACAACCCCTCCTGCTCGAGACCCATTGGTGATGACGTCCTCTATGCGCTCATCACCAACCCCCACAGTGTCCCAAACATCCCGAGCCACCGCCCTCCACGAGTCCCGCTCGTTGGGGTCTTTCTTGCTGTAGCTAGCACAGAGCTCCTTCATCTTGACTATGGCCAACGCCTCGATCTCCTGCCGTGTGTGTCGGAAGTCATTCAGCGCGACTTCATAACAGATTTCCTTGACTGCCTGGATCTTCAGATCGGAGATGGTCACCCACTTGGAGTCCTTGGTGATGCGGCGTCTCTGAGGAATCTGGTACATTTTCACAGGCTCTCTTCTCTTCCCGCTGCTGGGTAATCCACACTTTTTCACTATGGTTTGAAGCTTGCTTGGGGGCAGCTTTTCCCTCAGGGAAGTGATCAGCCTCCAGCTCTCCTCACAAGACCTCTTATCAGAGTCATCCCCACTATCAGAGTCTCCATCCTTGAGGAAACAACACAGGAAAAAAAACCAAATGGTTCCCAAAAAAAGAGAAATTAAAATGGGAAATCAAAGAGAAAATGAAAGGATGACTTAAAAAAAGAATGAATAAAAGGTATGAATATGCAACACGGGAACTTTAGCATTTAGTTAAAGCAAAGTCAATCTAGAAAATACAAACTGATCTGAAATCTTTCTGGTTCAGAAGCACAAGATTGAGTTTGTGAAGAGATGACCAATGCACCGTAATTAAGTCAGCAAAACATTTTTCATACATCAGTACTGTACAAGATGTATGGCAACATGCTGTTTACAGAATTATGCACTTAGGCAAACTCATGTTCCAAGTAAATCAAGTCAAACAAATCAATCAACAAACAGTGGCTTCCATTGACTTTCTTGTCAGTGTGTTGTTTGAATATTCTCTGAGAAATGGTGAGATTTGGGTTCAATCATTGACTTGTTGTAAAAATGATGATTTTTCACATCTCAGAATTAAAGACATCTACTGAAACTATCTTGTTCCCAGTGTTGCATATTGATATTAAAGGTGAAGCATGTCTAACATGATTAGAAAGAGGATAGTTGCTGATTGGAGCGCTTCTGTATTGTTTTGAGGCAGTCCTCTTCTTAGTTTAAATATTTTGTGTTTTCAAAGCTGGGTCCAAAACATGCTACAGTGGCATGCATGTAGATGGATTTTGGAGCTTTCCCCCTTTAGTCCAGAAGATTTGAAGTTTCAGGCTTTAGTAAAAGCAGTGAGTTAGAAAACAGAGTGCTCTTGCAGTTGATCAGAAAGCCAGTAGAGAGGAGAGGCAGAAGTGAGGGTAAATGTTAATCCACTACAAGAAAGATGTTAGTCGGAAAAATGCAGTTTCTCATTTTTTTGTAGACAAAATACATTACAGATCACAACCATTTGGTACAGATAATTCAAGTCTTCTTGTGTATGATAATGTATCAGTCACTAGAATTGGAAGTGTTATCTTCATGGGGATGGGTTTGAACCCTAAGCTTGTAGCTCTGCACATAAAAACACAAGAGTGAGGACGAGGTCTCTTTTTCACTGATTCAGCTGTAAGCAGTGATAACTCTGTTGTTGTTGAGCCAGGCCCTCAGTGTGCTACACCGATATCATAAAGGCTAGCAAAGAGAGGTAGCCAAAGAAGTCAATGAGAAACCACATTGTAACAATCCCCGAGAAAACTACAGCAGGAACATTTGTTATCACAATGCATTGTATAGTGAGCAACTGCATTGAAGAGACAAAACTCAGGACAAAACAGAGCAAGAAAAACTAGAGTGGAAATCTAATCCAAGCAAATCAACAGCCACTTCAAAGTTGACCAGCTCAACAGCAAACACTGCAACTTAGTCCAGAACCGTTACTGAATGAATTAATAAAAACATGCTATTGACATGAACCATGCAAATGCAGCAGCGTAATATAAAAACAAGAGTTTGAATACTGACCATGAGTCAATCAGTTTGAATTTTATTTTGATCTTTACTTTAAACCTACTGTTTCTGTAAGCTGCTGTTTTGCAAGATTCAAATTCTCTAAAAAAGACACAAGAAAAGTGAAAACAGGGATTTGGAAAAGGGGAAAGCTTTACCATCTAATTCTCACTCGATCAAATTGCTACAGAAAAGTCAGTTAAAACTCAAGTAGAAGGCAGGTATAAAGCTCATCCGTCTCAAACCAGAGAAACTTCCATGCAAGAAGAAAAGACATGCGCTTGGAGTAACAAAGTGTGATTCACACGCACACACATATATCAAACGGGTCAAAGCGTCAAGTGAGAATTAGTGCTAGTCAGATTTACATGGACTGCATGACATCCAAATAACAAAACCTACTTTTGAATTGAAATTGACCAAAGAAAAACATGGGATAACTTTGAGTCACAAACTAGCTGAATCATTCCAGAAACTGCCTTTATTGTAGCTCATCTACAAAAAACATCAACCAAATGCTGCTTTATCTGCTTTATCCAATCTGTAGTCACTACTGCTAATCTGACAGCCAGAGCAGAAAGACTGAGTTATAGGGAAGGGTTTAAACAATTCAAACTTCTTTGAACTTACCAGTCGCTGTTGCTCCAGAAGTTGGTCTGCCTCCTCCTTCTCTTTTTTGTACAAGATTTCCATCTCAGTGAGCCTACGCAAATGAATAAAATATATCAATTGAACACATCAAAGGAGGGGTGATCAAATATGACATCCACTGCTAAAAGGATGGATGCATACCTTTTCTCCATCTCCTGCTTCATGTCGATACCCTGCTTCTCTAGAAGCTCCCTCTGAGCAAAAGTCCAATCCACTGGCTCTACTGGAGTCTCAGCAGACGGTGTCTTCTCTCTCTCAGCTCTGGCTTGCTCTGGATGGTTGAATCGGAATACATGGTTCTTTCCCATAATGATTCGGTTACCTGAAAGAAGGGAGGGCGGAAGTTAGCTGAAGAGCCTGAAAATTACATCAGTCCTACTTTGTCGCTGATAAAATACATTTATTAAACTTAAAGTAGAACCTTAATAAAATATATTTAGCTTAAAAATTGTCGTTAAGTCTAAGGGCAAAACATTTCTATATTCAGTTGTTTACAGCCATCAGTCGTAATAATTGACCCAAAGAAGTGAAAAAATATCACATTTACATTTATTCAGAACTTTGTTTAAAACACGTACCTGAGCGAAGCTGGATTGCATCCTCAACACGCTTGCCATTGACGTAGGTTTCTGATCCCTCGCAGGGCACCAGCATGACAATAACTTCAACAAACACATAAATCAAACATGAGTGACTCACTCTGAAAAAAAGCTCAAGACTCCTTCACTTACAAATGATAAGGGACAAATATCTAATCCAGCATGATGACGGCTGATCTTTAAGCTTTACATATTTCTATTACAAAGTCTATGTTTATGTAATAATCTAATCCATGAGAAAAGTGCCTTAGGTTGCTGCATTGCATATATTTAGGAACTGTATTCATGTGTATTCATTTATTCATGTATTCATTCACCAAATAATCATGCCATCAACACTGCTTAAGTCAAAATAATCTACACATTTAAAACACTACCATGCATACGCTGAATGAAATTCCTCATAATGTGCCTCACCATCTCCGTTGGCGTTCCTCTCGCTGTGGAAGATGCAGTGCTCCTCCTTGATATGAGCTCCACTTAGAACAATGTCTTGTCTTCTTTCAGCATCAGCCTGACCCACCCTGAAACAATCACAGAGGTCATTTTGAGTGGGTCTTTGTATTACACACACAGATCAGTTGAGCCACAAATACGGTTTGATTAGGCAATTTAACTGGACTGGTTGTTTAATGAATTGTGAGGACATGGACGACTTTAGAGCTCTGGCCCCTTTTACAGACAATACGGTAGGTTTTGTCGTTTACTTCCCTTCTTCTTCTATTCAGGTTTTGTGCTTTACCCAGCTTCCCAGGTAACATCCAGGTAAAAACTCAGTGTGCATACTTTAGTGCTCAGACCACCTATTTGTGTCCTGTTGCAGTGTTAACATGCAAAAACTGCATTACAGAGTTAACAACAGTTGCATTGCATTATCTATGTGGGCATTTCCAGTGAGTTGTTAACAGTTATAACACATTATAATCCCTGACCTGTCATGTCATGATAAAATGCTTTATAATGTGTTATGATTATTGCTATAAAGCATTATGATCATTTATGAGTGTTTATAACTATAGTTATACATCGCTATACCATGATTATAACACAATGCATGTATATTTATAATGCGTTATAGAGATAGGCGTCAAATAAAGTGTTACCATACATTTTTACATCACGTGCAAACTAAGTGATCACTACCATCCCATTTGTATTAGAAGCAAAAAGTCAACTTCAGAGGTTAAATGCCTCTCCAAGCTACTACAATTTCTTGTGTCAGAGATTCTGACGGCTATTTTTGGCCCTTCGGGATAGGACTGAAACAAAATAGTCATCAGGAATAGTCTGAAGAGAGGGCAAAAGGACAAAAGGGGAGAAGAGGTCCTTTCAAAAGTGAAAGTTTTTAGGATCAGCGGTAGATGTTGAGCTGGTGTACCAGACTGAAGGAAGGAGATAAATTGAAACACAAAATTGACTTCTAGGACATCGTTCAGGTGGAAAAAATTCAAAACCTTTCAACAACATCTAAAGCATTTCAGCATCACCCTTCAGTTTGTTTGTTTTTTTTTCATTACCTGGTTACTCCGTCTTTGATGTAGTAGAGCAGACACTCTGACATGAGAGGGTCTTCATTCAGGTTCACCAGATGTGGAGTCTGAAGATGAAACACAAGAAGCACAGAGTTAATAGAAGATGATTTCCCACAGACTGTCCACATCAATATCCAGCAGTGTTGTAACTGCATCAATACTAGAGATATTAACCCAGCGGCCACAGTCTATATTTCAAAGACAGACACTGACAGTCACGTTTTACTAAATACAGAAACAATGACAAAGCTCAAACATCACAGTACCATCTCCAACAAAGCAGCTACTGAGCTAAATCACCAACCTTTTTGGGGGAAAACACCCCATTAAAGTCTGTATAAAGATCACACTGCTTCTCAACGAAACCATAACCCAGGAAGAGGCAGTGAGTGAAAAGAGAGAAAAAAATGAATGGAAGAAAGAAAGATGCGAACAAAAGGGAATACACCACAGTACATCAGTTAGCAGCAGAGGAAGGAGATGAAAATGCCTAAAAGGGATTGTTATCAAAGGGGGGGATGTTTCTGATATCAGCACTGATCTAGAGACAACTGGCACCAAAGAATCCGAGACAGAAAGACCGCAAATCTCTCTCTGCCTGAATGGTTACTCTTCTGACAAGAACTTATATTATCATATTATCAAACCAACTGACCTCTATGTAGCTGTTCCACAATATTCCTCTAGTACTACACTAGATAAGCGAGACAAGAAGATTGTAATTTCAAAATTTTTTAATAATTATCATAGTCAAACTCAGAAACACTTATTAAATCTTAATATTACCCCCAATTTTTAGGTTTGAGTTAGATTTACGTTATGTTGAAAATACCAGGAGTGAGATGATTTACTGCAGATGTTTTAAAGTGTAGTTCAAAATCATCAGTATTTAACCTGCATTGTATACTGCGTATCATTTTGGATGTTCAATCACTCTTAAAGGGCCAGACCACACTCACCTATAGGACTACATCTACTGCGAGGAATATGCTGCCATGAAAAATAAACAAACCTTCTTGGTGGGGAAACAATCAAGCCGCTCATCAAACGAGATTTCATGGCTAAGCTGAGTACGTGGAGGAAGCAAATAACAAAGGGGTGGAAGGACAGACAGTGTGATTACGTGAGAAAAAAAAAACAGAGACAGAGGTACAGGACGGGTGCTCATGGCAAAAAAAGATAACATGGGAAACAGAAGTGAGGAAGTGATGATGGAAGAGTGCGCATCACCACCCAATGGAAACAGTCCCCTGCCAACACGAGTGTCTGTGCTCATGTCTGTTCTACCTTTTTAGGAGAGAAGACTCCCAAAGTGCCTCCATCTTCACGGATCGCCACACCCATCTCTGCAAGCAAGGCCTCTCTGCAACGAAAAAACATTTCATACTTAGAACAATCAAGCTGGCTTTATTGGTGCCTTTGTCTTCAACGTTGTGCTTATGTTTTTCTTGCTAGGAGAAATAAGATCAACTCTGGACATTGATTTTCAAAGGGTTTTTTTGTTGAGGAGGGATGATGTGTGCAACATAGAGTAAAGGATTTGGTGTGACAGCAAAAATAGAGTGGCCTGGGTGAGACCCAGAGGATGAAAAGTAACGTGTTTGACATCTGCAGCCACAGATGAGTGGTTAATGGGTGTGAGAGAGCCTTTTGTTCAGCAGAGAATGACGACAGAGACAGGAAGAGAAATGGAGTGTGTGTGTGTGTGTGTGTGTGTGTGTGTGTGTGTGGGGGGGGGGGGGGGTAAGACTTTCTAGATGAGGAAAGTGAGACGGATAGTTCAGAGGGTCAGAGAAGACTGAAAACACCCCTGTAGTTCAGTCTCATACACTGACAGGGCACAGATGGATTGAATGAGGACACTTATGCGAACTTGTCAGCCAATACTGACCTCTCCATGCGGATTGCCTCCGTCTTTCGCAGTTTTTCTTCCCAGGTTTCATTGAGCTCAGCAATGATCTTTTCTGATTCCTGGAAAAGGAGGGAAAATGAGTCAGAAAAACACCAATAGTATCTAATCTGAACCATTAGTAAAGAAACTGGATGGTGTATTAACCTAGGTAACACTGATTTGTGATTTTTATTTCCTTAAACAAATTAGAATGTGATTTAAACCATCACATGTGCCTCTCCTTTAATTTTAAGAGCAATTAGGTCCTCGACCATCCGCTCTTTTGGATGTTGAAATATGTCTGTGTTTGGGTCTATAAAGGTTTAATACGCAGCATACAGTTTAAGATATCATTCTGGACAGTATTGAAAAACATGTAAGCTTCTCTAAGCATTGTTAAAGTGACCTCAAATGTAGTCACCTTTCTGGATGACTTAAAAATAGCTCCAATGCTATGAAGGATTATAGAACGGCATTATTACGTGTCTGACTAATAGATCTGAGAGCCAATACGACAGGGTCTATTTTGGTCCAGTTCCCTCCATATCTGCGTCTGTTCTTGACGTCATTGGATGACAGACAGACTGGGCACCCCAGTTTCTATGGAAACAGCAGCTCCTCATGGTTAGGAGTTGCAATCGTATGTGCTCCCTCATCAACAGAGCGAGGATGAGAGAGCGTGAGAGAACTAAAACATCACAAGAGCACTAAAAACAGATAGATTACGAGGTATATGTGGTTACAGGTTATGTAATTATAAAACAATGTGATACTAACATATACGTACTCAGAGAGGCACCAACACACTTGTGTTATTTACATATTTATCATACTAGGCAGTTTAGGGGACAGATACAGAAAGAGCCAGTGGAGGAAACTTAACATTCATCATTATGAAAGTAAATTGTAAGAAGTCTTTTGATAAATCTGGTTATTAAGTTGATGGAAATGAACTTATTAGGGGCTGAATCTCCTTCTCCCATCACAGGGAACACAAGTGTACTGCAGTCCAACGTTACCTTCAGTCTCTCGATAGCCTCCTCTCCTCCAGGGGTGGACATGATGCGCTCCTGGATGCTGGTGACCGACTGAAGGCCACCCTGGTTGCACAGTGAGCCAGAAGATGGGGAGGCTGTCAGGGAACCAATAGGGGCTGTGGAGAAATGGCCAGGGCGTTGGTTCTCTGAGGCTATCAAGTATCTATTCTTATTGTTCTGAATGTCTTTGAGGTCTGAGCCAACAGCAGAAGAGAAGGAAGAAGGGAGAGGAAAAAGCACAGAACAAGAAAGGGACGGGAGAGACCCAGGACAGGGTAAGGAAGGATAACCCACATAAAATTAAAGAACCGGAAAACAAGAGAAGAGAGAAAGAGAGAAAGAGATGGGGAAAGAGAAAAGACAAAGGGAGGGAAGACCAATGTAAGACACACATTGTACATCAAAGGGTTAAGACAAAAAACAGGATCATGGTCAGCTACAGGGAGCAGCAGTTTTCATTCCAGGTGCTTTTGATAAGTTGAGTTCATTTATTAAACTTTAGAGTCTACTCTGTTTGAGGGTTTCCAATGAGCTGTTTCCATGTTCACCAAAAGAGGAGTCAACTCTGAACAATGAATCTGCAGTATGTCCAGTTCTGAGGAAGGGGTAATAATGTCATCTGTTGTCTTTTGCTTTGGTCCTGAACCCTTCACTTGAATAAAAAGCACACTGTGTGAAAACTGCTATCAGTGTAACAACTACAGGATGGGAGGACGATGGAAACCGCAAGAAGGCCCAGAGGGAGGACAGAAGAAGGTCATCGACACATGCTGCCAAAGTTCAGCCAGCAGTTGACTAGTTTGATTCACCACACACACACACACATACACACACACACACACACACACACACACACACTCTCAAACATCAATTATAGCTGCTCCACAGCAGCATCACTAAAGGTCAAGCAGCTCCTGTCAATATAAGGATCTGAAGGACCTTTAATGTAAAACAGACTGCTCTCAAAAATTACAATTTCAAAATGAACCAAAAAGGTAAAGTTTGGATCAAAATGATACATCATAAAATACCTGAGGTACAAATGTGCACCAATTAAAGGGTTTCCAGGTTGTAAAAATTAGGTGGATACACAAGGACCCAATATCAAAGTGACTTGATAGAACAGCTTCAAAGTCGATGGTTTGACCGTGCACACAGGTAAAGTGGATGAACACTTTCCAGATTAACTAAATTAGGATTACTAGGGCACGAGGGAGCACACAAGGAAACTACTGAATCACATCTGGTCTATCCAATCTTGACACACTACTCTGGTGAGGCTACTAGAAATATTAAAATCATGCACCTTTGCGTCTGTAGCTCTGAGACTCAGTTTGAGAACAGAGAAGAGGCTCTCTAAAGCTTTGAGCGCTGTCAGCTGCAGCCCAGGGTTAGTAAAAGAAATCAAAATCAAAAGCAGAAATACCACAGTCAAGAAAAGAAGCTTGAGTGGGTGAGTCAAAGTCTGGTATGGAAAGGAAATGTTGCAGGTGCTTTGGGGGTTGGGGTAGACAGACAAGCTATTCTTAAAGTAATGTTTCCAAAAGGGATATTCCAAAAGTAACGTGTGATACGTTTGAGTCTGCAAATAGCTACCTTACCCCTCTAAGCTAGAAAAAGAAACAGAAGCACAAGCATTAAGCATGCTAACCTAGTGGCATGCTAGCCCTTGCCAGATCAGGACACCTACTGAAGCCTTGCATTTCTGATTCTCCTTTTAAGCTTAAGCTTTTGCCCTTTTAGCATTTACATGCAAAGCTAGAAGCAGATTGGAGATACAGCGCGATGGGGGCATAAGCAATGTTAGCAATTGTTAATAAGGCAAAAAGTGATTCAGAACCAGCACACATATACACACATTTGATTCCACTTCCTGGGTAATCATCCCCCATAGGATCAACTGAGGGGAGGCAGGAAGAGATGAGAAGGGTCAGAGGTCAGAGTCAGTAGAATGGGAGGAAAATGTTACAGACATTTCTCAGTGAGTTGGATGAGAAGGATCATGTGAATGAGAAGAAAAAGCATTAATTGGCTTGTCATGTGCCATGTCATTAAGCATGATGTGAGCAGTCATTAGCAAGTAGGCAAGTTATACATCAATTTAGAAATTAGAGGTTATTAAGGGGTGTATTATGTCTCTAATTAACAAGGCTATGAGGCATCAATTTTGTGTACAGCCATTGAAGTGTGACACTTAGATGTAACTTTGAACTATCATTCATGTAGTTTGTCCACATGAGCTACATGGGACTAAAGAAACTGTGATTCAATGAAACAACTATATTGTCTAAAAAACTTCAACTTTACATTTCCCATCCTCTGGAAAATACAGCCTACATTACTGAATACAAATCATCCTTTTTCCTCTGGTTAAGAGGCAGAATGAGCCTGTTACTTGGTATGTGTGGTCCTAAAAGCTGCTTTTAGTGCTGCTCAGCTCAGGAACAACACAGAGATGAAAACAAGTTGGATAATTTAGAGAAACAAGACAGTGAAGTAGAAAGAAGGTGTTTCCAGCATTGGAAGACTCCAAGAAAGAAAGTAAATGTTGCTGTTTGGCTACAGATAGTGTCTGGCATGAGAGCACTAAACTCACTGTCCAGGATGTCTCCCAGGCCCTGAGCACGGAGCAGTTCCTTCAGTCGAGCCACTTCATCCTTCAGGTCACGCACCAACTTATTGTTAGGATCCTCATTGATGACAGCATTGCATTTGATGTTCTTGGCTCGGTCAGCATAGCTAAACACAGAATGGAAAAATACCTTAGTCATAGTGGAAGAGCAAAGCGAGCAGTTGTACAGACTTGACTGCTGTTGTTGTTTACATTTTAACCTATAATCTTACCGGAGAGTGCTGAGAGTTTCATCATAGTTGATGTCTGCGGGACTGAGGGCTGCCACCATGGCTGTTCTTGAGTTCCCACCTGTCAACAAACAAAACCCCCAGAGGGTCAAATGCATGACAATAAGAATGAAAACCCATCAGATGAATATGATAAATGTGAGAAACTGAGATTACACTGAAATTCTTCAGACAAAATGAATCAGTGCTGAGTACTTAATCAATGCAAGTACGGCTTCAGTTTCATTACACTAAAATGCAGTCTACAACATGTGTCAGCTAAGACTGAAGATACTCTGTCCTCTGTACATGTCTAAGGTCAGTAGATGCTCGTTGTGCTTGCCACATTATGTTGAAATACAGTTTGCTGACTGTGCTCAGCTAATATCAGAAGATTAGTGTCCTCTAACACCAACCTGGCTCTTTTTTTTCCAAACACCCACTTCTTATAGCAGATTATAGACATTTTGATTTTTCTTGCTATCCAAAAAAATTGATATCTAGGATTTTTTCATAGTTTGTTGACATCAACTGCACCCTAGCCCACATGGAAAGGAAGTTCTTCAGGTTCTATTTGAGTTCATACCCAGGTTCTCCCTTAGCAGCCATGTCAGGACAGAGTCTCTGTAGGGGATGAAGTCGCTCTTTTTCTTTTTCTTGCTCTGAAATAAACACACATTAATTTAGCAGGCAGAATAAAACCACACTTGATGAAAAGCTTTCTGTTTGGACTGTGCTATACAACACTAGATGTAATGGACAAGATAGGGGGTCAGGTAAAATGAGTCATGGGCTTGATTCAACTAGCTTTTGCTGAGCTGCTAAAATTGTGGATCTTCATGAATGCAGATATAAAGAAGTGATGATATAAAGTGATGAAAGCATTTGTGACAGAACCCTGAAGATTGCAAATGGCAGACAAATCTGTCTCGTTACAGGAATCAGGGGTTAATGGTTGAGCTTTCGAAAGGTTTACCTTGCTGGTACAGTTATCCTGTGTAAGCAAGCATTACCAGGACAAAAGAAGAGAAAACAGAAGGGCAGACATTACTGCATGCCAGACTACAAACATCAATTCCTCATAAAGAGAGGGCTGAAGAGGGTAAGAGAAAAAAGAGGAGAAGAGGAGGAGTAAAGGAAAAAAACTTAAAATGAACACTCACCACTTCAGCCAAGGCAGAGATAACCTTTCCTAATGTAGTGAGAGATTTGTTGATGTTTGCTCCCTCCTGCAAATAAAGATCAGTTAATATAATAATATATCAGATGATATTAATGTCAGGGTGTTTTGATGATTAGTCTTACCTTTAGCCTGGTGCCTTTAGCTCCAGTGGAATCTGCACGTTCACTTCCAGCCAAGTCTACCAGACTGATTTTACTGACCTGGAGAGGAGGTTAATGCATTTTAGAGGCAGACAGGCTATGAATAATAGAAACTTCCACAATAACTATCTAAAATCATCAGAGAATATTACTTAAACAATGTGCAAAGGTGAGGATCTTTTCCAAGAATTAGTTCACAAATAAACTATTCCAAACATTTCAACTTAGATGCAGCTTGGCAGTCAAACTGATGAGGCAGCTGAATACAATGAGCATTGTGTTTGCAATAACACAGTGGTCTTTGTTCCTCAGCAGTTGGAGGAAATGCTAAAAGTCAAACTTAAAATGGCTCTCTTTCCTCCTCATACCACCACTGACTGACTGACTGACTGAGGACAATTTAGCCCAACAAAATACTCAGTTAGTTGGGAGAATCTTAGCAGCTTGGAGATAAAGAGTGAGTGATGAGTTTATCATTTCGAGTGTGACAGATCAAAGATGTATATTGGGCATAACAGGGGTGTGCTATCAATGCAGGATCTTCTGACCTTTTCTGTGCAGAGGTCTGTTTCACTGTCATGTTTCTTCTGTGTGAAGACGATGGTGAAAACAGCATGTGATCTGCTGCTGGTCTCATTCATGTTGGTGGCAGCCACAGTTCTGTAAGTTAGCACATACAGGCAGGGTGAAAAATAACAAAAAGGTGCATCTGTAACACATTTTCTGAGCACTTCAATCAAATATTCTGTATCATCAATTCAACATTTGTGGTCTTGGCTATGAGAGGAGCTAACATCACTGGGTTTTATGCTTATTAGAGTGAATTGACTCGAAAGGATTACTTTGTAAGGAGTGGGTGGATAATACTGTGAGGACACTGAATACAAATACACACAAGGCACACTCAGAGGGACAGCCACCAGGGAGATATGGCTGTTCACGCCATGTTCTAGAAATAAGCCTTGTGAGTCAGCACAGGAAGATTAAGGCAGGGTTCACTCCTCCCCACAGTCGCTCTCGTGACACTCACACACTTAAACAGAACATGGATTCAATTCACAGAGAAATAATCACTTCATAAAGAGAGACTTTCTACAAAAAAAAATCACAAACGTTCAGGTCAAGCCTCAATTAGAGTTGGCCATAAGGATTTATAAATATAACTTGCTGCTCTTTGATCAACACCAGCAATCAAACTGTAAAAAAACTGTGGCGTAAATATTTCCTGATACCAAACTACGTTCAGCCTCTATCAGCTGATTCCTCTGAAAACTTGGATGATCACATCCTCACAGCTACAGGTATAATCACCACTATCAACTCTTATCCTGGCCTCTGCTTGATCCCTTAGCTTTGCTTACCTGGCCTTGTTGCCTGCATCCATCAGGTCAGCGATATCTGTATAAGAGGTTACAGCTAGCTTGGAAAGGTCCTCCACGTAGGGGCCCAGCAGCGGATGTTCTCGCACTCGTAGGTTCCCTTTGTTTTTTGGGTTGAGCAAATCTCGCACACGCTCACAGTAGATCTCCATGTAACTGACCTAGAACCAATAATAAGTAACAGCTCAGGTACCTCAGGTCAATATCATGATGCATACATCAACATTGTGTACACACAGTAGATAGTAGGGGTGGGAAACACCAGTGATACCACAATACGATATTATCACGATACTTGGCCATGATATATTATTGTGATTTTTAACATTTTGCTATCAGTAAGTATTGCGATACAATATATTATGATTTATGCAATTTTTCAACTGTTTAGCTAATTTAGCATTTGGCTTTCTGTTACATTTTTCTTATTTACACAGTATTCCATCTTCATGTAGCACATCTTGCAAACCTCATGTGTGAGGTCCATCTCACTTGTGCCCTGCTAGCGGTCCTAACTTCTTTCCCCAGGTGCTGCTATATTTGTTGCACTACTTTCTCCTGCTCTATGATGGGACCTCTGCCAACCTCACTGGACAAACGTTGATTTTTTTCTCCATTATCATAGATTTGCCTTCATATTAACAATTAATTTGAAAAAAAAATCAATACGATATATCATCAGACAAAATATTACAATACTATGCTGTATCCATTTATTCTCCCACCCCTAGTGTATAGCAGTAAATGTTGTACTAGCTTTATTTTCTGTGTTATTGTTGGTACAGGTGGGAATAATATGCTGTTTAAAGACTTCCATTTGTCTTCCAGTCAAAAAAAGGTGAAAACTGTGCTCAGAAAACCAAAGATCTTTAAGCAGTTTCAGTCGATGTGTGATTGATGTCTGACTTTTATCAGATTCACTGTCAGGAGAGGTGGAGTATTGGTTCATTAGAGACAGGCCAACACAAGAGTCAGAGGTGAGGGATGAGAATGGGGATTACAAATGCCTAAGCAGTCTGAGACTCACCTCCACTGAGTAGGAGAGCTCCTCTTTGTTGGTGTCTTCATTGATTTTCTCAAATAGATCTTCACAGAGCTGAAAGGCAGAGACGGAGGATGTTTAGAGCAAATTAACAGGGTGTAAGGTGGGACGAAAGGAGGATGAATAGGGTTCGTGGACCTACTGATTCATAATAATCTGTTTGAATACATAGCCAATCCATAAGCAGTAACATTAGCAGATGAGACATTCCTGTTATTATAATAGAGGAACACACAGAAGAGATGAATGTATTCAAAGTTGGACAAAAAGCGAAGAAAAAAAAACTGTTTGTATGGCCATAAAATTTCTAATTCAAACCCAATATAGGGCTGGATGTTTTTCACATGGAAGACTGACAACTCATAGTAGGAAACAACCACAGAACTTGAAGATATTAATCTTGTCTAACATTAAAATCTCAATAAGATTTAGGAGATGTGATTAAAATTAAATGGTTTGAGTGAGCAGTTCGCATTGGACAATCTGTCTGGGAAACCAAAATCAAAAGGATGCGTTGAAGAACAAACCATAGGAATGATTCCTTCTTGTCCCTCCTCCTGCTTGCCCATCATGGTGTATGATTTGCCAGCTCCTGTCTGGCCATAGGCAAAAATGCAAACGTTGTATCCCTCAAAAGCATGCTGCAGCATTTCTTTGCCAATATCATTGTACACAAGGTTCTGTGATGCAAAGCTGGGGTCCTCTGGCTGTGGGGGAAAAAAAACAGTTATAAATGAAAATAAACAAGATTCTTAAAAGATGTAGTTGTGGATATGATCTGTTTGGTTTAGGAGAACAACAGAAGATAAACTTACTGTGGTGTGTGACCAATAGGAGTAATCAAAACTGAAGGTCTTTGCTGGTTCTTTGGGGGCTTTGGGGTTGGAAATAGCTGTGGGGAAAGAACAGAATTAGTAATGCGGTTGATAACATCTGATTTAGCTTGAGCCACAAATTAAGGACTTTATTTATGCACCAGATTTCTTTGAATACTCAAAAAGTTATAATTTGCTCATTAATTTTGTAACTTTTATATTCTGGTGTGCAGATAGAGGGTTTTCCAATATCCTGTTCCTAAATCAGAGCACTTAAAGTGATATGTTTGGAGCCTAAAGTCACATGAACCAGTGACGGTTCAAGGGCCATAGTGCTCAGTTTTTGCTTAGGTTGCAAAAACAGCAGTCTTCCGTAGTTACGTTCAGCAAAGACACAGTCAAAAATAGACAAACAATAAAGAGATAGAGTTAAACACACTGAAGTATTGCTGCCTCTTTATCATGACCATCTGTTCAAAAGACATGATGACACAATATTTCTGCACCATCCAGTCATTCCTGACAGCCACACAGACATCTCCTAATGAACAAGAATCTGCAGCCACGCCTGGCATGTTATCCCTCTCAACCATCCTTGCTGGTACCCCTGAGACCTGTGTCAAAGCTTTCCACACTGTGCAATGGAAATGTGACCGAAAGAGAGGAGGAGACTGGGAATTTACCGAGGAGATTTGTCGATATTCTAAACACCAGTTGCTTCTCAAATCACCCTCTGAGACAAACTGCTTTTTCATTGAGTAAAGCTCCTGTAAATGTAGAGTTTGCTTAGACTGCACAGAATATGCATACCTCGGCTGTCAGAACTGAGGGGGGAGGTGAAGAAAGGAGAACATTTAATGGGCTGGAGAAAAAAAAAAGTGTTTGAGAGACTGAAAGTAACCGGTGTGTTCGATGGCCTAGCAACAATCCAAACAGAGCCACAATAGAAACCAAAGGCAGAACAAAAAGAAAAACTGAATCTGTATCTCAGATGGAAATTTACAATGTGTACATCAAGATAATGTACTCTCCTTCAAAGGAAATCTCCATTGTTCCACAAAGCAGCTAATCGCTCTGATTCATGCCAATCGTAATTTTGTTAATGGACAAATTAATTCCAGGTCTGGCCTCTTGACTTGAGGGTGCTTGTGAGGCACTTGAATCAAGATGTTGCCAACAGAGTGTCTCACGCTCTCTGAGGATTTCAGCACACTTATCAATAATGCAGGAGATGAGGAGAAACAGGGATTGCATATCGCCCTCCACAGGTCACATGCTGACAGAAAAAGCACAGCGTGTCCTCTGAAAACCAGGACTCTAACTGCTCCATGCTAAATGTCTGATGATGGTAGCAGCTGCTACTGCAATCTAACTAGTATAGCTACAGCCTAACACAGGTAAAAACAATGCATTTGATGTAACTCATACAATCTTCAAACAGGTTAAGGTGCACAGATGGAGCCCTGGCTTCCATATTGGGCACTGGAAGAAGATACAGCTAGACAGGTGGCTAAATAAAGCCAAATTTCACCTTTGACCTGCCTCCAAAAGGAAACTGGAGCCAGGGTATGAAGAAACGAAGGGGGATTCAGGTTACCAGTGCTCCTATTCCTCTTTCCTGGAACAATCTACAGTAGCTAATTATGAAAGGGCAGCCTAATTCAGTGTCATCGAGTGTCAATGAGGCAGCTTGGCAGTAAAAGTAGAAAGATGAAGAGACAGTGACACGTGTGGGCATGTTCAGAGGAGGACACCCATGACAGGTCAGCAAACTGACTCAGAAAAAAACGACTTTCTCAGAACCATGATTATATCCTGTCAAGACATGCTATGTTGTCACTTTCTAACCTGTCTGTTGGCTTTAACACCTCCTCACTTTCTCTAATAAGTAACATCAGTAAATGTGGTGCTGTAACGACAGCAAAGCTACGTGGTATCAGCTAGTGGGAGAAGGCCTAAATCTCCTGAAAGGTGAATCATGCTCATAATGTGGTATGAATGTCTCATTCATTTGCCCACTTCATTGCTCTCCAAACAGATAGCTGCATCACCAGTGTGGTCCTGTCGTCATGAGAGTGGGTCTCATCCACGAACAAAAAAGGCAAAGGTGCAGTGAAGAGTTCTACATGAGTGGCATCTAAAATTATATCATATGTCCCATTAATATCCCACTTGTCAGTGTACACCTTACTACTGCGTGACTTCACTCTTTCACATGAGAGTATTACACTCTCATGTGAAAGAGTGAGGAATAAGGAGGTGAATTTTACTGCCTGCCATCCAAACGTAAATTCATCCGACTGATCGAGTATGTGAGTCATGTTTGAAGAAATGGGCCATTCATGTCTCAGTTGAACATGTTACTTGATTCGCTTTGTAAACCAGCACCTTTACAGCACAATTACAAACCACATCGATGTTGGTGCCAGTCCATAGTAACAGCCACTAACTAAAATTCCTCTGCTTTCCGTTCATAGTTCATATTCCCACCAGAGTCGCATCCTGGATTTAAAATGGCAGACGCATTCTGCTGCTTAAGAAACGTCATCACTCTGACTTTCTCAACCATGGCAACAGGTACGGGACCAGATTCTGGTTGCCATAACAACCTGAACTTGGCACAGAAGGGGAGGATGCAGCACATTGCATTCTGTTTTCTCCCTCCTCAAGCATCCCTGTTGCTGCGCCGACGAAGCTCCATACAGGGAAGTTAAATACAGGTTTATGGTCAATTACAGATTAATGAAGCAGTGATTTCAGGATTCTAATCCCACAGACATGGGAAAGCCATAGTAGGAAAAGCTTTAGGATTTGTCACTAAGACATTAAGCTACTTAAAATGTCAGACTCCATGAGAAATTACAGAGAATACTTTCACTACACAAAACCTATACCTGAATCATTTATAAACTCAACACTTAATAGAATCAAATTTAAAATGACAAACATTTTATCCTCAAAGTACCTTTTCAGCACTTAAGCACGTCTGAGGTCTGCAAACCTCCAGACTAAACATAAACATGAATTATACAAACAGATTAAATGCAAATGTGTGGAAGATGCATTTATTTCGAGAAAGTGAATTTCTTAAACGGTTTCAAACAGTCTTTGGGAGGATAGATGTTATGAATAATTCAGGACTTTTAGTCAGGACAGGAGGACAGACTTTCTCCTTGAGACACGTCAGCAATAAATAGAGTAAATAGAGGAAGAGCTTGAAAATGTGATTTGAATTCAAAATGGTATCTTTGTCATATATCCGTTTTGTTTGGAGAACTTTATTTCATATCCTTAGGCAGAACAGAGCAGACTTGATGAATAAGTGGAGGACCCTTCCCACGCCACAAACCCTGGCACTGCAATATTTACAATAAAGGTTCAAAAGAACAGCCATGGCTGCTCTGAAACAGCCACTTAACCCAGATTCTTTGAACATGTTTTTAATGCTGTTTATTCAGTTCTACGTATGTCAACTATCTCTGATGACCCTGCCCTTCAATTTTGGGTTTCTTGTTCAGTTTTGCCAAAAACATTCAAAATTAAGCTTTGGTAAAATGAGTAAACCCGACACAAGCTACAGGGTGGTATAAGGACGTCACTTAAATGCTTAATCATCCAAAAAAATCACAGCTCTTCTTTCTCAGTTCCTATTCAGCAGAGAATCAGTCTGTCTGGATGCTGGTTCTCCACAGGAGCTCTTCATTTTTAGGCAGGGTGGGTACCAGTTAACTAACCACATCCTGCTATCTAAAGAGTTTCACTCAGCTGGTTGTAGCCCGCAAACATTTTGTGCTCCAGCGTTCAATATGGGGCCTACAATCCAGCCAGGAAAGCAAGGAGACCCCCCTCAGTAATTAGGCTGTTAGTCTGGCTCTGAGCACCAGATGGGGACTAAAAGCCAGCCTCGTTCACCTGAGACCAACAACAAACAAGGTCTAAAATGGCTGATCATATCCTCCTCTCTCTTCTGGTAATCACCAGTGAGCTGTTCAAGCTGATCGATGCCTGTCTGCAATCATCAGAAAGGGTATAAAGGCATTAAACAAATGTATATAGAATATAATACAAAGCAGAACAAACAGATGAGCTCCTACGGGAACCTCTGAGAAATAATATCTGTGCAGAATTGCAATTACCACATGTGCTTCTTTCAGCAAGACTGAGGAAGTTTAATAGTTTCCCCGGGGTCTGTGTGCATACAGGCAGAAGTGTGATGTAACAGCTCTCCTCTGATTGTGCTATTTCACTCATTACATTCACAACATTTAACTCACTCACATGGTAACAGACTGCCATTTCCACAAATAAACAGGCCGAACCATTACATCAGAAGACTGATTTTATGATCATTCAAACATGACATAACTGATTACATTTAGTGGGACAAGGAACCACAGCAAAGTAAAACACATTTGATTGAATAATGGTCTGCAACGGTTATGTAAACCACTAGTTTTCAAGCTAAATTCAGACAAATACAACTCTCCTTGTCTAACGATATGATGTTTTGGGTAGCGTTAACTAGCAGTATAATTTAGAGACAGGTAGAGTCAGTAAGTCAGCAGTGTACTACAAAACAACTCTTTATTAAAGGAAGTTGGGGGTCTAAATGTGTTTATTCTTTGGTCAAGAGGTATTTATAAAATATACAGAATTAGCCCATCAAACCTCAGTATAGGGTGGCTTGAACTTGTCATTATTTCATATGAAGGTTGACAGGAGTGCTGCTGCTGCCTGTCTTAGTAAGGACTTAGTAATAATAATAGTAAGGTTAGTTTTTCCCCCTTTCACTCATCAGGCTGCTGTTTACAGGAGAAATATTACCTTGGTAACCAACATCCAGCTTTTCTCCTCCATAGCCTTTACTTGGACATCACTTCCAAGTGTTTAGTCTATTTGTTTATTTGTTTTTTTGAGAATTTACCTAAACCCTCTGCTTGCTCTTCTGCTCACTCTGGCACAGACAAACACACAGACACACAGACACACACACTGAGCTGTAGAGCATGCTCATTAGGTCCCTCTTTTATAATGTAGTGCTTGTTTTTGGATCTCTCCTGTTCAATGTTCTCTGCTGCCGTTTTAATTTAGTGTGGCCGTTTTGTTTTGAGAAAAAACAACTAAGAAGATTATGGTTAAAGTTATGGTAAAATAAATACCTATCAGATAGTGGTTTCTTTATTTGGAAAAGCTTAATACAGACAGATCACTGCTACTCATGGGAGTTAAGACAAAAGGTTTCCATATGCCTATGGAAGATATGTGATATGTGATGTTATTTGATAAATATTGAGGATATTAACTGTATTTGTAGGACTGTTGTTGGCAAACAGCCTTTTAGAAAACACAGACAGCACGCAATCACACACACAACATTATCAATGCACATGTTTTACATGAGTGTAAAGCATAGCGGCTGTTGGCATTAACTTGCGGTTCGAGCCATACCACAAACACATTCATATGGTTGTAAAATATTCAACAGAGAGCTCATAGGTTAGATGAGGCCCATTCTGAGGTGGCCTCAGAAACACTCTGCCTGTTGTATCCAGTATCTCTGGGACGGTGTGTGTGATTGCTCGGTTGCCAGGGCTGCGGCACAGGTGACAGAGTTGACACTGGATGCAGCTCAAAGCTGTGGGCTAAAAGTAGTGTGTGAGCACTGCTGCGCACATTTGACAAACAGCTGAGCCTGCTGCAGCCACAACACAGGACATACAACATCTCCAAAACAGAAACTAACATGCGGTATCTAGATTATGCCTTTGGACGAGGTGAACTTTAGCGTCTGGTCAAGGATATATCTTCTGGCCTTTAATTTATAATTATCAACAGAGCAACTCTTCTGAGTGCTCCTGCCAAAATCCTCATGGAAATTTCTGGACTGGCAGATGAGTTTGTCTAATCAGAGAAGCAAGCATTCAAAATTAGACTCCCCATTATAGTCATGGTCTCAGACAAAAAAAACTACAGTGAACTTCCTATAACTGATATGATTATGCATTGAATGAATCACTGCATCAAAGTAATTAGTTGATCTGTGATGGAGGGCACTCCGTTCCCACTAACAAATCCTCTGTTTCTGCTAAGAAGGCTGATCACGTCATTTTTGTCTTCCAACTGGGCAGAGACGAGAGGGGGAAAAGCACAGGAAGACACCAGAACAATGCATTGAATGCAGGGTATTGCAACTGACAACTGAGCCTGCAAAACACATTAGGTAATCTGTTATGACAAGGCTTAATGTGTCCAGTTCCCTCACAAAGACCCTTTTCACTCTCACACAGCCCCCCTCTCCTTTTCTTTTTTAATAAAAAGTGAAGGTTGCATGAAGAAAAAAGAAACTTTCAAAGTTTATGTCATTAATACACTCCAATTAAGTTCTACAAAACTTCTGTGCTAAGCTAAATTTGGTCACTTGTGTTTACTTGTCCAGGTTTTTTTTTGGAGGCTGTCTTAACATGCATAAAACCATAACTTAAACATGCTTTTTCTCAGCTTTCAGATTAAATCCCATTTTTAAAGTTACTGAGGTAACAGTACAATAAAAAACAACATCATCAACACCTGCTGCGATACTCAGTATATCCACATATCACTGAGGGAAAGATTGGTATGTTTTTTTTTTGTCTCCAGTGAGGGGATCTGATTTATTGTTTCAAATATTTAAGAAATGATCATCAAGCTCTGATGAATAATTTAGATTCAATGATATTCAATTCTCTTCTCTGAGCATTTTGGCTAACTCCATGCTAAAAAGTAGAGGAAAGTAACATTAAAATGGCTTTAGGTGGGGTTTTCAGTATAGCTGGTGAGCAGTGGGAAAGGGTGCAGTCCTGGCCTATGTGTGCCAGCTGTTCCAGCTCTGACTACTGTCTATTTATACAGCAGCAGATGGCAGCTAGTGCTTTGCATGCCGACAGACTGTCAGTGACAGGAAGGAATGGACAGATTTCAGCCGCCCAACCTTTCCGCCAAACTCAAAGCCAAACCATACATTGCTTCAGCCCACAGACACTGATAGCTCTCGAGGGCTGTGAGTGCAGTTTGATATTAGCAGCTCACGCCGGCTCACTGAGTTCAGGATAACAGTGACTAAAGAGAGGCTTCTAGAAACCACCAGACACAGAGAACATGCTAAGCCAGCAGGACTCTATTCAGAAGCTGAACAAACACACAAGTACAACAAAGAGAGAGGGCTATCAGGCAGCCTCTCAGGTGATGACATGCAGGGTTAAACCCACATGGGACACTGAGCTGGAATGAAATCAGAGCCTGAAAAGAAATAATCACCAAAATTACATGTTAGACAGTGGCTTTAAAGTGCAATACCTGGAGTGTTTACCAAAGTCTGTTAACATCCCAAACTCATCAAATCAGTAAATATACGCATTTATGTTCACATTTACACAATGATACAGGAACTTTATTTAGGGATTTCAGCTGTTTCCATAGCTTAAAGGCAATACTTCTCATGGATCAGGTCCAAGAAGGATATTCTCCTCTTTGCAGGTGCTGCCTCAAAAGGTCAGAGGTCTTTCCAAACCCATCCTGTGTCATGGAGGGCCTTGCTTATACATCCACAGCTTTGAACCAGACTGGTATTTTGAAGTTTAAAAATAGCGCTTTATTCATTAACAACTGAAACTTGCATGTGTCAGCCTTTTCACTTTAGGGAAGCTAGTCTGTTTTAAGAAAAAAACAAGAAAGGGAGGGGGCAAAGCATTTCTTTGACAGTTTTTTTTTTTGAAAAAGTCTAAACTTTTGGTTTCACAATGTTGAACAAGTTGTTGCTTTTTTCTCAGCTAACTTCTATGATGAAAAAGTAATACTGAATAGGCCATAGTCACAAGAACATTATGCCATAAACTATTTAACACTGGATTTGCATTACATTGCTAATCTGTTCATTTAAAACAGTTGCACATTTGTTTCGAATCGTACACCATGATTAGACTGTGTCTGAAATCGGTCTAAAAGCAGCATACAGTCTATCATATGATCCAGGAATGATTCAGGCTGAGTGGTGGTGTTGTGAAGACAGTGTAGACCAGGCTATGCAGAAAAGGGAAACGCAGAGAGCCCCTTACATTCACTCTTCACAACACGCACCCATTTTACAGAGCAGTGACCTGGATTTCTTCAACTCGCTTCCACCCAGAGACCCGAGTCTTGCTTTTAATGCTTTCTGGCTTTATATAACCATCATGACATCATGTAGACGACTCTGAAATGCTGATCTGCAAATATCTTGCCTTCTGTTAATGTACAAACTTTTAAGTTAAAAAGAGATTTTAAAATGCTGCATCACTTTTTCAGGATTTTGTGAAGTAAACACACATAAGTGATGAGAAACTTAAGCTAATGTCTGGGTTTTTCTCTTGAGGCTGTGTTGAAATAGGTCTGAGTCCACATTGTGCAGAGGATTTTAGTGGCAAACATGGTCAAAGGTCACATCTACCATCAAATCAATTAATGTTTTGAGAACAAAAAATCTCAATCCCTGACCCTGGCTCATAAATAACACAAAATGAGCATCATGCCACCACCAAGCTCCTCGTGCCCGGACTGCAAAGCCCTCCAGTTTGCCTCTGAATTAAGCCCCTAGACTGTGGGAGGAAACCAAACAATACAGTCTGGAAAGAGAGCTGTTTCAGTCAGGGCACAAAAACTAAAAACACATTCACTCTTTTGAATGTGGGAAAGCCCCGCCAGTTCACCCAACTTAGGCAGTGAACCAAAGGTAAGAGGGACAGCCTAGGAGTACCATAACTTAAAAACAAACACGCCATTATCTGCTGTTCACTCGCTGTTTGCATCACCAAAACTAGAATGAATGGTGACAGGAAAGGCCTGCTGTGAGCACGGTCTGATTTTGACTGCAAAATACGCAGGACACCATCGAACAAGTCCACTTCCCCTGAGTAGATGTCACTGTGATCCTCATCTTAAAAAAGCAGAATGATGGGTGGATTAAAAATTTGTTCACCTACCATGAATTTGCCCGGTGTAAATTGCATCTTTAGATTTATTCAAGACCATAACATCTCCTGTTTGCCCACTCATTATATTTCACCAAAAAGGTTTGTTGGCAAACACAGACAAGCATTTATTGCTGGTAAATCCAGCCACAGACGCTCTAGCCATTCGCACAATCTCTGTAATCTCTAATCTCTAATTGTGTGCTGTCCCAGCTGTAATTGCTGCATTTAACAAGACTAATGTGTTTTTTGTTTTCTTATCCCATGAATGAAATCAGATGTTTCTTTTGGCTTTTATTGGTGGTGATATTTCAGACATAAATCCTTTTTTTACTCTAAATGCCAGCACCAAAAGTAGTGCTTTCTAGGAAAAGGTCCTTCAAGCATCAAACATCTTGTTGTTATTCTGGGTTTGGTTTTGCTGCAAATAATGAGATTTGTGTAATACCTGATTTTAACAATAGATGTACTTCAACATCTCAGAGAATAAAGACAAATCTTTAGAGTCATTTCTAGTGTTTTTCGATAAATACTGTTAAATCTAATGCGGTATCAAAGATATTATCATTCTCCAATGTCAGAGAAAGGAAACATTTTGCAAATTTAAAAATATACTGAATGTAAACATGTAAAGGTGTGTTTTTACCATAAGTATGAGGTAAATCACTCCTAATTTGTATTTTGCATATTAATTAGGAACATGAGAACAGTTAAATAAATGCAAGTACAAAATATTTGCCTTTCTTTGAATTTTAGCTCCACTAAATGAATACCACTTCTCAGCCTCCACCAATACAACCAAACCCCATCATCCCTCGCTGGGCCACTGTATGTGATGCTGCCTCACGCTGTCTTACACGTGAATAGTGCTCGTGCACGACTTTCACTGTCTCCGCTGTGGATGCCTTTGCATCTCCCCTCCCCCTCTCTCGAGTCAGCTCTGAAAGCATCCTCTCCTCTTCTAATTCCACATTTTACTGCGAAAGGCTCCCTCAGTTCCTTCTTCAAAGGTTGACGGGAAAAAGAGTGATTAAAAAAAAACTACTGGGTGAACAAAACAGAGGCACGCTGATGTATAAAGAGATATTCATTGATAAAAGGTGATTGCACATCCTTTAATGCAGAGCTAGCATGCTATGTGAGATCTTTTGCAAAAACAGATCCGCACAGACCAGAGAGAAGGTCCGTTTATTCAAGCATACCCAATAAAGAGACGAAAAGGTTCATTCTGCTTTTCCTCACTGTTAATACCACTCTGGTTTGAAGACATCTGAACCCGATCCTCAGGCCTAATGATGTCAGCAGGGAACAATGCTGACAAATTCCCCAGTTATACAGTCTGAAGGTTACATCATCACTTTGAAGTTCTCTCTAGATGGTCTAAGATGCAGGAGGTGGAAGAGGGATGTTTCTACAAACCTTCAGGTCCCAATCCTCGACAACGAATCACAAAGAGTGCATGAAAATAAGGTGCCGACTTTCTAATGTTCAAATATGGTCAAACTGGAGAAAACACATGAAAGGAGTAGACCCTGAAGAGTTAACATCAGCTGTGGAGTGAAAACCACAAGTGGTCAGTAAAAAAGCTGAAAGTGCAACGTACTGGGAGAGACCATTTACCACCCCCCGACCTCTGACACATCAAGTGCATTCCAGCATTCAGCAGATCCTTTTGTAGGCGACACCATGTTGTGGTGTGTCATGAGCTCCAAAACAACTAATTTAAAAGGACTTCCTACTTGTGGGAGTGGTACGCACAGCTTTGGCCTTATTTTGGTCAGTGTTATAAATAATAATGTTACCATTCCATGTTATGGTCAGTAAACAGAACCAAAGCCCAACAGTATTGCTGCGTTCGAGTTCCCTTGTAAGTCAGTAGTCCTAGCTGAAAATGACGTCACACCCGAGTTACCAGTGTTTTAGTTACCAAGTCGGAAAAAGCAAAATCGGAGGCGGAAACAAGATGGCTACATCTACAAAGTTATTTGAGCGCTTGCCTTGTCCAAATATGAGCAAGGACAAGGTTAGCGCTAAAATAACTTTTGTAGATGTAGCCATCTTGTTTACAGCCTCCGATTTTGTTTTTTTCCGACTCGGTAACTGAAACACTGGGAACTCGGGTGTGACGTCATTTTCAGCTAGGACTACTGACTTACAAGGGAACTCGAACGCAGCAGAAGACCTCACCATTTAAATCAATTGACAAAACTGTGGCAGTTGGGCGAGCGTTTTACTCAGACACCACCACCACCAGGACAAGGGTTTTGTGAGGCTCCACTCTCAAAATCCTGTCAACTATTCACTGACACATGATGAAACCTCCTGGGACCAATACACAGTGATGCATCATCAAGCAAAATAATCCAAAGCACCTGATGACAGAACAAACATTGAATGTATTTATCCAATTTTTCATGATGTGTTTGATGAAACAGAATAACAGTTTCTGTTGCCTTGACTACCCAACACTGGAGAAAACCAATAAGGACATGGCAGCAATAAGTGTATGAGATTCTTATCGTTTCTGAGTAAGCCTGATAAAAAAATTTCTAAGAAAAAACAAATGCTCTCAAAGTCAAATAAGTTAAAGCCCAAATAATTATTCCAGAGAGAGGTGCAAAATAGAAAGTTAGAGTAAGACATTGTCCGTTAAGCAGCTGTTATAGGAAGGTGTGATAACACTGGCTGAGCTGCTCATTGCATTTTCGGGCCTCTAGCCTGATAGTCCCATGACACAGCATGAGCTGATACCAGACAGACATTTGCCTGTACTCCCCCCTCATTAGAAGATCAGTCTGGTATGTTTCAGTCTGCTCTGTACATAGCGCATGTGGGCAAATGTGGTGTCACTCCAAAACAATCCCAGCATGAGAGCATGAGGCATGTAACACCTTGAGTGCCCGTGCATAGGTTTGTGCACACCTACAAGGGTCAAGGAGGATTATGGCGGCACGGCTTGGCGACCTGAGGCAAGCCTGCAGATTACTGGTCCTAATCAGGTCAAGCAGACCTGTCTGCACAGAGTCCACCTGCAGGAAGGCCATCCCTCATCCAAAACCCACAACGTCTACATTACCCCCTCTTATTCTGTAAGCCCTGCCCCTCAAAAACGAATCTATTCATATGAGACGGTGTGTTGTCGTTCAGGCTTTAGCAATAGCCTCCACTTCTGTGTAACTGACACCAGAGCTGAGCTGATTCCTCCCTGCAGGATTTTGTAAGGTCGCCATCCACTTATCCTGTGCTGATTGGACACTCAGCACAATTGTATCTGAAAGGTGAAGGTTTAATTGATATGTTGACCTTCTGTTTGTGCTATCACTTTATCAGTCTGTTTACTTTGAGCTCGCACGGGGTTATGCAACATCTATGCAGTTCTAAAAGAAAAATGATTTGATTGGTCAGTAACCTTTGATTAAGCTATACCACAACCATTCCTTTATCAAGCACTATCATATCAAACCCATGTATGGTGTCACGCACGAGATGTAGCACCCATATATGAGTAGCTGCCCGCTGGCTGAGAAGGGAGCATAACGCATAAGTTACATAACCAGACACAGAACCCATCAGGGTGCCGATGGCAGGCTTTGGGTGCCCTGGCGTTATTCAACATTTGGAGCACCAACACTAACTAACGCAATGGCCCATCACGTCACCCCTTTATTATTACATTAGCTCTGGTATGTTTAAGAGCTCCCTCTGAAAGGGGCCTTCACTTGTTTCCAGCTTGCTTGCAGAGGCCTTAGACACATTTCCTGCACACTGGATAATCAATTTGCTGCCCCTCTGCCGGCACCCTACTCCTGACAACTCTCCATGCATGCTGAAAGAGAGACAGGAAGAGTGAGAGAGAGAGAGAGAGGGAGACAGCATATCCTGCCCTTGCCCCCAAGCTCTCTCTTTCTCTATGCTGTTGACACACATGCACACGGACACAAAATGCCCTTGAGCGAATTACAACAATAAGGGGAGTGTCAGGGCCTCATACAAACATCTGCCAAACACCTGCAAGCTGACCAAGCAAGAACACTACACATCTAGTTTCGGTGAGACAGCTCTCAGTCCAGCTAACGTGTTGGCCATTATCAAAAACATCAGAAAATAACAGCAATACAATAGTTAGCCTTTACAGTGTGACAGTGTGCTAGCATTATGGAACTGATGATTAACTTAGTGGACAATATTTTGAAAGGTGTGGTATACACACAATTTGACAAAAACTGGCAAGGAAAATAGTCAGACAAGTAGAAAGTTCTTGGCACTTACTGTTGTTATGTTTAATTCAATAGGAATATATCGATATCAAGAAGAAGGGCTAAAATGTACTTCACATTTGAAAGCAACTTTCAGCCTAGTTGGTGAGCTTAATACTCAAAGTACAGACTTTTATGGAGTTCAGCATAATGTTGGGATGACAAAGGGCATACCAACTTTATTGGATGCAAATGAATAAATAACATACATTTAGTATGGCAACTGAGGATTTTGACTGCAATCACTTTGCACAATTATTGAGAAATGTATGGAAATACAACCTGGGCCACTGCATACTTAAATCCTTAAAGAAGTGTCACCCTACATTAAAATAAAGAGGAAACTTTAACAATCTCTTTGACATCTGTTTAAGGGTTTAGACCAGAATGTAAGTTGTCTGACTCTGGAAAAAAGTGTCAGAAAGTATGCGGAAACCAGTCACCACAACTGCAGCAAGGTCTGATTTTACACTGCATGGTGTATAATCTCAACTGCATGTGTGAATCCATGCTGGTTAGAGCAAATACGTATCATTCAACCTCTCAGTGGCCAAAAGTGAGCATTCTCAGCATACCATCTGCAATGAAGTCCTGATGAAGGGAGAGTATGGCTGCCTGCCAGCCTCCCTTTCTGCTCTGCAATCTGCCCATGTGATAGGAGGTAGAGTAGGCAGTACTGCAGCCTCCTCCTCCTCTGCCTTGCTCACACACTCACTCACTAACCCCCAAAAACACTGCATATTCCTCTGCAGTTCTGCTACAAACCGCGAGTCACCCCCCAGCACCTCCGAGTGACATTGGCATAATGAAAACCCAAGGATATGGAGTTAAAGAAGAGGGGATTTGAAACAAAGCTTCTCTTTGGTTGAGTGTGAGAGATAAAGGGCAAGTGAGCCATGACCCACAGGGACACTTGATCTTATGGAAGATTCATAAAGGCTTAGTCTAATGAGCCCAATAAGACTGACAGATACAACTCCAAGAAAATAAGAGAGTGGGCTGGAAGAACAGGTTTCTGACTTGACAAGCTGTTCAATTTAATGTTTTCATGCTACTGTCTGGGAGATTGTGTTCACCTGCCAGTGGAAATGCAAAAACATAGAGCCCAGCCATGAGTAAGGAGGCAGCTAGCAAAGCACCTGATGACTCACAGTCACAAGAGAGCAGGTTGAATCACAAGACTGCAAACCACGTTCAGGTCCTCTCCTCTAGCCTTGCTTTGTCTATCCTCTCATTGTCTCAGCACTGAAGTGTGGCTTCCTCGCAGATATCCTTGAATACTTTTAGCTGGATCACAGAAGTTGTATCAATCTCAGTAGACCTGAAATTCCTCACTTTTTCTGTGAACATTTTTAGCTAAATAAAAAGCAGTCAAACTTGTAAATGATTTACTCCTTGTCATAACGTTTACAAACTGTTTGTATAGAGTAAGAGATAACAAAATCATAAAAAAAAAAAAAACTACATAGTACCACCACATCAATTCTGAAACACCGACTGTGTGATAAAGCTTTGATGAATAGGGGGTAAGGCTGTGTGGTGACCCCCGTGTCTCCCAGTATGATCCAACTCAGCGTTTCTCACACAGAGTCTCCTTAGGTATGCAGGCCCCTTCAGAGGAGGAGGAATTTCACTCTGTAAGCCTTTTATTCTCTTTCAGGCTGTTTGTCCCCAACCGTCGACTATTCAGTGTGCTCATTCTACTGTTCTCAGCCAAGACCCCTGATGGAAGACCAAGCGGGAGCATGTGTGGTATACTAAACTTTCTTCAGCAGACAAGCCTGCACCAATTCAATATTACAGTGGCTTGATCCCTTGGTGTATGCAAATATAAACAGAAAACTTACTTGTGGTGTTCCCTTGCATCTGGATGATACATTTTGATTCCTTGCTCGTCTCCCTGGAGTTGAAGGGCCGTACACGGACGGCGACTTTTACAGATGCACCAGACATGTTTGCAGTTTAGGCTTGTTTCCCAGTAAGTTTCCTTTTATGTTCCTCCTAAAGTAAACACAAACAATTTTAAGTAAGAATAAGACATTACAATTGATCAACTAGGACAAGCATGCTTTCTTTCTCCCTGAATAAGATCAAACTGCTACTTAGCAACAGCCCAGAACCCACCCCACAATTTCATGTCAGAGCAGCCTACAACAAATATGGCGGACCAAAACCATTAAGCCCAAGTATTTTGTAAACAGACACACTCAGAAGTATATTAGTGTTACATTAAAGATTAAGTCTTATGTATTTCATTTATACATGGATAGTACACGCAAAATAAGCTCTTAAAATATACATAAACGTGCATGCAATGATTTAGCTGCGTAAACTACATTAGTTGTCTGGTATTTTAAAACCGAATTTGCAGTGTGTTTCCTGTAAATTGTTGAACTACATCCCACTCCCGCTGCCTACATATGCCAAGTATGTGATGTTTTTCCATGTCCTTGCAGTCAGCCATACTTGCTAAAGCATACGCCCATGAAATTCTATCTACCCAATTTGACTTGGGCTACAGTGGGACTGTGAGTGGGCCTGTGAACAGCATCTATCGGTAATCAGTCTGTGCAGACAGAGAGCTTAAATGTCGTTTTTTTAACATTAAATTCGCTAGCATTGGGAAGTAGGCTAATCCCCTGCTGCTCTATGTTTTCAAGTGTGAAGGTAAAGCGTTTTAGCAGCACTGACTCGACGCTATGTACCGAATGTACCATGCATAGAAGGGTTTGGAAGAATCTAAGCAAAATCCAACAGGGAATATCTAAAACAGTATCCAAAAACATATGAACCGGTATCTCTGATTGTAAGTTCGCGTAAAGCCGCCTTGAAATGCCCCTGCTGTCAAGACTGGAGAGCACGAGACCGACCGAGCACCTCCGGTATCTGCCTGAATTATAACTTCAATTAGAATAAAAACTATAGTCGTTCATATGTGATATGTTTACCAAGTCTACTAAAGAAATCTGTAGGCAAACTGTTGTGCACAGGACTGTTCAAGGGAAAACTATACTAGCATGCCTGTTACCATACATTAGCTTTTTACAAACAACTGCTTACCAGCCGATAACGACTGTCTGATAGTCATCTGAAATCGGAGTCCAATACAAAAAAGCACCCATAAAACGACTGTAAATGAAGAAAAGTATTAATTTATGGTTTTTACTTACGTTTGAATACACTCAGTAGGATGACACCATAGGACAGTGGAGAGAAACGAGCTAGCGGGGCGTTAAGATGTGTTGTTTTTTATCTAAATCCGCGAGCACGAAAACTGTTATTAAGTCCACTTTCGTGATAAACACCCATTATAGCGGTATCCTCCGCCGTATGGAGCTGCGACTGCACCGGTCACTCCTTGATGAGGTTATTTTCCAGTTGAGACACAAGGAGGACGTCTATCTGCACACAAGCGAAAAGAAGAATTGATAGATAGCCTTGATTTACCGAAGAGATTACGTCAACTCCCTCACGGCAACCTGACCGACAGCATGACGAACCAATCAACGAAGAGATATCTGTGACTAATGTGTCGTACAGCCAATGGTGATCCTTGGGATCGGAAGTGGGTGGGATCTTTTTTTTTTCTCGAACGTGACGCCACACTGCAGGATTTCTACCCACCGCTCCCCGCACCGCTGTCACCGCAACACAAAGGGTCACCGCAGAGAGCGCCGTCTAGCGGTGAATTATGCGTGTATCACTGATCAGATTTTTACTGGACATTAACCTCTAAACATCTAAGTATAATATGTGTTAGCACATCTGCAAACTCAATTTTGGGTGTTTTTTGTAAGTAATTATTAACTTTAAATCAAGGAGTTTTATGTAGCCGAAAGCTATATAAACAGCTGACTTTGTTTCAGAACACACTGCAGCCACAAATGAACAGTAACAGAATATAAGGAAAACGATGAGTGGTTGACTGAATTAAACCAATGTTACACCAGGCCTTGCCAATACTGTACTGACAGTTGCCAAGTTAGATCCATTAGTATTTGACAATTACAGTAAAAGAATGACTCAGCTTATGCATTTGGGAAACCAAATCCAAAGATTTAATGTTTTTTTCCCAGAACTGCTGCTTTTTTCATCTGCTCATTACTATGGTGAATGAAAAGCTTCCCCAAGTGTTGCTAATTTGAAACCTGGATCAACAGCTACCTCTTAAAAAACTTTTGACCTTGCAGGAGGCTTAAACCTGAGGAAAAAACAGTGACGAGTGGGGACAATAATGTGCATCATCATTTATTTCAGTTCAAAATCCTAGCTTCCAAAACAGGTATGTGGATAAAGGAAATAATTTCCTGTACAGTTAAGGTCAGCAAGGTCAGGTTAGGTACAGTGCCATTTGAAAGAGACCAACTTGAGGTGAGATGTCAGTGGTTCTGAAGAGCAAACTTTTACTGGTGTGCCCCTACAATGGTGTTGCTTGTGGTCATGCTACATTCTCTCATGATCCTTCCACCCCACCTAGATAGTGTTAATTTGTCCATGAGGCGCTTAGGAAAGACTGCACGATAGGCCATGCACACACGAGTAAATTCAGTCTATCAAAGTCAGCAGGGAAAATGTGACTCAAGAGAAACAACTGAACATACTGTGTATTGTTAAACCACTTTTTTATCTTTCTACTGTACTCAAAAGGAAGCTGACGTTTCAGATTAGTCTGCATTAAGCTACATCCTTAATGGATATTCCCAAGTCTGAACTAGCTCTGGGTTACCATCATACATTATGTGGACTCAAGTTCATATTTGTCACAGTCTTAATATTGAAATCTCAGGCCTAATAAATTTATCCAAACCCACCCATACTCTCCCAAATGTATTGCCCTTCCCTATCCCTCATAAGTCTTTAATGGACATACAGAGTATTACAAAACAAAATGAGAGCCATTAAGGAAAAAGATCGATGAAGTGGCTGTATGCACCTCGCTGGTAAATCTGTTGGTGGTAGAAACTTGCAGCATTATAATGCATTACCTAACTCTTGTTAAATATATGTATATATTTGTTATATATATACACAAACTCATGAGAAAAACTTAAAAGTCTTAACTTTATTATATTTTGTTTTTAGAACCATGGTCATGGTTTGAGACAAAAGGGGTAAATGTGAATAAAAATCAAATCAGGTCTCCTTTTTCCTCCCATTCAAAATGTTGTTGCTTGTCATTGGTTGTGGTGAAACTAGATTCAGGCGGGTTGGACAGATCCCTGAATGATGGTCAGCAGGGCAGATGTTGGTCAACATGGCTCCTTAGACAAGCCGTCCCCCCTGTTTCTCTCTCATCCAGGCATGGATCCTCTCTTTCAATTCAGGGACTGTAAAATTAAGATCATTTTGTTAGAAACAGACATCTATGGGAAATTGTTTAGTTAGACAATGAGGTGTCATTAAACCCCTCCACAGTAATCAGATATCTCAATGATTGGCTAACTTTTCCCAGCAAGGACCTTTCTTTTGCACTTTTTTCCTAACCTGAATAGATATTTTAAAAAGCATGCAGGGTTACCTGACTCCAGCATGCTCTCTGTGAGTGGCTGCCTGTTGAAGGGATCAGTAGGAGAGTTGAGGAGGTGGCGCAGAATGATGGATCGATCCATTATGTTTCCCGAGGGCAGAATCACAGGGTCGGTCATCAGTGTGTCCATGAGAGGGTCTGTGACAACAAAGGCACAATCACACTCAAGTTAAAGACTCGCACACTTTGAAAACAATAAACACTGAGCTTCAACAGCCAGTTCTGTCTGCCAATTTGAATGCTAATTTGAAGCTGCTTTTGTCTTTCATCAGGGTGAGAGCCGCTGTCACCAATCCACTCATTCAAAACAAACTTAAGTGTCTACTCAACTTGATACTCATTTATGTAGACAGATGAGTATCACGGTTGATCATACGTCTGAAAAAAGGTGTGCCACAATCTAAAATACATGGGGGCTCTTCCAGTTGTTACTGAATACAGAGCAAATTTAAGTTAATAATACATATTTGTGAGACTATTCAACATTTAAACTCCATATTTTAACAATGTAAGGTATGAATCCATTCAACTTGTCCATCCCCTTCCTTTAAAAGTTTGATGTGCTTAATATGACTGCAACATTGCTGCATCTGTCAAAACACTAGAGAAGAAAATCTCGAGTAAATTACTCGACAGGGCCTTTTGATAAAGCCTGCCCTACATTGAAATGTCACGAGGTTGTTACAGTAGGGCTCATGTGTTACAAAAATAAAACTTGTGGTGGGGGATTTCTACCACATAGAAAACTGATACTCAAGCCTCCTGTATGGCACACTCCCCTCAACTGTGGTGGGCCGGCTGGCATATCTGGAAATCAAAGGAGGTATGTGGGCCACGTTCTCTTACTAGATTATATTGAGTCTGTGGTTATGGGATAGCTGAGCTCTAAGCCGTCTATATGACCTCTACGAGCTGCAAAATCCCCTTCAAATGTCTGGAATCCAACAGCACCAGATGATGACGATCCTGTCTGTCTGCACTGACTGACCTGAGGTCACTCCAGATTTCAGAGCAGGTGGCTTGTTCTGCTTGGGGCCAAAAATTCAGAAATGTTGTAGATGCTGACAAGGTTTCCAAAAAAGTTTGTATTTCTCAAAATTAAATGCCATTGTTTGATTTGCTGTTTATTGTGATCCCGAACTGTAACCTAAAACTTAAAGACTTTTGGTTCATGGTAAAACTCCGAGACACATACACACCTTTGAACTCATCAGGTGCATCACTGTAGTCCATTTCTGACTGTGAGTTCTTGGCGACTATTTCTTCCACCTTCTCCAAGAGCAGCTTGAATTTCTCAATGGCGATGGAGGACTTGATACCTGCTTTCCTCATCTTTGATATCACCTCCTCAAAGAGCTCACGACTGTAGGACCGCTGCATCAAGACAAAAAGAGGTAACACGTATTAAAGAGCTGCAAGAAAAGAGCGTCTTTGATGCGAATAGTGAAGGCCTTGACTGTGTTTCTGTTGTCATACCCGAGCCTTAAAATGCAAATTTATACTCTTGTGTAACGACTGCTTCTTCACACAAACTGTGAAGATTAATTTTTTCATGAGAATATGAACAGCGGAAAGATTAAACTATATCACAGATCCATGAGTGAAGTCAGTTATAGGGGAAGTGAGATCCTGTGTCATTTATTTTCTGTGTTTAGACCCTTAATGCTCCCTGTTTGATGTTTCAGAGGGAATGTGGATAATCTGACCTCATGACATGACCTCTTGAACACTTGCTGAAACACTATCACATTCCCCAAGTAAAGCAGAAGTTTTACATGACGGCTTTGAAGCAGTTCAGCCATGACTGCGAAGATCTATCCCAATTGTCCTTTGCTTTTTCTCGTCACCATTATATCCTCATTTAAAATTTCCAGATGTACTCAATACAGAAAGACAGGCAGAGAATTATTCTTATACAAAGTGATGCAAAGTCTGTCAGTGATGGTACTGTTATTTATGATTAGCTGGGAACGTCAGTGCTAACCTGGTCATCTGCAATTGCTTTTGCAAAGCGGGCACAGTCAAGCTGCAGGTAGATGTCGGTCAGCTGGTCTAGGAGCTTTTTAGGCTCAAAGCCATATTTCTCTGGGTTCTCCACCTTCAGATCACGACACTTGGGCCCACAGAGCTGCTGGAGGTTAAAATTCAGCATCGCAGCTAAACGAGGGCCCAGCTCCTGCATTAAAAAGAGAGGCACTCTTAAGAACTCTTAATTGGGTACAGAAGACACTTTTTTATGCAGGAAATTTTGTCTTTACGTTCATGTTGTGGTAAATGAAAGAATATATTTCCACCCATAGAGCTCATACAAGGTCAAATTGTGACAAATTTTCAAAATAATCCACAGAGGCAACAATACTCACAGGCCTGAGGAAAGGCTTCTGGACCTGTTTGGTGAGGATGTGGAACATTTCAACCGTCTCTGTGGCCAGGGCCAGATAGGAGCGAGACACCCGCTCATCCTGAGTCAGCTGGGACTGGCGACTCTGCTGCTGTTCCTGAACATTTGCATGTGAGCACAGACATTGCTATTCTGATTTATTCTGCAACAGCCACTTGCTTCTAGGTTTCACAGCTCAGCACAAACCTCAAATGAGTTTGTATCGTTTCTTTTCTCAAACAAAGTCATGCAATCTCTGTGTAAGCATTTTGTTTTTGCTGCTTTAATTGTTTGGGGATATTAAGAACAGCGATCCCTTACTGCTTTTTATTGACTGCAATTCTGTATTGTATAACTTGATTGCTGCCATAGATGAAGTTTCATGTTGACTGATTCCAGGTCATACAAAAACCAAAACCATGTGACGCTGAGTACTGACCCTAGGCAGCTGTTCCCACAGCTCTTTGTTCTTCATCTCCTCTTGAACCTCGTGGATACGCTTCAGAGACTCCAGGCTCTCGTCTAACAAGAAGGTGGTGTCATTTATCAACATGTTAATGTAGCGCACAAACTGCTTGCCAGAGCTGGGGGGGAATAAGCGAGAGACATGAAAGAAGAGTTTGTCAGGTCAAATGGGTCTATGTCAGACAGACCATGATTTTTTTTGTACATGACTAAATGTTTGTTAAGAGTAAACTTACTTGAATTCCTCCATAAAGGTTCCATGGTGGGCAAGGTTTTGCCAGAGACTCTTGAAAATAGTGCTGATGTGGTACCGTATAGTGAACTTATCATAGAACTCGCTGGTGGCGCCAGTATGCTCAACATCTGACCAGAGAAGACCATTTTGAGTCAAAAAGTAATATTCAAGTAAAGGTATGCATCAGCTTAGAAGAAATATTTGTTATTCCTTCTGAAGATCAAAACCTACATGATACTGAATATTGAATTACTGTAAACCCACCAGTGTAGAATTTCATGAGAGCAGGGACCAGCTGTTTGACCGACAACGGGTGGTTCTCCATCATTTCAGAGAATCGCTGAGTACGAGGCTGTACAGCAGGGTTGGTGACAAACAGCACCTCAACCAGCTTGGCAATAAGGTAAGGATTCCTGATGTAGTTCTGACTGCAGATAAACACGACCAAGAAGGTGACGATGTCCTGTACACACGGCTCATATAAAACCTGGGGAGAATACCTAGAAGGGGAAAAAGTGAGAGAATGAGGTGGAGGAAGAGACAAAGGAGCAACTTAATAATGATAGCACAAAGACTGATCGTATAATGGAGTAGTAATTATCTGTTTCAGATTTTTTTCACAAAAGAAAACATCTTTATGTTTATATAGCAGTGTCATCTCTCTTTACAGACATGTTACAGTATAGAAACAACAACAACCTCAAATACATTTATTTTTAAGACATATCTGACCTATCAGACAAGTGCAAGAATAAATTATTTACTTACTGCACAACAAAAAGCAGAAACTCTGCCACATCTTCAATGTAGAACTCAGGCAGAGCAGCAAAGCTTTTGGGAATCTCAGGGTTGAGCGGCAGGGTAATACTGTGGAAGATTGAAAACATGAAAATAAATGCTGATTTATGACGCACTTGGAGGTGAGACATCTCATGGAAGACAGTAAAGGCTAAAGACAAACTTTGTGTGATGACGAATCTGTTTTTTTACAACGATAGCAAATGACAACATGACCATTCAGCAGCAAGGACACTCACTTAGGATAGGCAGGATCCACCATGCGGAGAATGAGCTGAATGACTGTGCTGTAGAACTGCAGACATCTGCGGAGCAGGTTTTCATCCAGAAGGCCCACGTCAGCACAAGCTTTGGCTCGCACCAGTTTCTGACAGGACAAAGTCACACATAGTTGAGATCACATCTCGGTAAATATGTTCTGTTGTAGGATCCTGCATGTTTCAGCATTCCAGGAATAGCTTAGTAAACTGGGAGGTGAGCGGACGCAGGTCTGCACCTTTTGATCAGTGTATAAAATAGAACTAGTGTGGAAATTTCACTTAACAAATGGACTGTATTTATGTTGTGTTTTCGTTAGTCTTTTGATCACTCAAGGCACTTTTACATCAGGTTACTTTCACCCGTTTATAACTCATTCATACACTGATGGCAGAGGCTGCTATGGAAATCACTAACCAGTATGATCCCATTAACATAAAACCACTGACGAGGACATTAAACTCACCTTAAGCTGGGTTTTGCATCGCTTCAGCATCTCTCTGTGTCTGCTGGCAAGGGGGGAATCTTTCCATTGACTTTCACTATTCTTCAGCTCTTCTACAGTCCTAGCAGAGGGAAAAGACCAAGAAAAATAAGAAAATAAAAAAAACACACTTAGACGCAGCATGTAGTGAGGAGCTGAGGGTTTGTGTGTGCGTGTGTGTGTGTGTACCTGTTTAGTTCTCGAATGGCTCGCAACCTGCGGATGTAGCGCCTGCAGCCAGGCAGGATAGACAAGTGGTGGGTGTGCAGCGTCAAGAAGAAGCACTCAGTAGGAAACTTGGGCTCTGAAAACTTGGTAGGGTCTTCATCTATCCACGTACAAGAAAAAACAAAATTAATTAGTTTCTGATGTCAGCACCACACACTGCAATCAGACATAAGTATCTCTTTGCATAAGTACAGGTAGGTCTGTGCGTTTCTGCCCCGACAAAACTCTTAAGAATCACATTAGGTTATAAATATGTAGTTTGTTAGAGATAATTATGGCAGACAACACAGCTTGTGTATTGATACAATGACTAACTGGTTCTCATTGTTACTAAGCAATACATTTTTATGTAGATCAACCTACGCAGTTCAGTTATCCAGCTCTTGAGCTCCTCCATGGTGGATTTCAGACGCGTCTCCTCTGGGCTGACAACAAGCCGACACCGAGGATGGAAAATGTAGTAGGGGTCCACAGTCTCCAGTTTGATCTTCATGCTCAGCTGTTGCAGAACCCACAGGAAGTTGAGCATGAAACCGTCTGTTGACACCAGTTTGTCATCCGTCTGGGAAATAAAAGAGGGCAGATTGAGAAAAGCTGATCAGTGTTATGAAGGGCAGGAGTTAAGTTTATCTCATATTCAGGTTGTAGATACACTGGGAGTATTTTTACCCAAGTACAGTACAACGGGTCCCTTGTCACAACAGGGGACATCATTTAGCTTTTTTTTATATAAAGCAAGAAATCTACAAAATAAATCTTACGAAGTATTTGAAATATGTGTGAGCAATGTTGACAAATCACTTTAATAAGCAGGGTGATACATGGATAACTTTTGAAACCTACCTGCATCTGGGCTTTCTTCACATTGTAGTTGGCTAAAGCTGCCATGTAGTTGAGAGCTGACTCGCGCGTTTCACCATTTAGTAGGATGTTATGAAGAACTTTGAACAAGTCACCCTGAAAAGATGAACACTTTTAACACACTGTTTGATGTGAAAAGGATAGCCTTGGATAAATTCATCATAAAGTCAACACCCACCCTTGCTGACTCCAGGTAGTGTTGCAATGACTGGCTGACGACTCGTGTGTTCTCCATGGTGATGGCTGGGCCAGAGAAATACTTGTCTCCTACTCTCGTCTAAAGGAAAGGAAAAGAGTGAAAAAATTTATTCACTGTTTCCTGAAAATTAAGAAATGTTTTTGCAGGGTTATCATGATAGCTTTGCTATCTGCTCTCAAAGAACATCTCAGCCTTGAATGGAGAATACATCTGATGCTACCCGGTTTTGTTAACCATTCATGTTTTGAAAACTCACATCATCCTCAGCAAACACAGAGAGGCTGAAGAAGGCTCCCAAGTAGGACAATCTCTGGATCTCTCTTCCACAACCAGGGCTCAGAGGTTTGGGACACCAGAGAGGCAGCGACGATACCTGCACCAAGGAGTTGTAAAATCACGTATCTCATGGATATACTTAAAAGGATATAACTATTTAGCAACATAAATAAAACGGTGAAAAGTTTGAACAGTAATATAAGAATACAATTGTAAACTCACCAAATTACACACTGGGTGGGTCTTCCCGAACTTAATTTCACAAAGCTCAGCTAATGCCTGAAAAAAACAAAATATAACTGAATCTAAGTTTCGATTTCGTCTCACACTGACATCTTTGTTGAACAGATGAATAGCATTATGTAATACCACTATTACATTAAGTGCTAAATAACAATTGCCAGATTTGGATAGTCTGATTCTAAACAGAGCATTTATTCAACAATGTTCCTGGATGAACATCTTTCAGTGTAATGTAACACGCTCCCCGGACAGAGCCTCTGAAGACTGAATACAGCATACCCTAAATTGGATGTAAGTGCCCAACTACTGAGTATACTGACAAATTTAACAGCCAGTGTTTGACAGGATTTCTAGACAAGCTTATCTAAGAAAATCTTTATTCAACTTCACATCTGATGCTTCTGCCTGTTGAATTGACAAGTTGTCTGAGAGGCTTTGGTGACAGGACCTTGACACACCCTGCTGCACTGTCCTTTTATTTTAAATTGAGTCTTTTCTACTTCCTGCTCTATAGTAAATGACAGGCCATTCTTTACCATTAGAGGGAATTTAAAGTTGTCACTGTCAAAGGAACATTCTTTCACTGCAAGAGCCAGTCCATGGAGGATGGGAATGAAGATCTGGAGAAGAAAACGCAATCAAAAGACCTCTGTGAGTAAATTTACAGCCAACAATCAATGAAAACAATACATTTTCTTAGGTTACAGTAATATATTAATCAACATGAAGTAGGACAACTGCTTCATGTAGTATTACTCCAGATGAAGTGGAGTGCTAGTGTGCTAGTGTCTGAGCAGATATATTTCTGCTCAAACTAAAAAACAAAATGCATTCCATCAGCAAACAGGGGTGAACATAAGAGTGGTCCGGGTGTTTTTCTGTCACCTAAACCACTGTATAAAACGGGGCATTTCCCACCTGTCTGAACACCTCTTCCTCCTGGTGTGTAATGCGCACAAGCTCCTGAATAAAGCCGTAAGGAAGGTTCCTACACAGCATGTAAGGTACCAGCAAAGACTGCTCGAGAGGACTCCTGCACGTGGAACACAGAGAAACAGCATGCTGGAATTATATAAATAATGTTTTAACAACCGAGGTGAAAGAGTAGTTGCTATGGCGACTCCGACTCAAAGAAGAGGGAACAGAATGTAACAACTATAAAAAGACAGAAAAAGTGCGAGTGACTGATTTTCATACCGTGGCTGGGTCAAGGTGCCTTGCAGGACCAGGGCAACATTGGAAATACACTGAGAGCGAATGTTGCTGAGAAGCTGGCTCACATTTGGTTGGCTACACATCTAAAAGAGAAACAGAAAAGATTCAAGGAAGGGAGAAAATAGTTGTAGGTGTGAAAATGTGTAAACTGTAATTTTCACAGAAACTCTCTTCAGAAAATCTACACTCATTTCCAGACCATCTGGCCTGCAGCTAGTCTCCTAGTACACACTGTTCCTCTCTCCTCTGGACATTTTGTAATTAATTTAGACATGGTGGTTAGGCTGAAAAGATCATTTTAGTTGTTACTAAAAGAAGAAGAAACATTATAATATCAAAGCTTCCACCTTTACCTTGGGGGCCTTCCTCTCCTCCATGCCAACACTGTCAAAGCGCTCAATGAGGTAGTTCAGCATCTCTGTCTCTTTGCAAGTTTCAATGGTGAAGCGGTCACTGGCTGAGTCACAGGACATTGACACTCCACATGCACCAAGACTATAAGCGAAACACAAAACAAGAGAACATGTCATTGAGAAAAAGACAGGAGATCTGTGTCCTCTAGCAGACATAGTCAAAACTGTAATGGTTAATAAACGCAAACCTACTCTTGGCGATCCTGAAAGAAACAAACTGTCAGGAATTAGTGATTGCATTTCAGTATCACAGAACCAGAATCTTTTATTAGCAAAAAAAAAAGAAATAAATCAAATCTTTAAGAGCAATTTGGTGAGCTGTTTCAGCTGGTATTAGACTCAGTTTGACACAGTTAAAGAACAAATTTGTTTAAATTGCTGTTAGTATTCAGCTGTAAACACAAAACCTCTTTGTGAGCTGCTTCAAGCACGCAAAACCTTCCAGCAGAGTTAACATGTTTTATTCAATTAAAAAAGGAAATGCACAAAAATTACCACTATTCCTAAAGCTAAACTTTACAAACACAAAACAGGTAACAATGTTTACATGCCATGATATGCATAGTAATCATAAAATAATACAGGAGTCCCATGGTTAAGTGATACTCTGGAAGACATCAATAACTTTAGATGAATATGTTTATTCTTTAGAGTACTTGTCGCGATGTAGAAACAGAGATTTAAAGTCCATATCAAACATTTTAGCACAAAAATGGCTTCATATCCTAACCTCTGGTGACCAAAACAGTGAGAGAACTCTGAAAACGTTATGAGCCTGCTTGGGTTTATTTGTCCCCACACTACGCTGGTGTGTTTGTGTGCAGTTAGTGCTAAGCCTTCAGGGCCCACTGGAACATGCAGTGGACTCTTAACTGAGCAAGCACACACAAATGCACACACCGTGCAGCAGTGTACCTGGACCCAAACTGAACTCCTGCAAAATCCTCCTCTTCCCCAGATTCTTCATCACTGCTGCCCTGGGACATGTCAGAGAGGGCAAAAAACAGGAGCGAAAAGGGGCTAACGTGCCGAGGAACAGAACACACAGAAGAGTGAGGGAAAGATTGGAAGAAAAGAGGATATTGTGCAAACACAAAGAGACACAGAGTGGGTGGAAAAGACAAGATGAATAAGGAATTGTAACATAGCACAGAGAAGTCATGAGAGAGGTAAGCACTGAGGAAAGGAGGGCTGCATGCTTGCTTGAAGACTGCTGCTTGGGCAGTTCGTAAAATATTCATTACTGCACTCACTGGTTGATATTTTTTTTACACTGATCATTGATCAAATCTGGTCTCAAATAAGCCAATGCAGTGGCATACATCAAATGATATGCTATATGCTCTATAAAACATGTTAGAGTGGATCTGGTATTAATTTAACCTTTAAGTTAGAAGTTCTAAAATTAAACATGTTAGTTACAAGCATCATTAGTACTGTAAATGAGCAAAAATAAATACTTTCTTGTTGTTTTTATATCAAATCCACTAACAATATTTGTTTAATGTTGTGTTATCTCATTTGAAATTAATTTATAAATGTTCATAAATTTGTAAGCAAGATTTCAAAGTGCAGTGATGCTGAAGTATCAGGATGTTCATGAATCTTACGGCTAATAGTCTGAAGCTTACTCAAATGAATTAACGGCTACTTCATGTGAGTAAATCCAACTGCACCAACTTTAATAGGAGAAAAAAAGAGCTGGAGTAAGATTGAGTTCAAAGACAACTTCAAAATGTGTGAATGACTAAAAAGTTAAGGTTTTAGTATTGTTGCCTGCATTAACACCGCACACTGACATGCCAATAGCAAAGGAGATACCTAGACGGTGGAATCCTGGCAGCAAAGGCAGACTGTCGGGCATGTGATCTGGGAGAAGGGGGGACTGTGGGAAGGGTGGTGGTAGGGGTGGTAGGGGTGGAGGTGGTGGTGGTGGAAGTAGTGATGGTAGGGTTGCGAGCCCTGGGTGAGCTCAAGGTCAGGGACTGAGGGCTTGGTGGTGGCACAGGAACTGGGGTGTTAGGAGGAACAGATAGCCCTGCAGGGCCAGAAGAGGGTCCAAAGAAACTGAGGCCTCTGTGACCAGGGCTAGAAGGGGAAGGGGCCCCCCAGGGAGATGTGACAGAGTAAGGCCTATAGCGCTGAGAGATAGGCATGGGGGCAGATGGAGGGTTGAGAGTGTTTCTTGGGGTAACAATGGCAGGTGGACTTGGGGGGACAACAAACTGTGGGGTAGTGGGTGTTGAAGGTGCTGAGGGTGTATCAGGGGTGGGGACAGATGGGGACCTCTTGGATGTACCCAAAGCCAGCGGGTGAGGATTACTACACCCATAAAGACTGTGGACAACATTGAGACAATGATTGGCAAAACGTATCCAGCAACAGAATCTTTGAAAGTATAAAATCATCTGAGCAAAATCAGAAAAAACACAAGGTAGGTTCCACTCCTGACAACAACAGAACATAAGCATCACTCTTTAGGTGGAATGTGGGCTATCCAGGCCCGCGATATGTCTGTCTGAGTAACACTGCTGTAGCTCATGAAACTTAGTCATGGAACTTGCCTGGACAGAGAGCTGGCTCCAAAGGATCCTGCACTGGGGCCCATGGGGCTGCCGCCTTGACTGGAGGGCTGCACTAGCGTCAGACGATGGTCGGGGGATTTGGCTGCTGCAATTGGCTGAGAGGTGGCGGTTAAGCTGGCAAAGGGGTTGTGAACACGTGACTGTGTGGACATCATTAAGACTTCCATAAGGATCTGGCCGATCAGGTCTTTGAAGTCAGAGTATACTACAAAATGGAAAGAAATTGATTCAGTCAAGTTTTCAAATGCAGGCATCTGTAAGTCATGTCCAAAACTCTGAACTTTCAGAGTCACACAGCCGGTTACAGAGTCAGGTATTAAGACATCAGTTGGTGACATACCATCTTTAGGGTTCTGTTGGAACTCTGCAGCCAGTGAAGGGAGAAAGATGACATCTCTGTCCTGCTCCTTCCACGATACGCGGAGGATCTTACAAATGAGCTGCAGTGCCTGTTCTTCTGAGACATCTGAATTTGCAGAGGTTTCCTGAGGTGCAAGAAAAAGGGGGTCAACAGAGAGGATTTGTTTACAATTTTCTATCATTTCCAGACTGAATGATAAATGAACAGATTTTGCTAAAAGTGATAAAACATGCATGCGGTGTCAAATGAAGATATAAACTGAGAGGTGTCCACAGAAGATCCCACCACCTTCTCGTAAATCACAGTGAATCTCTTCATATTTACTCATATTCTCTCAACTGGACGTGACTGGAGTAATCCAAGTTATGAGGACCCATAATGTACAGTCAGTGAAGATGAATTTCCCCAAGGGGACCAAATAAATCAAATCTCAAAGCCACTTTTGGAGTGATGTCAAGTGCCGTTTACCTTTTCAGTCAAGTTCCTTTTCTCCCTGCGATCACTGTCTTCCACCTCCATGTTCTCAATCCCTGAGTCAACATCCACCTGGGACATGCTGGAAAAAGCATCACAAAACTAAGCAGATCCTCTCAACCAAAGCAGACCATGTTAATTTTACATCCTTCACAATGTGAGGGACACTTTTCATGTGTCTTCAATGTTAGACAGAAAACACTATCAGCACAGCCTTCAAGAGCAATACATGTGGATATACATTTTGATACACACATTCAGACTAGGATGTGAACTATGTCCCTACACTCTTACCTCTTTTCACATGAGGCAGTGTCAATGTCCATGCTCTGTGATCGGGACAAGCTCTGGGACTGAGTCTCAAGGCTGTTGGAGGGGGAGCTGGAGAGGGAGCTCACACCCTCGCTGCTCTGACTACCATATGCCACACCTGCAAATGCGAGACACCACAACTGAGTACCTTAGAAATATAAACTTAAATATAAAATATGACACAGGTGTATAGTGATGTTTTGGTCTTAGTCATTAGTTTGATTTTTTCTTAGTAATTCTGGAATATTTCTTCTTTGCTGGCCAAACCAAGTTGCTTGTTTGAGTTTGTTTGCTCATAACTTTTCCTGATATTCTGTATGTACTGCTCAGTTCCAGCAGATAAAGTTGTAAGATGTGTGAAGACTTACAAAAATACTCAAGTTTTATTCACACATGAATTCCATGGTTGATTTAAATTTTTTGATGATATAGCTTTAACTCAGCACATGTAAAACAAGGGCTAACATGAAGTTTGTCTTTGGAAGACTCTTGGCGTGTACAAGAAAAAGATCAGGGACTTTCCTAATGCAATTTTCATAGTTTCACTTTCACTTAAAATTGTTTACGATCTTTTTATTTTCTGTTTTTACAAGAATCTATGAACTTTGATAGGGGAGATAATTATAATCAGCATTTCCAAAAAAATCTTTCCAAAAAGATTTTCATGCTCATTTCAAGCACACCACACAAGCCTAACACCTAGGTAACACTGCCTTCTTCAAACAGTGTTTGACAGCTGCCTTGCTGAACTGCCGTAGCTTTAACAGTTGTGAAGTCCTCACAGATCAGCTGCCGTCCTGCTGCCAGCCCAGTTTTTATACATTAAGATCGACCTAGAAAACTGACATTAATAGTAACATTTTTTATTACATTTTAATTCATTTTCCTTACTATGGTTAAACAGATATCTGGAGTTTCACATAAGTGACACATTGCACAATTACAAGCATGTACAGTTGTAATATTATTTGCATTGTACAATCATATTTTGCATAAACCTGTATTGCACAGGGAAGAAATAAAGATGTATGAGCTGCATAGCATGTGAGCCATGTTACTCTGATGGCTACTTCAACCTGTGAACTTGGGGGCTGAAATTAACAGCAATAAGTTTCAAAATGAGTAAGTGCTGCTGAAGGGTGGCCCAGTCCATCATCAATCAGTTTTCATCTTTATAGTGCCGAATCACAAAACTGTTGACTCATGACAATATAGACCAGATCGAGACCATACTCCTTGCAACATTTGAAAGAGACCTAACATTAATCCCAAGATTTGAAAGCACTTGGCAAATGGATGAGAGGGAAACCTCTTTTTAAATGGGCAGCAACCTTATTTCGAAATGAAGTCCTTTGCAGTAAAATATAAGCAGACATTTAAAACTATATATTTTATTTCAGCACCACTGAAATAAAATTATTTAGCCATACTGGGTTGCTAATAGTTCAGATTGGTAATTTTAGAACACCACTGTGTACCATACATTCATGATAATAGCAAACTACTTCTACAACAGTAGGCAGAAAGCTGACTTACAATGAAAGAAGGGATTGGTTTAAAAAGTATTTTCCATTTGAACAATAATCATCTTTAAAAAAAAAATCAGGTAAAATGAAAATTTTACTTAGAAGTAGCTTGTCACACTTGCAATTATATTTTTTCCCAATGTAAGTTGAAGCCCTGTTATTCAATAACACTGCATACTGTTTGTGCAAATCATTAAAACTTGTCAAGAAATGTTCACTGCATCTATACAGCTCACTCATGTTTTTGTATTTGGTAGAGCAGTAACTCAAAGCAATGGTTTCAACTCAGTATCAAGGCCCAGGTTTTGTGCCAAACATGGACAACAATAAGCTTTTGTTTGTGTTGATGTCATTCGGGGTCTTTGACATAATGTATATAAAAGGTCCCTTTCAGTGTTGCACTCAACTCAAACAGAAAAATTGTTTCTTTTTCTTGCTTTTGAGGCAATGTTTTGTAGTCCTGTTTAAAACACTTAGGTACAAGACTTTAGGGCAAAAAGAGGTGGAAATCAATATCTCTAAAGCAACAACTGGAAAATAAACAGACTGTATCCTGACCTATCAACATTACAACTAAAACACAAGATTTGTTCTACAACCATTCTTTGTTTTAGCCAAAGGGAGCTGTCTACATGCATTTCAGACCGACAGCTCTAATTTCATTCTTACCGGTAGTTCCCATAGGGGATGTGGCAGGGGTACCACTGTTGACATTTAATCCCAAAGATTGAGAGGCAGCTGGTGGCAGGGGCTGAGGTGCGGCACCTGAGGGTCCAGGGAGGGGTCCAGGGGGAGTTTCTCTCTGTGGGGATGTCAGGGGTGTGCTAAGAGGGGTGTTGGGCTGTGACGTCTGTCCACCCGCAAGTCGTGCCAATCGCCTTCTGCGAATCTTGGATGAACACACCAGAAAATGTTTACACTTACACAAGGGTACTAGATCCGTTCGCTCAAAAGCTTGACACTTTTATCTTAGTGCTGTTGAAATATCGTTTTCCTAGCAGCGGACCAATATTGTTTTTTCAAAGGCTGATACTGGTGCAACTAATTACAGAGCCACTTACAGCTATAACATTTTGTTGTTGTTACTTTTACATTCAATACAAAAACAACTATTTTATTCAGATATTACCCATTATTCCATGTACATTACAATCTAGTGCACGTTATCTTGAACAGTAACATGATTTGAATGGATTTCTAATTGATTCATGTCATAGCTTAATTCGGGTTATGCCATAGATTTTAGATATGTATGTAAGGAGCAACACAAAGCATTATTATGCATTATAATATGCATTATAATTTCTTCACTAGCAAGTAACTGTTTTATACTGTAAGTACTGTCACTTATAATGGGAAAAATGTGTCATTGTTTGGCAGGAAGATTAGATTGTTCAGCAGCCTCACTGACCTGGCTGACTGCAGTGTCTGCAGACAGATTATTTGTTATTATTTTAATCTGCTTCTTTAGTTGATGCTAGTAATTGCAAAATGCCATCAGCCTAATGAATAAGGTTGACATCAATCAGGTTGGTCTATCTCACTCATGATATGGAATATATATATGTATATCTATATAATTTTTTTTGACCGTTCAACAAAAAGAAATATGTCTATTTTGCGATTGGCATAATCTGTTTGAACAATATAATAAATGATTTATCTAGGTTTTGATCATTGACAACAGACAAAGAACAAATAATTAAATCAGTGATTAGTAAATTAAAAACGTCCTTTTTGGTAACGGTATCTTAGAAGCAAAGACAAACAGACTTTAACCTGACATAAACAAACTCAGATGAGAGCATTACTCATTAACTCTGCTCAAAATCTGAGCAGCAGTAAATCAACAGGACATTCGGTTATGATTTTATCGAGTGGCCAATAAAGGCACAATATCACGGGATTAAAAATAGTTTGTAAAGTGTTATTGCTGTGGTTTGATAGAAATGGCTCAGTGGCCTCACAGTCGTCCCCCAGTTGGTTGCACAATGGTGGCCCGGTGTGTTTTTTATGCTGAGTCGTCTCACAAGCTAATTTTTGTCTGTTAGCAAAACAACATTAGCAACTGTCAAACAGTCCCTCGCAGGATAGAAATATTTTTTTAAAACTCAGCAAACAAATGTAACACTATCTCCACATTTATAAAATATAATTAGGATAAAACAACGAGACAGAAATTAACAGCATTTGGGTGAATTGGTTTTGAGAGTGTGAGAAAAAATGTTATCCCAGGGCCAGCTAGTTAGCATTAAGCTGTAAAATAACGAAGCAGCGTTAGAGTCAGAAACAAACGACCCATATTAGAATTTTTCTTCACTAACACAGTTTTTTATTGAATGACTCTGTACAATAAACACGTTCCGGTTTGCAATGAGCTGCATGTACTTTAAAAAGCCGGTCCTGAGGTAAATGTGGGATTTTATCGCGGATGCTTTTCAGTTCAGACTATGCTAACCTCCGGGCTAACTTAGCAAGTCTCAAGACCGTTTCTGAAGACGTACAAGGGAAAAGCATACGCCTACACACCTGATTATAATTTATTTCGCTGACAAAATGAAACAACGTTAGATCCAAGCACCCGTGATAGCCGTCTATTCATTGTCACCTTACCTCATCTGCGCTCAGCTCCTCCATCGCTGCTAAGTTAGCCTATTTCACTTTGAGCAGCTTCAGTGTCTGCCAGCCAGAGCCAGCTAGCTAGCCAGAATAAGAACTAAATATGCATAGTCTAACTCGTCCTACAAATATGTGTCAGCCTTGATTGTCTTCAAGATAAAAACTACAGAACAGGTACACGGAAGCTGGAAATACAGAGTTCCTCCAACAAGTTTGCCGTTTCCTATTATTCTACCAAGAATGAAACAAAAAGAAAAGTAGCTAGCTATTATACGTCAAAATACAACAGCGGCCATTTTGGTTGTACACATCGTCACGTGACAAATAGGGACACTTGGGGGTGGTACTGGCTCCACAGATAGTACACAGTAGGGTTTCACACTGACCAGCAAGACCTTGAACACCTGGGCAGTGTAAAGCAACTCAATGCAACAGTTCTGCCACAAATTCTGCTCTTACAAAGCTTCTCCATTTTTTATTTTTGTTGACATGATGGATGGACGGCTGATACATGCTCTAGCAGGTGTTGCTGAAAGGTGTTCTCAATATTTTGCTCCTCTCATGTTTGTGAATGCAGTGGACAAAGTATAAGGAGCATGTCTTGTAATCCAGTCATATTGAACAATGGATGTGAATAATGTTTTTTGTACTTTTGACTTCATAACTTTGTTTTCATTAAATTTTTTCTTGAATCTTAAAGACAGCAGTCACATGCTCATGTTGCCTCTTCTTGGTTACTCGTTGAATTCAGAGTATCAGGAAGTTGGCTCTTTGTTGGAAAAGTCATTAAAAACAAGTTGTTATTGATGGCTGATGACCTACATTATTAAATGTTGGCCCCTGTCCATACCACAGATTTATACATACTCACCCTGCCACACTTTACCTTTGAGAGACTATGAATGATGGCACAACACATATATGAGTAAGGGTAACCATTTGTATGCAAAATAAAAATGTTTATTCAAAGAAAGATTTATGACAGGATATGAAAACAGATCATTACATACCGTTTTAAGAGCTTTTAAAAAATTCATATAAAGTCTGAATTATGTAAAATCCCTTCTTTAAAAAAAATAAACATGTACTTCCATGAATAAAGGATTTCATTTTCTATAAACAGCTCAACCAAATGCACATGGATAGCACAAGGCAGTGCATTGAAAATATCTCAAATTCATCCCATCACACAGGGCTATGAAGAGAAAGCCATTTCAGCCAGCTGAATCTGTAATTGATAATCAGTAATTATATTTTGTCTGAGACCAAGCGAAACTGAGCCATTAGCGATTGCAGACCAGTATCTGGCAAAATCAGAGCACTGATGCCACCTGCTGGTGTCAGTCTAAACCCTGACAGACAGGCATCAAAGGTCAAGATACCTGGGAAACACCACCAATTTCACTTTTAGTGTGGTTTATATTCTTCAGGGCTTTAAATGCAGAAACACATGATGTGTTCCATCCGATTTACAACTCTCCACGAACTTCTGTTGTCCTTCACTCATTCACGTTCTTCTTATAAACCTGCTTGCAGACTTCTCCTTCACAGTACAACTCCTGAGGTGACAAAATGTTATTTCAAATAATGTTATTAATTTTTTTTCTTTTTTAAAGTATGTATACATTATTTGCATTAGTTTGAACACTTTATTGTATATAAGATTTTAAACTAGTATTTACTCACTAGATGAAGCTTGTCCTCTTCAATCCAGTGAGCCCAGCCTCGGTTCTTCTTCTCCCCAGTCTGTTCACACACCAGTTTACTTCCCTCCCATTCCACCAGTGACTGATCAGGTGACAGAAAGACAGAATGAACATCACACCACATCATGGCATGAATCAGAAAAACTCACATCACATGATCTCAAACTAGTCATCCAACCTCACCTTGACATGCCTGTTGTCCAGTCCCTGTGTAAACTCCCCAAACTCCTGACCCACTCTGAAGGAGACTGTGTAGTTCCGAAAGGGGCTGGCAGTCTTGATAATGAGCTGGTCTCCCTGCTGTTCAATCACTTTTCTCAGCTTCAGTTTTAGAGCTATCTTTCTCAGGTAAGGACTGATACCTAAAATTGGGAGTGTGATGTGTAACTAAAACGTGCACAAGACCACAAACACATTCCCTGGCTCACACAGACACATGCATACCATAAATAGCACTACTGCAGATGCACAGCCAACTTTTTTCCCCTGCATGTGACAGTGAGCTGTTTTACCTACTTTTTAAATATGGCATTGTTTGCTTTGCATGTATTTTAGAAATACAAGTACAGTCATCTCAAGTCATTCAACATAAATTTAGATAGATCAAATGTTGAAAAATGTTGCAGGATTTAAAGAAAAATCAGTGCAGGACTTACCCAGAGCAATCATGTAGCCTTCAAAGTTGGCACTGCTGATGAGGTCCCAAGTACCACACAGACTGGCTGGCATTTTGACTGCTTTTTTCCTAGAGAGATACAGGTAAAACCAAGTGTAATCCTTGAACCAGAGGGCTTCTGAGCTCAGTGAGATTTCTGAGAGAGTTTTTTTTTTTCAGGTACTCAGGAAGGTGTGCTTTTACCTCATTCGTCATCAGGATCTTGTCAGAATGAGGGAGGTGCTCTCATCAGTGCCAGGCAGAGGGATAGACAGACAAGTCAGACTGGTCTCACTGCACAGCTCGTGGTCCAATCAACCCTTCAAAATTGCCCCTCAGGTGTCAAAAGATTAACAACAAAGACATAAACATAAACGCAAGAAGGTATGCTGACCTTTATTTTGGAGAAAGACTTTAATTTTGCTTAATAAAATCAATTTTTTTTGTCTAAAATTGTTTTTAATTCCATGAATAAATGTGCCCTATAAATAAAACCTCATTTAAAAAATTGTAAACAGTTTGCAATTCTGAATTATTAGATTTAGATTTGGTTTAAATTACAAATATTTTGACCAAAGATCGAACAATATTTGCTCTTAAGTCTTATTTTCATTTGTGTCTAACGATTGGGATGATATGTAAAAATAGCACTTGTGTCATTGCGAAGCAGGAACAACACTGACATTTGTAGTGACATTGGCATGCAGTGTGAAGGGACCTGACACACTATGCAGTTTGAAGGAAAACAATAGCGGCATTGTCTACAGAATTTGAGGTACTTCTTCTTCCTCGTGACATTCATTGAGCAGAGAAACAGGTCATCGCCTCAAGATGTAATGCAGAAAAACATGTCAGAGTTGTTTACACCCTAATTCTTCATGCATGTGCTTTCTGTAACGGCACAGATGTTAGTTAATTGTTAATAATTAACCTCAGCCTTATTACATAATGAGATTAAACCAGAGCCTTTGTCCTGTTAACTTGCAGTAAGTTTTTTAAACTCGAATGCTGTATTAATCTTTTTGATTTAATCTAATATTACACCCATCAAACCAAAGAAAAAATCAGTAGCCATTGATTCTGATACCCATGTGATGTGAGGAAGTTGCTTAGGCATTTCCACAAACTGTCCTTACGACATTAGTTCTTCTCTTAGTAATTTCCTGAAAGTCAACATCCGACTCAAGAATCAGCATTGCAATCAAAAAGGAAAGGGGTCATTTTAATGCTTCTTTCGGTGTTCAACTGTACATTGACAATGGCGTTGTAAAAACAACAAGACCCCCAAGGTGAAAAACAAAGAGGCTTGTTTATTGTATTTTCATCAACACAGCACATACCTTAATTTCTAATTCAACAGCAAAGAACAAACATTTTAAGTGAATCAACCTTTTCAGCATGAGAGAGTGTACTGGAAGTTTCTACTGTAAGTGAACTGTAAAAAATGTGATGAAGTGAGTTTGGAGGACTGAAGGAAGTATAGGGAAACTGCAGTGAGACAAGAAAACAACTAACTAAGTTAATTTGTTCTTGTGCAAAATCAAGTAAACTGCATGTTGACTATTTCCCAAAAAGTTTTAAATCCCTTGTTAAATGACCTCACTTGCTTTCACTGCAAGCGATCAAAGGTAGATGACTTCTGAGTAGGTTGAACTGTTGCTCAGTTACTTTTTTTTTTGATGATCACACTTAAACACACGCTGATAGTAAAGCAGGTGAAAGTGCTCCTTCTTCACTTGAATTATAAAAGTCTAGGCAGGATTTTCTCTTTCAAAAAACACACTGGCTAAGAAAGTATTTGGTTCAGTAGACACTAAAGGTAGTTAAAAACAGCTGGCAAAACTGTGTCTCATTCACGCAGTTTTCACTTTAGCTAGAGGAGGCACCCGTGTATCTCTGAAAGGGTGCTAAAACCACATCTGCATTTTTCTGCTCACTCTCAGCACTGTAGAGGCCGTTCTCTTGTATGTAGTGGACCACTCTGTCCGGCAGCAGGTACCTCACGCTCCGACCTCGACGTAAGGCCCGGCGGACTTGAGTGGCTGAGATCTCATTGGTCACCCACTCTGGGACCACATGGATGTTCTTGCGATACTTCCACAGGGTGTCTGATTGGTGGATGAATTTGTGGGGGTCATTCCCACTGCGGGTGATGCACACCAGACCATAGCGGCCTACAATCTCATCAATGTCCTCCTGCTTCCACAGATTGGGAATCCCAAAGGACTCCAAGACATCTGCACCACAGAGCAACATCAGCTGAGTGGCATCTGAGTATGAGACAGAAAAGAATATCAAATAATTACTTTTATGTATGTGTAGAGGAGAATATGCAGAGGAAGGATTTATTACTTAACATCATCATAATCTTGTGCAACTTCATAATATGGCACAGTATTACCTCTCCTGCTTATGTTACAACCCTGTGCTGTGCAGCTGCCTAGAGGATGTTCACATTGTCTAACTTCTCATCACTCGTTGTAAGCATGTCACTTAATTATGTGGTAAAAACTTGGCTGCCATTTTTACAATCTGTGTCACTGACTCACTCAGTGTCATCTCTCTAGTCTCTTACTGTCTGATGCTACAGTTTTTGGATAAGAAGAAGAAGGAGAAGAGGAACTTTATTTATCCCCGAAGGAAAATTCAATAAAAACAGGATAATGTTCAACCCATGATATTAAATTGATGTCACACCCCTAAACTATTGTCTCCTTAATGAATTCAGCTAAATATAGTAAACCATGTATACAGTTTGAGCAAAATCGAAGTTGCTCTCTGAAATCAAAAATTAAAAAAGGAGGAGAACAGACAGCTGAGAGAACAGATTACATAACTAAAAATATCCAAAGTGGCTTACCTCTTCTTTTATAAACAGATGAGCCCTCAAAGTTATTCTCTTCTATACGTCTCTTTTTTGGGTACTTCACCGTGTCCACATCATCAATATTCTCCTCTACTGTGAATATTTCGTCAAAGTGGTGCCTAAGTGGATACAGACAAATAAAATAGCTTTCAGAGATTATGAGTACATTAGATACAGTCATTTATACTTAAATTAAAACTTCAATTCCAAAAAAGCATGTTTGCCATTGTGTTACATCACCTCTGATCCTACATTGTGTTTTTTCATGATGTGCCAAATGTTGTCAATGAGTGGGAAGCTGAGACTGCATGCAGGCCAGGTAAGTACCCAGACTCTTCTACTATCAGTGCCACTATGTTGTAGTACATGCAGAATGTATTCTTGCTGAAATATGTAGACTCTACCCTTCAAGGCATTGTATAGATGTCATTCTTCAGCATTAATATTGCCTTCCCTGATGTGTTAGCTACCCATGCCATAAGCACTCATGAACCCTCACACCATCACAGATGCTGCCTTACAAACTGTGCCCTAATAAGAAGTTGGGTGGTCCCTCTCATCTTTGGAGCGGAGGAGGTGGCTCCCAAAAGAATGTTATATTTTGACTTGTTGGACCACAGGACCTTAGACCACCTTAAATGGACTAGGGCCCAGAGAATTTGTGGCTTTTTCTGGATCATGTACCATAAGTTACAATTCATGGCGCAGTTTAAACCTTTGTTTTCAGATACACTGACCAACTGTGTTTACAGACAGTGTTTTCTGGAAGTGATTTTGAGCCCATGCAGTGATTTCTAGTAGAATCATGTTTGTTTTAACACAGTGCCACCAGAGGGCCTAAAGACCACACCCATCCAGTTTTATACCTTGTCCCATTTGTACAGAGATTTCTCCAAATATTCTGAATCTCTGAATGATTTTCAATGTAGTGTACATGTTGAAATCCTCAAACCCTTTGTAAGTTAACCCTGAGGTAAGCCATTCTTAAATTATGAACTGTTTGCTCACACAGTCTCTTAAGATAAGATATACCTGTATTAGTCCACAGGGGGAAATTCCAAATTCCAGAGTACAGTCTTTCCCGGTGTTACTCTTGAGAGACTGCCTGTCTGAAATGCCCTATTCATACACAGTCATGTCACTAACTTACTGCAGATTAACTGAATTCGTTAAAAGATGTTTCTCCAGCTGTTTGTTTAATATTACACAACTTGTAATTTTGAAGTTGTAAAATCAAAGAGAAAAAGCTGTGAAATGTAGTTCAAAAGATAGTATATACAGTATAAAGACAATGTTATTGTATATTGGGCAATAATGAGTAATAATGCCAAATGTTGGATGTTGGAAGTTTGATTTGAAGTCTCAAATTTTAAACATGAGGATTTAGGTTGTTTAGATTATTTATGTCTCGATTACTAAATATTAATATGCAATACTCTCCACACAGTTCTCACAAGCTTTATTGGGAGTAATACATGGAGTCTGTGGAGTGAAGGAAACCCCATGTGACACTGATCATTAAGAACTTTGTGCCCCCCAGTACGCTGCAGATGATGTGACTGCAGTGTGTGTGTGTGTGTGTGTGTGTGTGTGTGTGTGTGTGTGTGTGTGTGTGTGTGTGTGTGTGTGTGTGTACTACTATTTCAGCTTATCCCAACATACCACACAAACACTATTAACAAGCACGGGCACTGTCAGTTACCACACATAGGAATTACGAACTTACCGTACGACTTTAGCTGTCTCCACCCACTCTGGCTGCAAAGTTTCCCAGGCATCAACTGTGATCCAGTCTGAGTCCTCTGTGGCCAGTCTGACCATAGCCAGCCGATGGCAGGCCTCAATCAGACCCTTCTTCTTGTAACCATCACCCACGGGAGAGATGATGCCTTTCACCACCCTGTACTGACCTTAGACATTGAAAAAGTAGTATGTCTACATGGTTTAACCAGTCAATGTTTTCTTGTTGATATGGAAACAAACAACAAAAGTTACCTCATGATACGTTGCATAAAGAGTATTAGATTTTAATATTATTGTAGGAGTATCAAATATCATATTTACAAGACCCTATTTAATCCTGCAATAAGAAAAAGAGCATGGGTGTACTTTTCAGTTTTTGTAGAGAAACTGACAGTTTTACGCCATGCTACCAAGTGTTACTTAATACTTCCCAGAGAGATACACAGTGAGAAACAGAAGTAGTTTCTAAAACAAAAGAAATGCCAAAAAAACACTCACTTTGGATGTTGTAAAAATTTGCTAAACCTTGACAGTTATCCTGTCATCAAGTGTAAAACAAATTTGCATGAGTTCTTATCTCATAACTGTGTTTATCTCATGTAAATAGTAATACTGTGATGGGGGAGGGGTGAGTTGCATGAGTGCTTTTACTTTCGATTCTTGAGAGGCATGTTGCTGAAAATAATTCTGCATTTCCTACTAAAGCTAAGAGTATGATATTATGAAATATATGCATTTTGTGTTATAGCTTTGTTGCATTGGTCTATTGTTTTTATGTAGAGGTTGAATATTACCATTTCTGAAATTTAGCAAGAGGGTTTTTGGATATCAACTCCTCACACTTTAATTTAACAGAATATAATGAAATTATGTTTGTGCTCATTGAATCACACTTAGTGTTATTTGCTTGTTTGCGGTGTTAAGTATATAAGCTCACTTCACTAAAACTCAGGAACTTTTTTATGACAAGCACATTTTGGCAGTGAATTTCTCATATCACTCAACCTGTGTCTTCCAGATGATCTCGAGCCAGTTCAAACATCCTCAGGTGCATGTTAGTGATGGGGTTAAAGGACCCGCAGGCCAGCAGGACCACTTTGGTGACATCCTGGCCCTCCATCCCTCATGCTGTGGCAGGATTTAGACTCAACTGCCAACAGGGGAGAGTGGGGTTAGATGAGCCATTTTTCATATTTCGGATCACTACATCAAGACAATCATAGTTTTGTCTCTAACTAGTGTATCTGCATATATTTCAAGATGTTGTGAATCCCTGGAAATCAACAGAATGAGTGTAAACATAACTGTCTTGATGATATAGCATGCCAAAAAAAACGTGGTCTCCTATGGTCAACTTACCCCGTGTATGGTACGGTCTATTTTGGTCTGGACACAATTCTCATAAAGCCCTCCCTCACCTTCTCTCTCCCTCTAAATAACAGTCACTTCTTCATATTCATGTGTATTTTTGTCTATTATAGGCTATTTAATTGGTACAATAACTATTTTTATTATAATTGCATATAACTGCTAAAAAGCTGTTTTGTAAAAAGTCATTTTAACATGAGAATGTCTTTAAGTGATTCAGAACATTCACAGCTGTACTTTTGAGAAGAAAAAGTAAGACATTTCAATAAACTGAACTGAAACTCTGATCCTCTCATCATACTCCTTTACTTTCTCAGTTGAGTCACTTACCCCAGAACTATTATGACTTTATTAGTCCCCTAGGCTAAAATGGTGGACTTTTATGCTAGGTTTTTGACCTCATGTTGTAGCTCATAGATACCACAATTGATGTATAAAACAAATTTAAAATGATCTTTTTTGGTCCGAACACAAGCCTAATAAAACTTATGACAGACTAAATTCACTTTCAAGAGTGAAAAATGTTTTTTTTGGAAATAAATGCCTAACCCCATTCATGCATGTGCTTCTAACCTTCACAGACTCCATGAATTGATGCCCATCTCCTAAATAGCTTTGTCTGTGACTAGGCAACGCAAGCTTGCCGCTTGCCATATTCACGAGCTTAAGCAGATAAACAAAGATTATGGTCCACTTATGAGAGAAAACGCCCAATTGCTGTTAAACACTGCGGGATTATTACACGTTGTGTCAGTCATTTTTAATGTCAATAAAATATAGTTTCACTTAATTTCAGCGCTCTCAATAATAAACCCGTTTAACGCTAGCTTTGTCTGTGACTAGGAAACGCAAGCTTGCCGCTTGCCATATTCACGAGCTGAAGCAGATATAAATTGAATTCTTAGGTGATCCAAAAGCAACAAAATGAGGATTTTTTCCATCCGATCTGTAAAGAAATATATCTCTGTGAATAATTGTTGCATACCTGCAAAGACAGCAGCGGACCGCTTCACTGTTCCGTTGAGAGCTTCCGGTAAACACATGGGCGTCATTGCGTAAAACAAATGTTATTGGACAGGATCAACCAGGAAGTAGAGGGCCGCACCCACACTCGTTAGATGCATTCACTATCACAACTCCTCAAGCGCTGAGATCAACACTTAATCTGTAAAACAACGCCATAAAAAGTTGATGTTTGCTTCGTGGAGGTATTGATCACCAGCGAAGTCATTTTTATTTACAGCGATCTACCGATGCAAATATTGAACTTTACTGAACGACCGATTAACAGCATTTTACAGAGTCCCGGTGAGATGTTTTGTTATAGCATGCTAGCTAGCAAATCAGCTAACTAAACAACAGGTAGTGTTATATACCATGGTCTGATATCTGAGAAAATACTCTAATACACAGTGTATCATCCTTAAAGTGTTTGTGAAACTGTTTGTCGAAATCTTAGCCCCACCAACATCACACTGAAGCAGTCTTCTTATGTAGCATACTGTCATAGTGATAACCCAAACTAAAATGCCTGTAAGTTCTCAGTTTGATGTGTGTTTTATTCTGCCTTTCACTGTCTGAAGGCTTCAGAAACAAGTCTAACCAAAGATGGCTTCCCGTGGGAAATCTGAAACTGGAAAATTGAGGCAAAATATGGAAGAGCAGCTCGACAGACTGATGCAGCAGCTGCAGGACTTGGAGGAGTGCAGGTGCATTCAAACTCAAATAAAACAAAACCTTTACCAATGATTTAGCAGTGGAAACTCGTAGAAATGATCATCTTTGAGTAAAGAAAGACTATCCAACTGTTTAAACAGCGTACAAGTTCATCTCTACTGTCTTTATTTCAGAGAAGAACTGGATGAGGAAGAGTATGAGGAGACTAAAAAAGAAACATTAGAGCAGCTGAGTGAATTCAACGACTCCCAGAAGAAGATCATGACAGGGGACATGACGCTTGTGGATGAACTGAGTGGAATGCAGTTGGTATGGAAAATCAATGAGTAATGTGCATTTTCTTCACACTGAGAGGTTAGAGCATTTATAAGAGTCTGAAAATTGAGCTGTCCAGTGTGTCTGTCTTTATCAGGCAATCCAGGCGGCTATCAGTCAGGCATTCAAGACCCCAGAGGTGATCCGGCTTTTTGCAAAGAAGCAGCCAGGACAGCTGAGGACCAGACTGGCAGAGGTTTGCACTGTTGGCATTAATATTGAGATCTTTTCTGTTTAGTACGTATGTAATCCAATCTCTCAGTCACTCCCTGGTGTTTATTTTTATGTTGCTGGGCCTGAAACTTGTCCAACTATGATGCAACTTTTTTCACAGATGGATCGGGATGTCATGGTGGGCAAGCTATCGCGGCATGTATACACACAACAGAAAATGGAAATTCTCACTGCCTTGAGAAAACTTGGTGAGAAGGTGAGGAAAACTCTCAGAAGAGATGAACTTTTTTCACAGACATGTGTTTATGAAACCAGAAGTGGCAATGACCTACTCTAGTCTTGTAACTGTAACTGACATACTGACTCTGTTGTTACCATGACAGATCAGACTCTGACTTTTAAAGGTCAAATTCTCATTTTCTGAAATCCTTTTCTTTTTTTTTTCTCATGTTTGACAGCTAACTCCGGAGGATGAGACTTTTCTTACTGAAAATGCGACTGCTACTCTGAGCCAGTTTGAAAAAGTGACTGCAGATTCAGGTGAAAACCAACGTGTGATTTCACTGAAATCTTTTTCATTACAAACTTCTTGCATAGGCATTCACATTGACCTTATTTTCTTTTATTTTTCAGGCTCAGAAGACAAAATAATGGCTTTGGCGAGCTCTGGGGTGAAAACAAAAACATAGTTATTTTTTAGAAAAAATTCATTTGAACTCTTTATTACCGAGAAAAAAAAAGTGCCAATTGATCATTGATTCTGTAAACAATCAGTGCACTTCTAGGCTTTTTGAATGTCATAACAATTTTTAGTAGTATTGTTTTTTAACTTTTAAATTTTGTACATCTTTTATTTGTCCAGATAGGTGTTTGTTGTATTGTAGGTACGAAGGTTTTAGTTGAATTTTAAGATACAGTTCTTACATGAATAGAAAAGATAGGCCGGGTAGGTCAAGAGAAAAACTCATTAGTGACTTGCGCTGTGTTTCTTAATGGATTGCTGTGCTCTCTTTCTCAGAAGTTTGATAGTGAGCTTTGTGGGCTTTAAGATGTTGATGACCTGGATTAGTTTTGCAAATGTTCAAGGTGATTTTTTTCATGATCTCTGCTTGCTTTTAGGTTTTTAGAAAAAACAACCAAAAATCAGAAGCTGAATCAATAACACTATTAAATCAGTTTGTACTGGTATATGTACTGTTGTGCACACATGAAGTATGATTTGCTTGGTGGTAGATCAAACATATCCAACCACAACTCAGTGTCTTCAATTTACTAAATGATGAAGGCCTCCAGAGTTACAAAGCATTCAACACCTTCTCTCCCAGTGTTTTGCTGTTGTTATTTTAACTCTTTTATCATTATTGGTTTTTTTGTTGTTTGTTAAGTTTTTATACATATCAGCCTGGGCATATGAATGAATACACTTTCAATCATTAAAAAGTTGTTTGTTTTTTCTTTAAGTTTAACAGGCTCAGACTGTTTGAAGCTTAATGTCACAGTGTTTACAGGATTGGTAGGAACTGATCAAGTTTTCTGCTGTTTCTCTGTATTCAACTGAAAGAAAATGATGTTCAGTCATTTATTTGTTTTACCAGTATTTCAGCCTGTAAGTCTTAATATTTTACCACCAGATGGCAGTATTGCTCTTATTTAAAACCCTTGGCAGCACTGCTTGTATTTATTGTGACTTTTATTCTACAGTACTGGTTTTATTCTAATTGCCTTTAGTATTTGTGAAGCACTTTGAATCACCCCTGTGTTTGGTATTTGTTGTATCAATAAAACTGCTTCCCAATGTCTTGCATTTCAATCAAAGTATAAGTCACCCAAGAAAACAAGAGCACTCAGGAGTTATACCCCATCTCATCATCCTTTATTTTGTTTCTGAGCAAGCATCAACTTCACTACAATTTGCCTTTAAATTGGTAGAAAAGTGAGAGCAGCTCCAACAAGCAGAAAGGAAGCCTTCGTTCATTCTGAAAACTTTGTTACCTTCCATTTTGAGCAAAATATTTGAAAGAAAACAAACGGGGAAAGAAAAGTATCGGGACATGTGAAATAGACAATCAGAGAATCAGTAGTGTATGACATCTCCTTTCTCACTCTAGTCTCACAAGCCCACATGGAACGTAACACAAAGTTGTGGTTCATGCAGAGTCCCCCTTACATCTTAAGTGTTATTACAGTATGGCTGCATTTCATTTTGTTAGGCAGTGACATTCAGTTCAACCAACTCACACTTAGACTGGGGTCTGATCAGAAAGCATTACACTCAGAAAAATGGAAATGGTGGAGCCACTGCATATACCAGTGACCTGTAGCTTTGTATTTTTAAGTTGTAGAGGAAATGTGGACATCACGTGTTTGACAAAATGAAGTTTTCCATGTTGACAGGCTTATTATTCTCTGGTTCATGTGAATTTCATGCTGCCCTCAAAATCATTTTCCAACAACTCAGGCAATAGGACACTGTTCAAAATGACCTTCCACTATACACAAATAGGTGAATTAACAGTATACCCATGTATGCTGCCAAAGCAATTTCATAATGTACTGTACATCTCTTTAAAGGTGTATTCTGTCAATGATTTAGTACAATATCTATAGAAGATACAACATGGATCTAGTTCCTCTAAACATCAACATGGACACATGACATCTATGTAAAACTTTTTTTCACTTTTAATCAAACTAGTGGTGAACTATTGTTACGACAAACTGAAAGAAAATGTAAATCCCCAGCTCTCTTAGAAATCTAGCTTTAAACAAATACAAATAAAAAAAACAACAAAAAATGTTCAACAAATAAAAGCGCACAAATGAGTTTTTTTTTTAGACCCGCTAATTTGCGCTACGATCGGAAAAAGGCACTCCCATCTCAGCCGGTTCACACCTGGCCCTCTTTTAACAAGACCAAGTCATCATGGAGGGGAGAATGTTTACTCACTTTGCACCCCAGACTTCTACAAATCATAAATTAATTGAAGCTAATGCATCCAACCGTGGGGCTCAAGCCCACAAAAGTACCTGTCTTTGTTGGCGTATTTTTCAAACCCATTTGGCCTCTGAAAAGAAATTTGCATGCAAAATGGAGACTCGTAACATCAGCGTCTCAGCTCCTGATAATGCCACATTCTGCTCACTTCAATGCCCCAAATCTGATCGGCTTTCATTAAGCAGGTTTGGGAAATGTTTACATTTACTTAGTAACCCTGAAAACAAGACACAAACACTTAAGTGTGAAGGTACATTTGTATCTGGTTTTGTGAAAGATATATACAACAGTGATGGACAACAGAGTCTGAGAGGTCGGACACAATTTCCCAATCAAATGTATAAGCTTTATACTATTACCAGAAGGAAAATAAGTTTACCAAATGTAAACAAATATCTTTAGAACAACTCTACAGTACAGTCCCATGTACAATAAAATCTAGTGGTCTACTGCAAAAAATAGTTCATTTAAGATTCAAACAAGATTCATTTTTTGTGTTTTCCTTTTGTAAACTAAGCAGTGACAACTTTAAATGTAATGACTTAAATTACAATAAAGACTGTGCTTATTTTGCAATAGGAAATCAGTTTAAAAATGTATCTTATATAGGGTTTGTTGTTTCAGGTTAAATAGCTGTGCCACATGAATAAACTTGCAATAAGCAATCCTCAAAAGTACTTCCGTTTCTCTTCTCTCCCCTGATAAACAATGCCAGCGGCTGCACTATTCCACCAAGATCCACTAAAGCTGTCTGTCATGAATCTGCTCTTTCAGTAGTTCAGAGGGTGTTTTTTCTCCTCTTACCTCCGTCAGCACAGCAGAACAAGGACACGGATGAAAGACTCTTAAAGCTGCAGAGGAAGCCGCTCTACTTGTTACTACACTTGCAGAAATGTTAGTACTTATACTTCCAGATCAACAGCACTGCAGAACCTGCTGGCCTGGGGTTTGTATCCTTCCACTCAAAATGTCAATTTGTACATTATCATGTATGAGTACCCTGAACAACAAAGACAATCCCTTCTGTACAACAGTGAGATCTACTGGGAATGAAATACACTGATGCCTGTGCAAGCAAAGCAAAGCAATGTATGAAGCTGAAACCATCAACCAGTCCTGCCTGTGAGAAAGCAAAAGAAATGATTTTCCTTCTTTGCAAAAATGAAAAAGACAAAATGGACACCACTTTGTCATGAAAACCTCTGTTGAAAGTCCTGGATTTCTCGTCATGAGGCAGACATTTCTTTTTGTACAAGCATGATGGTGCAGCTTTTGCAGAAATTGAGCGACATGCTACAGCCTTTGTGACACAAATATTCTACATTACGTACTGCGTCATTTTAGATATTGGACCCCGTTTGAGTAGGCCTCCACTAACACATTGACTAATTACATGGTTTCTTTATATTTACAAAATCTTTAAAAAGCAATTTATTCCTCTACACATATGACTTCTCAAATATCCTCATGCACTAAAAGAAGACAAAGAAATGAAAAAAAAAATGCAGTCTACCTGTTAGAAGCATTGTTTACTGAGGACTACAAGTCAAAAGAACTCAAGTCGAAGCTCTATGTGAGTTTAGCGGCAAACAATTCTAAAACGCATTAAGCAAAGAATATACATAAGGAAAAGAAATTCTCCATTTGAACGCCACATGTCTGAGAGAAAAAATAAAAAGTGCAGGGTTGGCTTCCTCACACAGTTCAAAACAAATGTAGGCCAAGTTTTCCCGGGAATTAAAATATAATAAATAAAAAAATAAACAGTAAAAATCAGCAATCCGGTGATGACTACACTACACTGAGTACCACCACTAAGATAACGACAGGAAAACCTTGACCATATATACGCTGAAGGGAAGTTTTCTTTTTCTTTTTTTTTTTTTTTCATGGCTCCTTGGACATGTAGCTGTAGAGGGTGGGAGAGTGTGTATGTGTGCGTGTGTGTGGAGCACTGAGTGTGATTCGTGGTATGTGTCTGTGTGCTTGTGTTAACTGTTAAGTGTGTATGCGTGTGTTGCTCTAGTAGGTGAGGGTGGAGTCGTCCCACTCCAGCTGCTGCTGTCTGCTGGCCCCCTGCTGGTCCTCTGGCTCTCCGCCCTCCTCATCTTCGCTGCTCTCTGACTCAGCGCTCGTGATGTCATCTTCCTCCTCTCCATCCTCGCTCTCCTCCTCCTCTTCTTCCTCCTCCTCGCTGCTGTGCTGGTCCTCGTATGTCTGTATAGCAGGCAAGGAAGAGAGAATTTTGAGTCGTCGTTTGTTGAAAAAATAGTCAACACATATAGAGACTATTTCAGTTTTAAAAACACGGAGTAACTTTTAACATGCATTAGATCAACAGATATACACCTGCGTTTATATCTGATGGTGTAGAAAGCGCTTTGTAAGTCCTGTGATGCATTTTTCAATTTCAAGTTTTTGGCTGCTGAAGGAACAAAGATTTCTCTAGATACACCAAAGACTACCGGGATTGATCTCAAAAGGCAATTAATCTCCTCGCCGACAAAGTTAGATGTATTTTTAAGTGTTCAATTTGAGTTACTACACATTTAATCAAACAGGCATGAATCTACGTTGGATGTATTTCTATCCTGCAAACAAGCTGACTCATTCATTAGAAAATGTCGATTTGAAGAGGTGCTGCTTTCACCACTAAGGTACCAGAAACTGTACAAAATGTCTCTGAGACACACTGCCTCCAAAGAGATCTTCACATTGATTGAAGACATTGATGTACATCCCTTTTTTTCTACTTGGCAGGGTTACACACAACGAATATCTGTGGAGTATGTCACTCATCCCCGCAGAGCTTTCAAACTAGGCCACAGTTGCAACATCACCAAGAGAGCATTAGCACGTGCTAAGCTGTCTGGCCTGCTACACAGACTGGCTTTGTTGGGGAGTGAAATTCTGTCTGAATAGACATCTATTCACTGGCTAATCACCAGAAAATGTTCACTAATCTTGCCTCCCTGCAAACTCCCTGAGTGTTTGCTTTTACCTCCATAGGGTTGACTGTAATGGTGAGTGCTGAGTCATCCCAGTCCATCTCGTTCTCCTTGCCATTTTCCTGGTCTCTCATGGTGCGCTGGTGTGCGGCGCGGATGCGGAACACGCCCAGGATGATCATAAACACCAGGAAGCTGACACAAACCACAATGACAATGGTGGCAGCGCTGGGAACCACTGCAGGGAACACACGGCACAAAACGACAGGTTAGATATAAACTACATTCAGTTTGCAGGGTTCAGACAACAGAACATGTTGAAGCTTTGTGTACAGAAACACTGCTCCCACATTATGTGAGGCCTTTTCTTCCACTTCACTGCATGAATTTCTTGAGCTGACTTTAAAAGCTTCTTAGTGAACTCTAGATAGACAATGAGGGCAGCTCTGGGTGCGCTTCCATCTTTAAATAAATTTGCCTTTCCACTTCAAACCTGCTTTACTCTGTCCCATATTAGCCAGAGAGAACCCCTCTTATGTGGTGACAGGCTTAGTGAGTCGGACAGCCTGCAGGATTACTGAAGCTGGGAAATAAAAGGTTGCGCTCTGACCACAGGCTGTACAGATGTCACAGACAGCACTCAAGTGTAATCCCTATACTTGTGCCATTAAAAAAAATGGGCAAACAACCAGTGTTTGATACATGCCCTACTTCTGATGAATGAATTATAATCCATCCCTGGTGATACCTGCCATATATGAGGCCTACAGCAACAATTAAGAAGATTACTGATTTGATCACGAGTTTTGGTACAGATTTAAAAGTTAAGATCAAATGATTCAAATGGAGGACTTTTCAATAGCCACCTGCCAGTTAAAAGTGACTCTTAAAGGTAGATCCAGACTTGGAAACTTTTTACTAAAGGCAATTTTGAACCATAATTTGTGAGGTAGAAGTGAAACTCATCCTTAGTTTGGCCAAACTGTTGCTAGTTGACTTTAGTGAAGTGGCTGTATCAGGGATTACTTTAAAGAGGTGTTTTTATGGGTGTATTGGATAAATGATTGTTTTGTATGATACAAAGCACATTAAAATTATCTCACTGTTTTTTAAACTTAAATGTTTCACATGTCTGACTCCCATGATGCTGTAGTACCTGAGGCCTGGTGAGCATTAACCAGGTTGTGACCGGACAGGTCCACAGAGGCGTGATGCACAGGGTTGATGAAATTTGGCTGAACCATGGCGTTGTTGGCATGCTCCACGGGATTGGCTGTGTGGATTACATTCACCTGAAGCAAGAATAACCACACACACACAAAAAAACACTGTGAACAAATCTCCTGATGTAGGTCAGGTATTGTAAGGGATCATCGTCTCATTGCGCCCTGATATGTGATAAGTGCTCAGTCGTACCTCAACTTTGAAGTCATTGCTGATGTAGCGACCGTTCAGTTCAGAACAGACCAGCTTAAATTTCCTGTCGAAGAGAGCCTCTGTGTGCCAGTTCTTGTACCGAATAAGATGAAGCACCTGCTCATAGTTGGACATGGTGTTCACACCTAAATCACACAAAAGAGAGCTTCAGTCAGCAGAGATGTCAGGAGAGAACTAAACTAGCTTCCTTAAATAACTGAATTAAACAGCTAAATTTTTGTGTGAAGAAGTTAATAACTGTCTGCTATCAGCACAAAATCCAATTCTAAATGGAAAAATACTGCCATGTTCTGGTTCAAACAGCTGTGACGACTCTACCTGTGACGACCAGGCCGAGGTTAGAGGAACTCATTTCCAGACCATGCTGCTGCAGCTGGGACATGTCCACCTCCAGGCTTTCATGCTCCCCGTCCAGCTCATCTCCCACCACAGTCACTTCACATGTGTCCAGGTTGTGCATGATCTCCTCTGACACCACCGTCTCTTGAACTAAGAGAGGAGAAAAAAACATATTCAGAATCAGAGCTGTCAAGCTTTTCAAAAAGGTAAGAATTGATCATAACAACAGAAATATAATTTCTTTGTTAATGATTTTTCAGGACTGTTGATTTGCACTGCACCTTGATAATAGTCTAAGTCTCACAAAGAACAGTTAACAAGACATCCAACTAAAAAGGAAAAGGGTGCATTTTTCCACCTTCACAATAACCCTGGCTTTTTTTTCATGTACAGTGCAGTTCGAAGCTTACAGTTAGAACATTGTTTATGTATGCTGTGCTAGTAGCAGATACTGTAGCCTCAAGCTACTGGCCACACATAGAGCTGAGGAGACAGCTGTGGAGGTCGGTTAGGTTTAAGTCTTCTAACTCCACAGTCGTAGTCCAGTTTAGTTAATGGGCTGTTAAAACATCTTATTTGGAAAGACATTCATAGTAAATGGGTGAGCAGTCAGAGGAGAGCAATAAAAGACAACATGAATGAGAGTCCTGGATTACGATGAGTGGGACACCACATTCTGATCATCAGTAATGCTTTAGAGCCCGAGGTGAGCAGCTCCATAGGATGTCTGAGGTTTACACTAACGAGAGTTACATACATGCCTTAGTGATAACTGTACTTCAGTATCTTGAAGCATGCTTTATAAATACAAATTATTGTTATTATTTTTAGTATTATTGTTATTATTATTATTATTATTATTATTATTATTATTATTATTAAAAATTAACAGCTGTGTTGTGTTGCTCACAGCAAACATGTCAGTGCTATGATTTGTTTTATCAGACATTTTCTAATTTGTTCTGAGAACAGGCTTTTCATTAAGGTTAAACTTGATTGAACTGTATTTGAGTTCATATTGAACTTGATCCTGACTGTAGTGCAGCTGAGGCCGCCTGTCGTCCTTATTTTGCTTACGACAGTAATTTGGAGTTCCCGCACAGACAGTCTACACCGTCTGACTCCATTTTAGCTCTTACCAAGATATTCTTAGTCATCTGCCATGACATCTCACATTTGTTAATAGCTGAAGGCAGGTCAGGTTAATGCAGGTAATAGCACCAGATCTCTGTAAGCCCTTTTGTCCCATATGGCATTCTGTTCTCCACGGGACTTGGTATCGCCCTGTATCTGTGTCAACCTCCATGCACATCTATTGTGTCCTCTTGTCTTAGTGGGTATACAAGCACAACAGATGGCACGACGGGCCACTGATCCCACCCTTAAGTAGTAAACAACTAATCTCTTCTCTTTGCCCCTGCCTGTAAAACTCGACCTTGTATTTAGCCTGTGGGCGTAATCCGAGCCATTACCACCTACTGTATGTCTAGCTATCAACTGTACATGCACACTAACAAGCCACTGGAGAATGGGTTCACTATACAGCATCTTCAAATTACCTGTAATATTATATAAAGGTTTTTCTCTTACCTGTAGGGTCATCATCGGCTCCCTCGGCTGCTTCAGACTCTGTGTCAGCCTCCACTTCACGGGTGATAGTGCTCACAATGCGGAGCTCAGGGAACAGCGTCACACCTTCCTGACTCTCAAATTCAACAGCACTGCGGGCAAAGTGATCAATGCCGCTCAGGCTGATCTTAGGCTCTTCAGGCTGCAGCACCATCACATAACCCTCAGCGTCTGGCACAGTGACGCAGGCCTCCTCGTTGAAGCATCTGGGGAAATATTCCTGTTTAGTAATTCAACTGAGACCTGTTTCCATCATGTCATAGAAATCTCTTTTTGGACAAGGTTTAAAGACGGATAGACATTGATGATATGGATTTCTTTACATTACTTTTTTCAGTTTGTAAATACATTTTAATTCTTTTCCAAAATTTATTGAGATGTAACAGCACAGAAAGAAAGTTAAGGCATAAGGATCTAATTTGACCTAAGCAGGTGTAAATTGCACACCAAAAATAGCCTTTAATCAAAATATGTGTACATAAGAATGAGATTTAGTGTTAAACTGATACTGCAAAACAGACTAGGGAAAAAACAAGTCAGAATATTTTCCTTTTATATGTCCTCTGCTAATGTAGTGCTATTTTGTTATTCACATTTTGGTCTTTGAATAAATCATCATGGGAAGAGAATCTAGATCAAAGAGAGCTGACAAACAAAATAAAAAGTCTTCTGTCTATCATTCACCAACTGCACTCCGTTTAGAATTGACTCGCTTTGTAATGTAAATCAGATAAAAACTCCTGACCTTTATTTTACCTCAACAAACTCTCCTTACATATAAAGCAGCAGAGACAATAAACAAACCCCCTCTGAATGTTTAACAGGCCATAAAGAACCTGTTTTACAGTCACTTTGCTGCTACTGACAGACGGATGAGGTGACACGTCTGAAACCAAGCAGGGAAGATTAAAAACAACTGAAGAAGTATTTTTGCCTCCTATTACTCACTTGACAGTGGTGGAGATGCGAAGGTGCCTGATTCCCGGGGTGGGGAACTGGCGGGAGTTCAAGTAGGAGATGTGCTGCATCACCTTGTCAAAGGCATCAATGTCATCACCCTCCACGGTCAAAGAGGACTGGCTGGGATTAAACTCCACCTGAGAGAAAACATCGAGATGATACAATACACCATTTAAGGCAAAGTTGTTATCTGATTCTGTGCTTGCATTTAAAAGCACAAAATGAGTTATTAGTAAATCATGTGGTAAAACATTTTCAGCCTTTCAACAGTCACAAACAAGTCACATGCACCCATGATAACAGGAATACTGTAAAAGGGCCATTTTTAGCTGATATCTACTCATACTTTTTGATTTTTTTTCTTTTTTAATTTCAATAGTTTTGTTGATATTAATCATTTAAGAATAAATTTTTCTTCAACACCCTTGGGCTACAACCCTAAGAGAAGCTGTAAGATTTATATAAGGAGTTGCAAAACAACTGACAGGACATACATTAATACAAACAAATCATTAAAAGCTGAAGATCATAATCTGGATTCTTAATATTGAATAATTCTCAGCTCTTCTGAATTCTGTAAAATGGTTCGAAATATTCTTAATGAAGTCAACTATCGTTAAGAGGAGTACAGAGCACTTTAACCTCTTCTTACAGGATCACAAGCTTGAAAGTGTTGGATCCAGTGAATTAAATTAGTACAAGTCTGTACAGATCCAACCTGGTTGAGGTGAAGCGTGTTTGGCGTCTTTGTAACATTCTGCCCTCCTCACCTTGACAGCTGAGGCGACCTCCTCTGGCAGCTGCACATCGAGTCCTTCCTTGCAGGTGTACAAGCAGTCGATCACCTTCTTGTTCTCCAGCTTGCCTGAGCGGATCATCAGCCCAGCCAAGTTGCCCCGGAAAAACTGAGCCATTCGGGCATTAGCACCTGGAAGAGTCAAGGCAGAGAAGAAGGGGGTGAAGCAGAAACAAACACATAAAAAGTGGCTATTCAAGTATAATTTCCACGGACTCCAACTTTTCTGCAAACATGCCGTCAAAATGTGTAAAGCTGATGTGAATGAAGTTCATGCAAGTTAGTATGTGTGTATCTGTGAACCCTGAGGCCAACTTAGGAGGACAGGAGAATGATGGATTAGCGTGTACATGCCTAAGATACATGCAACATCTGCATCAAGGGAGGGAGCAGCCACTTTAGGTAAAATGAAGGGAATCAAAAGGAAAAAAAGGCAAAGTATTACAGTGATATTCATCTACTTAGGTTGTGTAAACTTCACAAAATATTGGCACCGTCTCAATTATGTCAAAATGCTCCAAATATTAAAGCTATCTTAGATGTGAAAATAACTGAATAATTCAGTGTTCCTGCCACTGAGATGAGAAATACTGCTGTGAAACCAAAATATGCAGAAGACGGTGCATCTGCAGGCGCAGACAAACCTAGACTTTCACATCTCAGAGTCCTTCATTCCCAGATTCATTATGTGTGTTTGTGAGTATGTGTGTGTCTGTTTGCGGCTGCAGTGTTATCTGATACCGAGTAGCTACTGATTCTGACCTCAAGGTCATGCTCTGAAAGAGGAGCCAAAACTGCCACCAAAATCCTGCAGCCAGGTCACCGTTTTGTACTCATTAAATGACTATTTTTGTTCTGCGTGTGAACCGGGTTGCAAAAAAAGAAAAAACTGCTGCTGCTGCAACAGGAACAGCATATGCATAGAAAATGAAGAAAATGCAAAATGATCATAATTCTGTGAGCTGAATTTAAATCAAACCCGACTCATACATAATGCAACATGCTCCAAACAATGATTTAAAAAATCATTCTGCCTAAAAAAACATGTAAAAATCATTTGAGTCGTAATGAGATGAGGATGCAGTTAGAGTGGTAGGACACTTGTGGACATATGGACATATCTGAGGAGAAAGGGAAAGATTTGAGCAACCTGAGGTGGGCTCAGAGACTGACTCAGTGTCATTGTCATGTCCTGAGTTGTCTGTGAAGGACAGAAACAAGAGAGCAGGGAGAGACAGGGAGGAAGGTTGAGGGTCTGCAGTAGAGATTCAGATGCTTTAAGACTACATCACGGTGCATCAATTCAGAATCTATGAAAAGAGTTAATAAAATAACATGCACACTACATAGGTCTGAATAACAAACACTGAAATATCCACCTAACAAGCATTATAGGAGTATCTGTTTCTTGAATAGTTTAGAAACACTTCAGGTCATTGTTATTTATCTGTACTTCAAAAACATATCATGAATAAACACAGAAAATATACAGCCCATGTAATTTTAAAATTCCTTTAAAGTCCCTGTAGAGTTTACCTTGCCAGCAGGCCCCAATGGTGAGCTGAGTTTCAATCTTGGAGGCATGCAGTGGGTAGTCCTCTGTCACTAGGAATGGCTCAAATGTCGTTCCATCCACAAAGAGAGACACAGTAGGGAACTCAACATTCAACACATAGTGATGCCACTCTTTGTCGCACACCTGCGAAGATCCCATCAGAGGAAAATGAAAAGCTGGATACGGGACTGTGTTTTGCTATAACTCTAGGTTTGCTGTTAAACATTGAGCATCACAGGTTATTCCCTAAATCAGCCACAGGTTTATGAATGAATGAGCTGAATGAGCTGACCTGGTCAAGTTTCCAGTGAAACTCAGCAGGTTTGTAGTTCTCGGCCTCAGATGGGTCCTGGCGGAGGAGGAGGATCAGTCTGCAGTTGTGGACATAGAGCGAGTAGTGGTGTCTGTTCATTTCTGCGGAGGAGAACATCAGAGAGGTGGTCAACAAACACAGCAGTAAATACTACTTTAAAATATGGATGTGTAACTGAAATTCAACTTCAGCTGTTGAATCTTCTATCCAAGCATAAAGCATCCACAACAAAATAACACAATTGGGGAAAATCTTGTGTCATGTCATGTAATTGACCCATAGTTAGACTATGCATTTAGTCAAATAAATTATTCCTATAAAGAAGACACAGAAGTCAGGATGCATCAGCACGTGTACTGGTCGTATTAAAATCCAACTGGCTGTTAATCCTTGAACAGGCTGGAAGATTTACAGTGCGTTCTCGGGTATGTATCTGGAGGCTTAGACGGTTAACTAATAGAAATCTGCCATATGGTGTCATGCGCTGTACTTTCAGAGCACAAGGTTAAAGGTCAGACAATATAAATGGACTGTGAAGATATTATCCACTGTCAAATCTCAAAAGCTAAACCATCTGCTCTTTTGTTTATGTAAGTCATCAGTAGGCCACCCTCTGAGGAACAAAGTATTATGTCATGTTTCAGGAATATGATTCTTGAATTTTGACAGTTATTAATTGCCAAAAAAATTACATGTATTATTAATCTGTGCTAACAGACTATAATGACTGACAGCAGCCAAGCCTTAAGGAAAAATAAAAGGAGTTAAATGAGGAATTTAACCACTAACAGTGAGAGATTTTGAGCTGAATCAGTACTGGTGACCAAAAAGCTACCTTATGGATGACTTTATATCACATATAGTAATATTTATCTACTTATTTTAAATTTGAATTGTGATTATGGTGGTATATTTTTATGCCTGAAAATAGACACTGAATGGTGCTGGGGTCATGAGCATGGGAGCACCCTGTCCAGTGAACTGTCGCTCTGATGTAATCCTTATATAAGCAGTTGCACAGAAGCTGATGAGCTGCATCACGCTGGCCACGGCAGAGACTTTACAGTCAATAAGATCAAGGAGCACGTGACCAGATGCAAAAATATTCAAGCAGTGACAAAAAAGGAAAGGTCAGAGGGTGTAGGACAGAGGTGAGGAAAAAAACAAAGTCTGCGCCCCTTTTTAAGCAAGTCAACTAAACACAAATACTGACAGGGCACATGATTTTTGAATTTAATAAAGGGTGATCAAGTTTTCAAATACATGACAACAGAAGTTCAAGTTAAATATTATGCATCACAAACTTTTGCTACTAAAAGTTTTCTAGGGATTAATACATTTATGTTTGGGTATAATTGTGTCTGTAATTATGTGTATTCGTTCTACATGTGTGAGGTGGTGAGAAATTGTAAATGCTGAGAAAAATAAACTACTTCTTTGTTGCATGGGTTTCTCACCTGTCTTATCAGAGTTGCAGAGAATGGTCTCTTTCTCATGGGCACCAGGGCCATGTCTCATCCACACAGAGATAGTGAAGGGAGCTTTTAGGCTGGTGGTCACCATGCCATCAGGAACCTTAATGGCCTGGGTGCCATTAAATTCAAACACCTGGTCGCTGTCATGACCATTATCAGTTGGCAATCCTACTGTCCAGTTAGAGGAGCTGCTGGGTGCAGGCAGGAGCTCCACGGTGCCAGTGCTGGCCCCTAAAAATAACCAAAGACCAAAAAGTCATCTTTTTGGGCACTCTCATCCAAAAAGTATCTGTTTGGTGTGCAGCACTAAAACAAGCATTTTCAGCTTAGCAGTTACCACAGAGCTTGTGCAGAGACTTCTCAGAGTAGGTATCACGGTCGCAGCCCTTCCCAATGTGGCTGGTTTCCAGTTCAATATTGGCTCGGATGGATGTGATTGGCTCATCACATGTCTCCAAGTGCATGCTGGGGAAAAGGGCGAGGCTACCTGTGCCAGGTTCATATTCAATCCTCTTATTGAAGCCTGAAAAAGGAAGTGAGTGGGGGGGAAGAGAATGAAAAGAGGTCCTTCAGGACAGCACTGATAACATACAGGAGCTGTTTCTTAGTAAGAAGTATTTCAGGTTTTTCAAACATGATTAAAGGTCCTACTGCTTTAAAAAACTTAAAAGCTCCTTGACAATGGAGGATACGTTTGTCGAACACAGAGACACACCTAAGCAGTGATGGTTGGCAAGCTGCAGTGAGTAGGTAAGAGCTAACATACCTTGCCAGCTGGGTTTGCAGGTGGGCTTGACGCTGATTTTGACCAGAACGTCCTCGGAGGCACGGTTCTTTCCACAGTCGTAGGCAGTAACAGTCAGCTTGTACATGCGCTCTTTGCCGTAGCTTAGTTTCTCAGTGTTCTTGATAAAGCCTTGGAAATGGGAAAAAAAAGATAGCAGGATCATTCTTTGTTTAATGTCAAGAGCTGCAGCTGTGCTAGGATACTCACAAAAAAAACCATTTGAGCTGCCAACAGCAAAGCAAAGTTTTCTTAAATATCAAAAAGAGCTGCCAAACACAAGTCTTTAGCCAAAAGGCCAGAAAGGATTAACTGTCACACTGAACTGAAAGCGTAACACAGTGGTTGACGTCTTTACAGCCACAATGCAATATTGTGACTTATGTCATTTTCTTAAGAGGCTGTACTGAGGGTTTCTTACGAATTTAAGTGCACATAGATAAAACTGGCATACAAATTATTAATAGAAACTGATGATGTTTGGGTGAATGAAAACATACTGACTATTTCTTCCTCCTAAAATACTAATTAGCTGTCAGAGATGAGCAGCTTCACCAACACTATGTATCCTCAGACTTATTGTTCTCCTCACATAATTCTGTGCCCATATTTACTTTTTTTTTTTTTATCAAAGCATCACTGCATATCAGATGAGCCTGAATATCTGATGTCTTTAATTTTGTTCAACAAGACAAAAATAATCCTCTTACAGCAAGACAAGAATGACTAACAAACTGTTGGGATGACATTTCAAGGGGACTCATCTCCTCATGAGGTGACAAGCTGCGGTGAATCCTAAATGACAGCCTTGCAGCCCCATTGTTTACACAGATCAATAGACTGCGAGATGCATAGTCAATAAAACTGTGGCTCTAAGGCACGGACTGCAGCTTTATCCCAACTGGCAAAAACAAAAGGCTGCAGGGCACATGTCCTTACCGTCTTTGTCGATGGTGAAGGGCACATCAGGGGTGACGATCTCATAGTTGCAGATCTGACTAAACTGGAATGAGCAGTCGGCATCCACAGCTTCGACCTTCAAGATGCTGTCATACTTCTTTCCCTCAATAACGGTGGCTTTGTAAGACTTCTCCTTGAACACGGGTGAATATTCGTTGATGTCGTTCACCTGGATATGGACAGTGGCCCTGATAGAAAGAGGCTACTGTTAGGACACTGCTTGCTAATGAAAATTTCAGTCTACCAAAAATCTGTCTGGTCATATTTCATTTTATAATTACTTTGACACAAAATCATCGTCACTTTCCTATCTGTAGTTTGGGTCACCTGGTCCACAACAAAAGAAAAATCAAACATTTCTACCTATGACATTTACTTTCCACTAATGCCTGACAAATAAATTGTGAATATCTGAAATTCTTACTTAATGACATTCTACACCATCAGAATGTAAGAGGAAAGTTTTTGGAGAATAAACTAATCGTTACAGCCTGTTTATGTTGCAGTTTGAAAACAGGTTTTAGCAAGACAAAAAGAATCATCATCTACCATGTGGCAAACAGTGAAGGCCATACAACAGGCTAAATTTTGTAGGTAATGTTAACTACAAAACGAGAAGCAGCATTTTATCACACTTCTGTTTTAAGTGGTTTTCAGTCCAATACACTTCTCCTGTGAACACCCTTTGAGTGGTGGTGAAATATTTAATTCACTATCTCACAGTCCAGAGAGTGGGGTTTTATTTTTGATAAATAACTTTTTTTAATTTGATTTAAAGACATTTTTATGAAGGGACTGTAGTGCTTGAACAACACTAAGTTTCAAGAGCATCTAGTCAAGAAGACGAGGAAACACCTCCAAACTGTCAGAGTTTAACTCACTTGTGAGATTTCTTCATGTTGGCTCCATCAGGACCCTCTCCACAGTCATAGGCTTGGATGGTGAAGGTGTGCTCCTTCTGCAACTCACAGTCCAGCTTGTCCTTGGCCCGGATGACCCCCTCTCCAGTGGACTTATCCAGGACCACTGCCTCAAAGGGGACATTCTGCCCGTGGATCCTGAAGCCGCAAATCTCACCTGAACATGTCAAGAGCCAAAAGAGAGTTTTGCTCTGAATGACAGACCGCAGGTGTGAAATCCCATCACTAAATTTAGAAAATATGTTAACAACAAAACCATAAATTCACGCAAAGTAAAAAAAAAAAAAAAAAAAAAAAAATCAGCCACAGGTTTTGGGTGCCAGGGAGTTGTAGATTGGGATAGGTGGTGGCTGTGGAGGAAGCCCAAAAGCACTGTCATGTGGGTGAGTACAGGGGAGGGGAGTTGGGAGAGGGAGTGGGACATTTAGTATCAGAGAAGAGAAGGTGTCTTTTCCAAGCCACTTGAAAACATTGCATCCAGTCATGCAGGCAGAAACTGAAAAGATGTGAACAGGCATTTCACAGGAGCACTTGTATTACTAGAAATTAAGGTCATAAAACCAAGCCCCGGATAATGGGTACAAAGTGAACAGTATTTGAATAGAAAACCCATAAACTCTGAAGTAACTAACCCCTATAAAAGAGAGACTACTTAACATAAAAAAACAAAAATAATTATTCCTACAATAGAGGATTATTACATTGTGATTAAGTATTCAAGCACCAATTAATTCATCGGTACGCCAAAAAGTCTGGAAAGAAAAAAAAACTCTTAAAACACCTCTGAGTGTGAAGTGATTTTACTTTAAGAAGGTCTTCCTGTGTAATTTTGCCTCTGAACCAAAACACTGCAAAATGACTTCAAATCAAATCAAATCATAGAAAACTCAACCCGCTACAATAACAATCAAACAATAATGTGCTGGATGAGAACTGGGGTTAGAAATATCAACTTGCTTGACATCCACATCAAATGACAACTGCAGCCATGCCAATGGTAGAGATTAGTGGTGGAGAATTAACTCAACAGATCCACTGAGGCAAAGATGCAACAACAAAAACTTTGTAGCAGAGAGAGTTTGCATTTGTTAACAATCTCAGCAGCTTTCAGTAGAAGGTTTCAGGAGTCATGGTGGCTGCTCAGATCTAAAGATTGACAGGGGGGTGATTTCTTCAAGACGAGTCAATTTTAATCAACTTTACTAATCAACTCTAGTGTTAATTTCATCTCCAATTTCCATGAATGTGGAAGCAGATGTCGAATTATCAGGTATCTCCTTTTTGACTGCACTTGATTATTGAATGTGAGTCCAACAAAGGGCTTATCCTTTCTTAAGTGAAAGGACTGGATTGGATGGCTGGGCAGCAAAGTGACTGAAAACTCCTGTTTTAAAGCAGCTTTCTGTTTCCTGGTGACAGCTGAAAAACTGTTAGGGTCTGCAAACTGCAATGGATGTCTCATGCACAGATATTTCTAAGTACAGTCAGCCCCACATCACACTTTTCATCCAGCTGTTGGAACTCCAAAAAGTTCAGGGTGAGAAAAACAGAAAATTTAAGAAAAACCAAATGGGGAGATTACAGAGCATGGCAGGAGTTTCTGTGTAAAAGTGTGGATGCTGTTCTTTTGCGTTAGTGGGTTAATAATAACTAAGCACAAGGCAGAAGAAAGAGCCCAAGATCACCTTCTTCAGTGAGGGTCACCTCAAAACTCTCTACAAGGAGGGGAGAAAAGATAGACCCAGATCAGTGTAAAGAAAAGTTAGAATCTCAGAGAAAGAAAACAGATAGGAAAGAGAGAAAGCATAGTCTTACTACAAGCTCGTAAATTCATCAGAAAAACCCATTTTAACTTTCAGGTGACCAAAAAGTCCTCTGCCGGTTGAAAGAAAGACAAGGTTAAAGCATTCATGAACAGCAGGCTGTGTCAAAGTCTCTGTTGTTTATCAAATCCTTTTAGAAGAAACAACTCGTGAAAAAGTGACAGAGAATAAAACCATAATCAACAGAAACATCATGTTTTAAGGACTGAGTGTTTGGCGATAAAGAGAGCCTGTCTTTCAAACAAGTTTATTTTACTTCTTAAACAACAGCCCAAAGAAAGTCCAACGATTAATCCTACAACTAAAAACAGGGTCAGTGGATTGAAATTACAAGCTTACAGATTAGAGGCTTTAAATCATTCAAAGCTTCAATTTAAATCATGAAGTCACTCTCTGCTTGGCTGTTTGTTTTAAAGCCCTGTTAGGGCCTATCCTGGAGTGCCCATTCCCTTTCCACCTACTAAACAATTAGAAATGGATTTCACATTAGGGAGTGCTGCTCAGGGCCAGTCATGCAGTTGGAGCTATGGGCCTCTGTGTTCAGCACAGCTCTAATGACCAGCTCACACTAGGACACTAGGAATTCCTCTGCTTTTCACTCGTCACATAGGCCTCTCAGCCTGGGCTGAGTCAGCCGTCACAATGAGTGTTAAGTATTGATTTTGCAGTTTTGACCTCTAGTCATTTAAGTACTGGTAAAACGTAAATACAGTGAGTTATAATCTCAGACTGATGAGTGAGTCAGCGGGTTACAGTGTTTTAACCCATTTGCAGAAATTGTAAAAGCACAGTTTTTTTTTCTGTAATCATGTCTCAGCGCTACATGAATCATAAAAGCCAGGTCTGGTAGGTAAATGCACCCTGCTTTAGTTACAGCTTTGTTACGATGCTTTGACCTGACCTCTCCCACAGACATTTAGAGATGAAAGCCGGTACGTAAGTCCATTATAAACACAGAAACTCCTACACTGATTTTCTCATTCATGTTAAATCTTCACCCCACCACAGCCTGTGATTGGCCCTTCGTTGGCCTGTGGGTCAGCTTTACACTGAGCTTTGTTTGTTGGCACAGATGGACCAGCTACAAGCACACTGACACGACAGAGCCGCTCACCCCTGCTGCCACGTGAAGCCAGCCTGCCTGCTCTGTCTCCACAGACTGCTAGTTCAGAGGGGCACACGGCCCATCCCCAAAAGCCCTGCTCATCAAAAAGGGAGCCCCAAGCTCTGTATTCATTGTGAAAGGAGGTAAACATCATGCAGAGAATGGGTTTATTATTCAATTTCCTGCCTTTTAGAATGATGGGCCCTTCGCTGTATTTTTCCACACACTGTGCACTGCCCGGCTGATCGGCTCTTAAATAGGATCAACTTCCATGTGACACTAGAGCATGTTACATTTTGTATATCCTCTGACAGACATAAGGGTGTTAGAGCCCTACATGCTAAATCAGGAGAATTCATCTGAGATACAAATGGCTGCATCAAGTGGAATGAGAGCACTGACTGTGAAGAGAGAGGCAGAAAAGAGATCACAAAACTCATGTGATGTGAAATGGTGGGAAATCATTTCCAGTGCTGCGGGGCTCTGAATCCTGGCCAAAGTCAATCTTGATGTGATTAAAACCCCTAAGCTAATGCTGCCGTGGTACGTAAAGCACACTAATGGTGCCGTTCTACTGGTAGGAAGGAAAAAAAGAAAACATGAAAGAGCATTTTGATCTGAATATCAAAAGGGCCAAAAATGAGGACATGGTAGCCAGATGTATGTCAGTATGACAAGCATGTCATAAAACTGTAATGAGCAGAATGACAGCAAACCACTCCTGCCAAACAGTTCATTAAAGTTAAACTTATAATTGTCTGAGTGAAACCCTACTTCAGTGCTAAGTGAGGAAACAGTTTCTTTATTTAAGGGCACGTTTAACCACAAATATAACCTTTATCAGAAAGACAGTGGCAGTTACTGGTAATTAGAACACCCAGAGCAGACAAAAGGCCTTTATAATCTACAGTAAATATGACATGATCATTACAACGTATCACACTGACAGCAGGTTTGAGCTGGCACTTCTGTGTTGAAGAAAGCTTTCCTCAGTCTGATTTACAAGTAGAATCTATTAATTTTATACTTCATTAGCTAACCGTTTACTTGTCTTACAACTCTCATCCATGCCTCTGAAATGTGTGTTAAATTTAGGTTGGCCAAAGATGAAGAGCTTCCACAGTCTCAAGGCTTTGATTGTACAGAGTAACCAGTATGTTTTCTTATTTTTGAGGACTGAAGGTAAAAAATTCCCAGGAAGTAGGGCTAGGGGGGAAGGGAGAAGAAACAGCAGCATTAAACCTCCTCTCTCACCTGCATAGCGTAGAGGAGCATCCTTGTCCAGCGCAATTAGAGGGGGGTCCAGGAGTACTTTGTCATCGTTTTCCGTTACGATCCCATGGTATGTCGTCTCAATCCATGGTTTGTGCTTATTGACTATAAAAGAGAAAGAGAGAGAGAGAGAGAGAGAGAGAGAGAGAGAGAAGGGGACAGAGGAGAAATGTCAGTGTCCACAAAGGTACAGTCTATACAATAGTTTCAGTCCTCAGGTGAAGCACTCATTAGAAATACAAGCCGTCCTTTACCCCTTTCAATAATCTGATATCATCTGTGTTTACTCCACTTGCTAGTTTGACTTTTGTTCCCTCCCACTACAGCCAAATCAAATTTTTTACGAGGCTCTTTTGTTACTATTTTTAGAAACACTGCAAATAATGAAGGCTGCACCTACAACACACAAGCAGGCGTTTATGAGCCAAGACTGTGCACTTACTCAGCTGATGTTACATTTGGTTGAAACATCATTTGCAAATCATTCTCCACTCCAAATTAAAAAGGGTATATTTTGTTATATAACTTTTTGTTTAATTTATCCAAATTAGGGACAAATTCTCCACAGTGGTTTCAAAATAGCTCTCTCTACACCAGGAGTGATCCGAGAGTTAGGCACATCCACAATCCATATGCATAAACAAGATTTGACAAGAGTATCACAGCCTGTGATACTCTTGTCACAGGGATGATAAAGACTCTGGCTGTGGTTTGAGGAGCAGTAGTTGAGCACATAATACAAAGCTGTGCGCTAGTCACTCTGGGTAGCATCCCAGCTGCAGACAGGGCCCTGCTGTAGCTGGCGGCTGCAGAAAACGCTGCAGTGAGTGACATATTTGGGCTGGCTTAGGAAACGGCGTGACGCAGGGGAGATGCAGCTCTCTTACAGCCAATATGTGCCAACTCCTGAGTAGAGGGAGGGATGACATTGTGTGTTGCTGATCTGTAAAGGTGATGCTAACTCCGGCAGACAGCAAGTCGTGGGGGGACCGAAACACAGGGAGAGTAACTGGAACAGACACAATTCTGAACAGCAAGACGGGAACAAAACAGTGGGTCCATAACATAGATGTACATCCTACTGTATCCAGGCACGACGGCACGTGAAGTTAATCGGGCTGCAGACTGCAACATTATATAATTCTCTTTGCAAGGGCCTATTTACAAGCAGCTGCACTCTCTACTCTTTGGTACATTTATTGAGAAAATATTCAAAATTATGAATTATTTTCTTTATATTTTCAATCGACTTGTTTCTTGAAATTCTTGGTTGTAAAGACATGCTGCCTCTCTGCCCTCATTTAACCCCCCTGTCCTTATTCACATGGTTATTTTCAATGTAAACTGTCAGATAAATTCAATGGACTTGGGTCATGCATTCAAGCTGAGCCCTGCTAACAAAGAACTGCTGTGGTAGCATGACCCATCAAAGCAAGGAAATCACTGATCCCAGTACAATGGGCATGTTTAGAAAACTGTTCCTGTTACATAACAAACCATCTGGGGTTTAACAATAATCTATTTAGTTATCTATAAAGCATCTCTAATTCAGGGATATTTAATTAGAGCTTCTGGTCCATTTGTTTGGATACCTCAATAGGAACAATATCTTCGAAACAGTGTACACATCATCTATGTTTGTATTATAATACACATTTCAGCCTACCTAAATGACACATATTTGCTTCTGCTATGTTAAAGGAGTGAAGCTCTTGGTCACTGATGTTAAATCCAGAAACTACTGAGAGGGTATGTAAATGGAAACGCTTGATATCAAGAGCTCCATTATACAAAACTGACCCTCCAGCACTCATTCATTTACTTATGTACAATTACACATTGTGAACTCAACATATCATTTTAAAAAAGCAACAATATTTGAATAGACAGCAGCTGTATTATTCTGTCCCTGGTGCAGTATGCTGCTCTCCGTCAATTGTTTGTTAAGGTTGGTAAATTTAAGTACTGTTTTTATATTTTTGCTTCCTCTTTGCTTCTTTCAAAGAGGAATAAATTGTCATTTGATATTTTTTAATGTCTGAAAACAAACTTTAATATAGCTATATCTTTTATTCATCATTTTTCATCAGGTATCAAGAGTTCACTGCAGAGAGGATCTGTAATGAACTTATAGATGCACTCTAAATTAAATATTTCTTTTCAACGTGACTCTTCAGTTCAAGATCTTTTTCAGATATGAAACATGTAAAATGTAAATCTGCAGCTGTGCAGTGCAGCAGAAAGTGCCAACATAACAGATTTATTACCAGACAAACTGCAGAGGCCTTATGCTCAACGACACAATCTCTGCCACAGCCTCAAACAGAAGCCAGATGAAACAACAAAAGGCATGAAGACATGATGTCAACATTTTGATAGGACTTTGGTGTCAATCTCCCAAATCCAATTTAAGCGGTTTTGTGTCTTTGCATAATTAAGCGTAATTCTCAGTCATTACGAGATCGATGAAAATTAATTACAAGCTCCTTGCACAGGATTGCTATGATGTGCTGCACCAAACATGAATTAGAATTACACAACAAGTAAAGAGTAACATTCTTTTCAAATAAGTTGATGTAGACGCTGATTATATTATCTTATCTACCTGAAAATAATGAGCTGGCTATGCTTAGATAATGGCATTAAGTTAAGTTAGCTGAAAAAAACAACAGCCTATTCAAAGTAAAAGTATGTTTCATCAGGAAACAGATCTTCTCTCACTGCAGTGTTTACACACAAGTATGTCAGGGCGTAAGTTTACCTTTATTAAAGATCTGACAGAAATGAGAAGGCAGAAAAGCAGTGAGGTGGACCACATCAGTCAAAGACAGGGTTTTTTTGTTGATGATACTACAGCGATGAAACAAGTAAAAAATGTCAAACTGTGAGCAGCTCGAGTACAACTAGAGACAAAAACAAAATAACTAAAAGGTTTTTGCAACACCGACTCAAGTAGAATTGCAGAAGAACTTGACATCCCTGGTCAAATCTTAACAGGCAGTATCTGACTAGAATGGATGGTTTAGGGTGCCACTAATTTGGAATCCAATAAATCGTCTTAGCTGAGAGTCTCGTGACTTAAAATGAGTTGGATGTCTTTAGACGGATTGCCTTGCCAGACTACTACATTAATCTGCTTTAGCTTCTACAGATACACACTTACTGTTAGCCAGGTCACATGCTGCCGGCCTCACATTTTTCTGAGTGGCTTATGGCTCTCAGCACAGAGCTGAACTGAATGGTTCAAATCTCTTAGAGTTATGCAAAACATTTAGCCCAATTGTGACCCCAAAAAAATAAAAACAGATGAAAACTTTGAATTTTTTTTTATTTTTTATTTATTGTATTGCATGTTTCCAACCTGTCTGACCAGAAAAAGTCTCACAAAGAATCTAATAAGAATTTCATAAGACAGTGGATTCGCTCAATTTCTAACTCCCAACACTGTTCTGATGTGATCAGCTGAAATAAGACATAAATGGAGCCAACAGGTTGTAAGGAGGAAATGGGAAACACAGCACAGGTAAGTGTAGGTATATATACAAAGGAGGTCGTTCTTTGAAGGCCAGAGACCAATTCAAAACTAATCTACACCACCATTGTGCATCACCATTAAATCCACTTTTCACTCACAAATACACCTTCTGTGAAGTGGAATCTGAAGTACAGGTTTATTCTAAGTGCAACATTCACACATACATGGTGTGAAATTGCCAACAAGACTCCTTTGACAAGATGCGTTCATCATCCCCCTGCAGTGAATAGGAGGAACATTAGTTTTGGTGTGACTTGCTTGGCAGAGAATGTTTGAATCAACAAGACATGATTCCTACAGACACAATAATTCTAGCTAACTGGTTTTTATAGAAAATGCACTATTTTCAATGTAAACATAGAGACAGTCAAATACAGATCTGTTTGAATGGTTTGATTTGAGGAGGAAAGGATTCAGGATTCAGGATTCAGGATAAAGAGGCTTTCAAATATTTGAGGCAGTCTGAGACAGGCTCACTGAAGAAGAACTGAGAATGTTCAACATGGAAAACTGCCATTTTTCTCATTTATTTAACATATTAAGAAACCATTTCATCTCTTTTGAAATACCAGAAAAAATGTTAGAGGACCAGTTTTTCTGTTTGCATTCAGCAATAGAAAAGTTGCAAAATTCTGACTAATAACCATCATGTGCGGCAGACAAGTGTGAGCCTTTGAAATATCTTAAGAAGTCAAGCAAACATCCTGAATGCAAAGATCTTTCAGTCAAAGTACTTTGTGATGTACACAAGAAACTACAGATGCAGCAATTTCTGATGCCATCTTCACTAAAGTCTAGGTTTGTATCACTTACACCAGTCATAAAAATAAGATTTAAAAGTATGGATATTTATGGTGGCAAAAAAGCAACACTTAAAACTACCATATATTAACATAGTGTCATTACCATTCTGCAAAAATAGTAAAAAAAAAGTGAAGAAAAATGGCAGCTCACTGTACCTATAACCTACACAGTTATGTTTAGGGTTTAAGGAGTAAAATGGACTGCAGTGTCTCACCATCATGAAATTAGAGGGCTGATATTAATAACACAGATGCAATGGGCTGATATCTTGCCTGTTACTAAATACAGGATATCAACCAGGCAGTGTTATGCAATTCTGACTCTCAATATCATTACATTTCTGTCCGAGTAATGACATTTATATAGAATCACGTTTGCCTCATTAAAAACCATCAGTAACACACAAAACTGAAATAGGCCAGGTCTTTCAAATGAATATTTTTACTGCATAAATCAGGAACCAAAAGTTTTACAATTTACCATGTAGTTCACATGAAACTACTGAAGGCAAGGTCTGCAGATGGTCTTTTAATTGCTATGGTAATGATCTTTGCAGTTTTCACTAAACCAGTCACAACTATTTCCAGGCTTTGGATCTAATTTTACTTGTTTAATTAATAGGCTGAAATAATATAATTCTTGGATACTAACATAATTTGACAAGCAAATGTACATTTATTCAATATATAAAAGTGTTACATTTTTATTTACATGTTGTTGTGTGTTGGTCATTTTGCAGCCCTCTGCTGCTCATCACACGCCTAGCAGGTGGTGTATAGCATTATCACCATGGATACACGGATGTTTGTGTGATTTTTTTCATCCACTGCCGCCCGGTTTGTGTCGTGTAGATGTTGATTATGAAAACACTTCGCAATAATTTGGAAACGTGAAGGGGGAGCTGCTGCTGCCCGGTGTTTACGGTAAATAGACGCAAACACCGACCAAGTGGACGCTTCGGTCTCCGAAAACGCCGAGACAAATTTACAAACAGCCACTATTTCAAACAACTGGGCTCATAATCGTGATGTAAACACTTACTTTCTCGCTAGAAAAAATATTATTATTGAATGAATTTATATAATTTGTCCGGTATGCAGTCGTTCTATGTAGCTTGTGGTAGGACTATTTAAATTTGAAATGACTGCATATCAAATCTTAAACAGGGACTTGCTAGAGTCAAATACAAATTCTGTTATAATGTGTAAGGATATTGCAGTTTGATATGCCTCCCACAAAGATATCAGACAGGTTCTGGAAAATAACCGTATGTTTTTGTCTTTTTTGTCTTTGTCTTTTTTGATTCATGAAAAAACAAACACGCCACTAGCCAAGTCAACTGAATGCTAAATTATTATATGCACAAAATGATGGCTTTTTGTTTTTACCCAAAAATGCATCTCATATTTTTCTATTTTTATAATTACAGAAGGCTCCAAAAATATGGCAATAATTTACTGAGCCAATTTCTTTTTCACTCTACTTTTTGTTTGACTTTATAATCGTTTCAGCCCTAACACAGATGCAATGGGCTGATATCTTGCCTGTTACTAAATACAGGATATCAACCAGGCAGTGTTATGCAATTCTGACTCTCAATATCATTACATTTCTGTCCGAGTAATGACATTTATATAGAATCGATTTCAAAAGTCAACCATCAAATATACAGAGTTTATTGTGTTCACTAGCAAACAAATTAAGCCCCACAAAGGGTAACACAGGCCTGACAATAACAATGTGTCAGGAGTTGGGAACAAACACATACAGTATATCAGCTCTTTATTATACATGCAGCACAGATGGTACACAGTACCTGGTATGCAATCCTGTTGCAAAGCAAATAAAGCCAATGGCATTTAATCCTGTAACAGGATGCGTCTATTTCATTCACTGACAAGGTCAAGTAACAAGAAAGTATCAAACAAAATAGGCAAGGCTGCCAAAAACAAATCACTGCCAAGTCTGTATTATAGATGTCTAAGGATGAGCATGATGTAGTGAACAGAGTAAAAAGGTCCGGCTAATACTAGGAGATTAATTTAATGTTTCAAGATTATGAACAGAACAAGTGCTTAAGTGAATAAGAACCTTTCAAAGGAAGAAAGACAGAGACTGAGACAAAGGGGTTGACATGAGCTGGCTTTTGACACAGGTGGACTAGGGTAAGATATTTGGTGTAACTGTGTATGCCAGGGTGAGCTGTGCCAGTCCATCCACTAATAAGCTCTATGTGTCTGCTACCTGTGTACTTCTTTGAACCCTGGTGAGACTCTTGATGCTCTAATACTAACTATCCAGGTCCAAGTTGGTGGTGCTTTTCTTCTCTGTACAGTTTGATTTATAGTTTGAAGAATAATCCTGTTGAAAACACAATTTGAAATGACTGCATATCAAATCTTAAACAGGGACTTGCTAGAGTCAAATAAAAATTCTGTTATAATGTGTAAGGATATTGCAGTTTGATATGCCTCCCACAAAGATATCAGACAGGTTCTGGAAAATAACCGTATGTATTTGTCTTTTTTGTCTTTGTCTTTTTTGATTCATGAAAAAACAAACATGCCACTAGCCAAGTCAACTGAATGCTAGATTGTTATATGCACAAAATGATGGCTTTTTGTTTTTACCCAAAAATGTATCTCATATTTTTCTATTTTTATAATTACAGAAGGATCCAAAAATATGTCAATAATTTACTGAGCCAATTTCTTTTTCACTCTACTTTTTATTTGACTTTATATTTATGTAACTAACAGTTTTAGTTTTCATTTGTTGGTATCAATAAACTTTGCAAAAAAAAAAAAACACCCACATGATATCCATGATATCTCTGTGATTAGATGACCTACTCTATCATTATTGGCATCAGCGGCCGAAAAATGGTATCAGTAAACCACTTAAGTGTATGCAAATACATTTATTGCTTTAATGGCAGGTATACCTGGTTATCAATCAGGAGTTACATTTACAAAGGGTTGTAAGACATTATTGATACACTTGTGGTACTACATCATTTTGGCAGAACAGTTTGTTGATCAGTGGCATTTTGGTGAAAGTGGTATTCTAATCAGTTACCATCTATTTGAGCCCACTCTAAGGGTACCCAAGGGTCCTTGAACAGGTTCTCTGGGTACTTAACAACAAACTTTTACTAAAACTCATGAGTAAAAACCAAAGAAGAATCTCAATCAATCTTTAAGGTTGTTTTTAATTTGCCTCATAAGCCCTCATGATAATAATATAATTAAATGAAAACTGTGTTCTTCTAGATGTGGTTTGCACTTCATTAACATGTACATGCACTGCACATGTGGACGCTAAAAGTAACAACTCTGTGGTCCTGTTAGTTGAGCAGTTTTACATGTGCCCTCAACATCAGTGAGAACCAGAATAAGCAGAAAAATACTTTTCTAGAAAACCTGTCTCATTTCATCAAATGTTAACTGCAGCATCCTTGCCCGGTGGTCTTCTTGTTTTTCATTTTCTAAAGGTGGAAGCAAATTAATTTAAAATGTAGCGGCGGTCACGAATGTTTACATTATCAAGTCATGTAACACAGTCACAGACTCACAGAAATCAGTTCTTGATGTCTTCAAGTGAACAAGTGAGCTGCATTAGTGATTTAGTGTTTCGTAGTAACAGGATAACATATGTCTGTCAATATGACTGTCCTGCGATGTGACTATAGTGCATCGTTCGACTCAACAGCAAACCATTCTCTCCACAGCACTAGCTTGGTGCAAGTTATCCCACAGGGTCACATCATTTTTCCAGTCTGGCCTCACTAAATTTCTCTCATGCCCTGATATTAGATCTCTGTAAAATGTATCAAGAAGGTCAGGAGAAGTTGGGAGTTGTACGACTGACAGAACTTGAAAAATAAATGGATCATCTGAATGTGATGTACAAAAGATAAAAGAATGTTTATGAGCTTTTAAGGGTTCATAAATTTGAATGAGAATCAACTAATGGATTTTGATTATTAATATTAAGCCTTACTTAAGGGATTTATTTCTGTGCAGATTCATAAAGAAGTGCGCTTACTCTTATGCCCGCGTGTACCAATAAAAAATGCTATCTGCTTAAAAGAATGAGAATTCCTGATCTTTTGAGAACGACAAACTGATTTTTGTTAGTGTCCCACAGTGTACTTTGATACACAAATAAGATGAGCGACTTCATGTATATGCTTTTATTTTTATTTTTGTCCTGGTCTCATTTGCAGTGATCTGTACATATCTTTTTTCTAACTTTAAGTCTCTTTATCCTTGAATTTCTCTTTTTGTATCTGTATTTATGCTGCTGTGAATTGAAATTTCGCCCTGTGGGGCTATTAAAGGAATATCTTATCTTATCCTCCATTCAATCAATCAGCCACTTTAAGGTAGTGGACAATATGAGCTGATGATAAGGAGGCTTTTAAGTCCTCTTTGGTATAAGCATTTGTTGCCCAGCATGTTTAGCATGGGAACTTCGGTTCTCGTTTTGCAAACACTTTACCACCACGGCAATAACAGAAACACTGTTCATTAATTGATTATCTACTGAATTGAAGCAAGCAAAAAAATAATCCAAAAACAGAGCAAACCTTTAAGATAAACACATTTTAGGGAGACAAATATTGTACATTGTGATGCCTTTGCCGAACTCTTTTTTTGTCTCCTACTTGAAAGCGCAGGGTAACATACGGTCCATTCACGAGGACACAAAGACAAAGCCCCTTTATGTTGCCAGGCTCTTTTATTGAAGCTAAACCTTTACAGTTTGACCTATTAACCGTGATGAAACACTTCCGCGAGAATTTTAGGACCACAAAAGGTCCCGCTAATCCTGGGATCCAATAGGATACCCAAACACACAGACTCTCTCTCCCTCCGTACCCCGCTGTGTTATCACTTCTTGACGGAGGGGCAATAAAATCATTCTGTCCTCAAAACACTTGTGAGGAGATTTGCACGTTTAGCCCTTGCACAACCCTCAGACGTGCCACAGACTGAGCAAATATGATAACACCAGGCGGTTTTTCATGCCACCGGTCACAATGTGAGAGGCACTGAAACACAACACAGCTGTGTGCAGACTGCGGCAGAATAACTGCAGCAGATGATCAGTATTTAATTATCACATGAAGCCTGGGAACCTCTGAGGGCATGTTGTGTAACAATGATGCTGCGGCCAAGTGTCAGGCTGTGACATGTTTGAGTTTAATTTACTGATTTAGCTCACGTTTCACTTCTGAATCCAACAGCATGCAAGTATTCATCTTATTTGATTGTGCGCTAATGTGAAGCTCCTCTCTAAGAATCTACAGACAGCCATTTGAACCCACTGTAACCCTTTTCTGTCCTTTGAGATTGAAGATTACATTAAAGTTCAGTGTACATTGCACTAAAAATATCACACTGACTGCACAAAACATGAACGCAGCAAGTGGATGTGTTTTAAATTGATTAAAAATCCTGAATAACTAGTCCATGCTCTGGTGCAAATGTCTGATTATACAGATTCATAAATAAATCAAAATCTGTAGCAAAACCTGCCACTCACAGGCAAACAGTACTTTCAGTGAGGTCCCAAAGCAGGGTGTACACTAGGCTGTCTTATTGTCGTGTGTGACTAAATAAAGCCTCTCTGTTGCCAGGTTGTTATTCTTCCTCTTGTCCCATTAGCTGCAGCACCACACTAAAGACAGGAATGTCTGTACTCAGGTGATCGTCGGACTCTAAGGTAATCAAAGAGATATGCCAAAGAAACGGTAGAAATGTGAGCCGTTTCAACTGTTGGCACAAAGTCAACAAACATACTTCAAAATGCACCACTAACTGTATATCAATAGGCTTAATATTTTAACAACTGACTAATGCAGATTTGGATCAATGCCTGACTGCAATCATTTCTGTGATAACCCTCTTCCAGGTAGACAGAAGTGCTTTCAACGACCATGGAGACCCTCTTACAGCATCATTTGATAGCAGGGCAGAAACATCAAACAAACAGCCAAATAGGCAATGGGATGAGATGCATACAAATCTGGGTGAAGCACTGATTTCAATTCTGCTGGTGAGAGGCTCTCCTAATTCTGCCAAACAGGAATAGTCAACGAACAACCTGCTCACGCTCTGAAACAGCGGGCACACTTCTCTGTTTATCTTGCCTAACAACATCCTGAGCTTGTTCACGCAGGCCATCTTTATCACAGACCAGGGACTGTTCTAGTAAGCCATGCAGACCCTTAAAGGAAACCCAGACCTCAGGGGCCCCCACTCCCCAAACATTATGCTCACACAGGAGAGCCTCTTAGTTGCCCTGCCAAGCAACAACATTTGTTTATCCTCCCTACCGTCTTACTCCCACCCTACACCCTACAGAGCATACACGCCCTCATGAGCACGGTGCTCCTCTGAAGAGGGGGTTGGGAGTCACAGAGCCTTGAATGCAACTCAATCACCTCTCTGTGTGAACTGCACAAAGAGCCAGTGAGAGTGGAGAAGTGAGAGTGAGACGGCTGGGACTCTGCACAGGCCTTCATGGGTGTAGCAGACCTGTGGTGGCAGGTAATGTAACCGTTCACCTGTTTTCCATGGAGACAGAATTTCAGTGTAGACAAACTCGAACATAAATGGCTCTGCAGTGCAAAGTTTTCTCCTGGAGGCAATAGAGCTCCAAGAGGGAGTATCATATACTGATAAGCTGTAGGTATCAGTTCTATCTTGACCTGTTTGCTTATCACTGCCTCTTAAAAATGATAACACCATTGGCTTTTACTTTCAGAATTGAGGCATTTACATTTAAAACGGACATTTTAATGAATGTGAAGGGAGGCTTCGCAAGATTGTTCTTAGTTTTAATGAAATTCTTTATAGATCCTGTCAAACACAGCTAAAATCCAGACTTCACTATCTGTATTTTCACTAAAAATATTCCACCAACTAAGGATATATATATATCAGATCATTATGATTCTCTTTTTCCATGTTAGTATTTATTTGTTGATATGAATAATTTGCTCTACATTTTTTGGTGTATAGCCTAAACCTTGAGAGGACTAATGTGATTGTAAACTGCTTTCTTAGTGGCCCACAAAACTTCCCCGTCATCTGGCACAGTTTAATATTCACAACTGAATGACCCATTTTTGACAGTTCACTGACTGCATTCAGCCCCTGAAGGCACCAATGAGAGCAAAGTCACCACAGACCCAAATTGAGTCCAGTATTCTCATGACCCATCTTCCCAGCAATGACTGGCATATTATCAAATCTAAATGCTTCAACAACTTCGCACTTTGAGGGGGATTACTTCATGTACACATTCTTGAAGGGCTTGACTCGCGGTCCTCCAAACAGAGACCCCTTTGTGACGTGTCGAGTCAAGATCCCGACCCTGAAGTCAGGGCCTAAAAGCCTTTTGTTCCTCTGAGAAGCTCAGGATAAATACTCAAAATGTAAGCATTAAAATAAAAAAATAGAGCCTCTAAGAATTGCAAATTAGCACTTATTCAGGACTAAGCAAAAGTAAAATGTCTGCCAACAGTTCCAATAACACATGCATTATAATGGATCAAGTATTAGACTTACACAACTTCCTTCAGTTTCTTTTATTCTAGTATTTCCCCTTTCATTATCTCAAAGTCATCTTACTTGCAGCTCACATAGCGTTTTCACAATGTCTGACATTTCACAATAATTTGGTGCAAATAAGTTGTGTACGTGGCCTATATGATACTGGGCTGAAATGACTGCAGAATAAAGACATTTTGATGAAGTTTGCTGTTAGTCTTTAAGTTTTCTGAACACATTACGGCTGCCATAGATGAATCAGAATTAAAAGGCATGTTTTTAGGATTAAGTTTGTTCTTCGCCAGTCTTCCTTAGCTGCGTCAAAGCTCAATGATAGATGATATTAAGGTTCTGAATCTTGGGTAAAATCTTGGGATCACCAAACATCAAAAAATGGACCCTATCAATCAAACCACTGCAAGTAGCACTCTGACAACAGCTCTGCCATGTTACAAGCGAAACATTTAAACTAAACTGATTCCCCTCTGCTCCACTGGCATCACATCTTCTGTCATCAGCTGTCAGCATGTTGATATCTACTGATGTTCTTTCTGAGGGGAATCAGTTCAGCGAACCGATGCTGAATTATGACAAGACTGTTACCAAAGCTGCATGGGAAACGTGAACAATGCAGCCATTGTCAGCTGTGTGAATTCACATAGTTTCTGCATGCCATAACACACCATGATGAAAACGTCACACAGATTATCGGTAGGTAACTAACAGGTTTAAAGGGAAATCTGTAAACACCTTACAGCAAATCAGAACATATTTATTTCCCCCTGGGTCACAGGGTCACTGAGAATTGATTTTAGGGCTCCTATAATCAACTAACCTACAAGGAATACTATTTCAACCAATAATGAATCTTTCAGGTTTATATTAATGATTGTTTAAAAATCAGCAGCCTGGTGTAAAGACAGGAAAGCTGTAAACTGGCTGTAAGTCTCTACCTAAAATGATCTGTTGAAATAACAGAGTGGATAATCTCTACAGCATACTTTCATGTGGCTGTAATCATGGAGGATCCAGATCACAGACAATCATGAGTCATGTACTTTTATTGACCTGAAAATATTGACCATATACATGGTTCCAACCGTGGAGCAATGTCTGAGCTGTGACCATAACTGGCTTGCAGTTTTTCAGGGAATCACTTATGGGCTCCTCCAATAAATGTAAGATGAGTAGGAACAAAAGGGAACACTTGCCCCAAACCAGTGGTCCATGCTTGTTTGCCACCAGGTGAGAGGAATGTGTATATTAACTTTGCACCACCCAAAGCCGAGCCTTTGTTCAACTTCCATTTCTTAATTGGATGATGAATGAGCCATGAAAGTCCCCAGCAGCAAGTTTCTGTTTTGTCTGGCTTTGTGTGCACAGGGGGACGCTCATGCATATCAGCAGACCTGATGTTTGACTCTGGGACATGAGGACACCCAGCAGCTGCTCATTGGGACAGAAAAAGAAAAGAAGACCCTGAATGCTAGCAGCAACATTGTGCAAGAAACTTCTGGACTGGACATTTTAAAAAAAAGAAAGATGGGGAAAAAAAAAGATCTCAGGGCTTTAACAGCTCCTAAGCTTCAATGGCCTCCTCAGAAGATGTATGTCTGCACCAGTTTTACGCATTTCCCTGCTGGATGTGTAATGAATCATATAGTTTAGATAAGATTTTAATAGGAATCAGCACCTTAGATTTGTTGTAGCTTTGTCATCGGTGATTAATGTTTGTGTAGGTGAGCAACTGAGGAACACAACATCCATTTATACACCAGAATGAGGCTCTATGTCTTCTTCTGTTTCTGCTGTGATAGCATCTAATCGTTTGCAGACACCTAAACTAAAGGACAACAACAACAACAACCTAGTCTGATATGCTTCCTAGTTCACTGCAGGTGGCAGGCAATAAAAAAAAAAACAACTCAACCATGAGCCATGAAAACACAACACTGGACTAAGGTTGCAGGAGGTGGCTCACAAATAAGTGAGTGACCTTCGATTATTGAAAGATAAGCACTTACTAAGATAATGATTTCACAGGCTGCCTTTACTGATAAGGGCAGAAAGGCCAGCAGGTGCACAGGCTTGGCAACAACATAAAAAGCCTGTTTCTCAAAGAGGAGCCAGAACCAACTGCTGCAGGCATTTTCCTTCTTGATTGATGAAAAGAAATTAAGTTACTGTCTAGAATAGGTAGCCTCCCACTGCTGTGAATTCTCAGCTGCTTGGCTTAGAAACAGGAAAAAATACGGCTCTTTTAGACCCCCCTTTCAGACTTTTATGGCTTTCTTCACCCCTTTCATGGATGGGCTTCATTTTCTTCCTGGATCATAAAATTGGTATAAAATCCCAAGTAAGCAACACACACTGGCCTAGACATGTAGAGAAACTGATATACACCTGCCTTTCCACACCCTTCAAACAGGAAGCTGAGGAGTCAGTGGATTAAGTTAAAGGTTAAAATACAGTTCATAAATTCTTGCAATGAGGAGGTTCATGTCTGAGCAGTGAGCTGCTGTGAGAAGGGAGGTGGACCGCCCTGCAGCAAATAAAGGCATGTCTCTGCACAGTGTGTGTGTGTGTGTGAGAGTGAGTGTGAGTGTATGTGTGTGTGTGTCCACCATCAGTGACATTGCAAATGAAGAGAACAGTTGCACTTTTACTCTTAACATAAGTGGGCCCAGATCTCCCGTGGACTCTTCACTTTAACCTGTGATAACAACACATAAATATTTAAATCCACCGACAAACAAGGGCTGCTGAGGAGGATCTGCAATGCGTAGCCAGCCAAGCTCCATCCTGGTGCGACCACAACGTTGCCAAACCAAGCATTAGGCCTACTAATACAAGAATAACCTAGTGTGGTCCAATAACAATGAATCCAGGGAAGTGGTAAATATCAAAAATAAATCATGAGTAAACATGTTCATTTAGATGTACTGAAAGGTCCCTTTAAAAATAAGTATACTGGGGTACAGGGAGTACCTGACACTGGCGAGTTACAAACCGTCTTACAAACACCGCAGAAACTGAGAAACAATTTATATAAAACAAATCTGACTGTTTAGATGAGGCTGATGAGACCACTGGCCAAAAATAGACTGAATGCAGATGACAGAAGGGGGCCGTTTCGTGGCCTTGATTTTATCTTCAAAGTAGCCTACTTCGGATTATTATGGTTTGATATAAAGCCGCAGATAAATATATTAATTTCAATCGTAATGTATTGTGCAATTTCAAGCAGTTTCTTTTGCTAAACTGGATATTATATCGCGGGCTGCACTTGCTGTCGGCGGGATACTCCGCGACATCATCCGCTGCGGCTCGCGAGCTGACCATCCCTGAACAGGTTACTGAACGTGCATCCTTCCTGACCGCACACTTGCTAACGTCTCAGTTTCAACCTTCAACGTTTAAAAACAACCAGAAAGCTCCGCACAGCTTATCACAAACCCCTATATTTCCAAACAACAGAATAAACCTGTCCGACACACACACAGGCAGACAACGCACAACATAAATCCCAGCTTAGTTACCTTTAGCTGCCTCCACCGCACATAATAGTCCGAGGACCAGTCCGACAGCGGATGCAAATTGTTTATTCCCTCGGAACCGCATCCCGACTTCTAGTTCAACGGCGGTGAAGTGAAAAACAACCTTCTTCTTCCCTCGTCAGTCAGCTGAAATGTCTGTCTTACAAGAAAAATAAAATCCAGAAGATGAGTGTCGGTTACCACGGTAGCTCTAAGATGGCCGTCGTCGCCACCGCCGCTCTGCTATCCCCTTCAACCACCGCTTCTCTCGCAATTTTGCAGCTTGCTGCGTTCAGGGACTGTCGGACAAATTGAGACACGTCCCGAGCGTGCTTTAACAGCGCAGACACATTCTTGCTGTGTAGACTTGCGTTCCCCTATGGTGTTTTATGTAACGCCTAATCAACCAATATTTACATATGAGGTTCCTTACTTAGTTAGGGACTTATGTAACATAGTAGTAGCTAAGAACCTACAGAAAATAACGTTATGAGTAAGAGTGCTTTGGTGGCAGTATTTCCTTAGAGTTAAATTCCCAGAATTATCTTAACTTTTATGTTTGTTTTTAAACAACCAAATTAGAATTCCAAATATGCAGTTAAGTTGCTTTTGAACACAATTCAGACCCATTTGTGAAATTTCCCACTCCGAAAGTTTCAGAAGCTTTGCCACATTATTGAAGTTGTGTTAAATCAAAGTATTGAAGAGCATAATCTTATACACAATCGGAGGGTTGTGCCATTTTGGTCAACTCTTCAAATAAAGGTGGGCCCACATCATATCTCTTTGCTGATCTAGTCTGTACATTTGTAGGTTTTGTTTTAACAACAATAAACACACCAATATTTTAACCGGCTGTCCTCTAGATGATCAGTCTTTGCATGTAGTCTATTGTTTTAGAAAATGTGTAAAAAGGCTTTTTCAATTTGTAGGCACGCCACGGCAGCAGCAGTTTCAAGCACTGAAAACATCTCTATATAAGTCTTTATTATTTCTGGTTGTGTCATTTACCGTTTTCTTCACATATAGAGGTGACAGTATAAACAGCCAAAAGCTCTAGGAGCTTTGACCAGTTTTTTTTCCTCCAGAGGTTCAGTTGTGATTTTAAGGTTTTGATAATGTGATGTCATATGAGTAATCAACAAAAAAGCCCTCACATATGCTAATAGTACCTTTAAAAAAAAAAAGGTTGTTGATTATCAAAAACTTTATTGCACTTCTACACTTTCTAAACAGGTCTGAATTACATGTGTAACACTTTCTCCAAAGGGATCTGCTTATATATTTGTTTGACCAACATCTGTGTATTTTGACCGTTTTCAATAGTGACTTGTGGTGGCTAATGGTGTATTGTAAATCAAACTGCATTTCGAAACATTTAAAAGGCCTACACTAAACACAACAAGGGGAGTGCCATTTTGTTTGAGGCAAGTGTATACAGTAAATATAGTGATACCTTTAATATTTATTTCATATCCAAACTAAATTGAAACTCAGGAGGATGTTATTACGAAACTTGATTATCTGCTTTAAAAAAATCCGCAACTGTAAGGACTGGGCAGTTACCAACTCTAGAGTTTTCAAATATCGTCCACAACGTTAGTATTCAGAAGTCGAAGCACGAGAAGAGAACCTGAATGCAGCATGTGTCCAACCATGGCCTGTGACGTCAATCCTTTTATTGTGGGAGAGCGTGCCGGTCGTTCAGCACAGACGGCTAAACTGAGAGCGAGGACGAGGGGGCTGATGCCTTCTGGTGGTACAAAGAGGTCTGTGGGGATACAGACACCCGGTGATAGTCAAAATGTGAAGGGCAGGACCAAGTTAAACACACCGTTTAGAGATGAACCTCAGGGGTTAGCAAATACCTTCAAAGCCTCCTGTGGCCTACCTATGATTATTCAAGCTGTCTTATATAGTTATGGGATTCAATTTGAAGTATTTTTTCAGCCCCCTCAGTTAAAACGTGAGTTTCTCAGTGGTGTTTTAACACTGTCAATATGCACTGCCTTCAGGCTCTGTCTGTATAATGCAGCATGGTAAAATGGATATTTCAGGACACAACCAAACTGCTTATGAAGCTGTGAATCTAAAAAGTTGTCTAATGCTGCATTCTAGACAGGCAGGATGGGACTTGTAAATCTGAAATACATTTATGCGTTAATTTCACTCTGAATTTATTCCTTGGTTGAAGGGACTTGTACAACATTCAATAAAAATGAGCAATCTATTGATCATTTATGAGTCAACCACTATCCTCGCCCTGCTGCAGAGCCATGACAACAAGCACTGTAGAAAGTGAGAACAGCAAGGCCTCAAACTGCAAATGAGGGTGGGGGCTGCTGTCTAATCAACACCCTTAGATATGGATAGCACCCCTGAGGAGTAGAGGATAGAGGCAATCAAAGAATTACTCCCAAACATCTCCTCTGGTTCTTCTTCTCTTTTTTTTTTTACAGCACTCAGCAACCTTGCTACAACTGCAACTCATAAAAATTCATACATAGATGACTTTGATTTGTTTTGGGAGGCTCGGCTGAAAAGGTCAACAGTATAAAGGAAAATTCACATTGCGAGTTAGTCACTAAAAAGTAAACAAGACACCTTGTATCTTCACTCTTATCTACACAGACAAGATTTATCTTTGGTAACAAGATGGTACATTGCATATTTTCATTTTCTTTTGTTTACGTGGATAAAAATGTTAAAGCGTAAATGACTAACAAAGCTTAAAAACTTCTAAAACAAACAGCAACTGTAAATGTTGCATGACTTAAATCCATACAACCTCTATTCAGAGTCAATAGTTGCAATTATCACTGAGAAACTGAGGAGAATGGGGATAGTTGTGTGTGACCACAATGAAGTGATGGGTCTATAAACAGGACAGTGTATGGGCATCAGGGCAGCAGCTGAGCTGAAGCACAATGTCTGTTTGTCTTCACTTTGGCAACACATGAAGAGACAAATGATCAGTGGTCAAGAGAAAATGAAAGCAGCCCCCTCCCTCACGGATGTCCGACACTCTGGGGAAGACAGAGCGACCATTATCATTCCTCTGGGAGACAATGAGCAGCAGTAGGAGGGCTCGGTGGATAGGTGTGAGACATCAGCAAATGTTCAGAAAAGGTGTGACTTCCTCCAGAACACGGTGGCTGCCTGTCTTTTACCATTTCCATAACGGCCTGTCTGCTGTGAACACATGCTTATTGCTTTTAGCTTTGTTCTTAACCATTTGAAAATCACAACACTATGAATGCAACGATTAAAGTGTATGTTTGACCACAATAACTTATCACCCTCAGAGGCATATTGACATGAAGTAGTTTTCTGTTATTACTTATAGTTACAGCCTTATGATGATGAATCAGAGTTAGTTCATGGTTTGCACTGCAATGAAAATCAACACTTCATTTACTCAGAGTGACTTGTCTACAAATTTGATTAATCATTTTTCACTTGCTTTATGAACAAGACTCCTCATACAAGCCTTGACACTGAAGTGCAGTTTCTTAATTGATGCTATCCATTTTTCTAACTGTAAACTACTTTTGGACTTTTAAGGATAGTGTGCAGATTAAACAACCTGCTCATCCCAATAACTGCATTATTTAAAGGTTCTGTGATTGAGGTTCATAGGGTTGTCTTTTCATGTTATTTAAAAATGAACAAGACCATCAGCAACAACAATGACCATTTGTATATCTATTTTACAGTAATATCCAAAAAGGGTGTAAAGGGGTAGGTGTCTGAAGAAATAGTCCTGTTTTTACAATTTCAACAGTGAATATTCATAATATAATGGATACATTTGACTTTTTCTTTCTTTTTTTTTAAGAGATGTTTTAAGCATGCAAAGGACAAGACATGTAAACACTGATTTGTCCACAAGGGGCACCAAAACTGACATGAACCAAACTTTCCTCACAGGAGCTTCATGAAATCATTTATTTTACACAAAATATCACTTTGAAAATAATTCTATAAATTCAAAAGGTTTGAACTTTATCTGTTGCAGCTCTTTTTAATCTTACTTACAGTAACAAATATACATGGTAAACAGCCAGGACTAATCAGTACTGCACTTGATTGAGTTTTTCTGTCTCATCACTGTCAGAGTCTAGGACGATTTCTGATTTAACAGTCTGTAAACTGCAAAAAACCCAATTTTGTTTGGTTTAGTTTTTATTTTACAAATTTATTTAATTTTGAAGAATTCATGGTGTCAGTTTGAAACAGACAGACAGACAGACAGACAGACAGACAGACAGACAGACAGACAGATAGATAGATAGAGGCTTATTTTAAAAACTGACTGAGCTCTTTTCCATGCCTCCAGATAAGGATATGTGGATTAGATTCACCACATTATTTGGATGGTGGAAGGTCATGAATGCCTCATGGCGGCTCATATTATTCAAAATCCTTCCACCTCAGTTTCCATCTTTCTGCCCTAGTTAGACTCTCCGCTGTGGATGGTGACTAGTTAGGGTACACTGTGCTCGGGGTTGAACATTTTCAGTCACTGACCATGGTTAAAGACATTACTGTGAGCTGCAGTCTTTGTGGGCGGTTTGCAGCAGACAGAGCAGAAAAAGACTTTGCTATCATTGGAATCAAAGTGGTTGTGACCATTAAACGGCATAGCTTCTCAATGTGCTCTTTCCTGTCTTATGTCAAGGCTGCAGCCTGTGTCATTAACTTGTGTTTTTATTTCCTCCCTGGCCACCATAAAAGTTAGGAGACTGTTGTAACAGATGCAGCTTCCTGAAAATTATCTGTAATAAAGTTATTGTTTGGAGATTTTATATGACGTTAAAGGTGTGCAAGGAAATAACTGTTTGTTGATGTCTTCATCAAAAAGGAGCAGCAAAAATTGATGAAAACTTCCTGGTATCAAACTAGCCCCAGGCTAGACTTAAAGAAAGGTATTTCAGAAGATTATGCCAATTTGCCTTTTTTCAATATTAACTATTTTGATAAAAATCTGTTAAATAAAGTATATCCAGTGAAACCTGAATGTGTGTGTTGCCTCATAAATTTATAATCCTCAATTTTCAAGGTACATTTCCGTCAAAAGATTAATTTTATACACAGCCAGACTTTGGTCTTTTTTTTTCTGCCTCAGTACGGATGTCTGCTAGACTTTGCTCATGAATACATTTTTTAAAATCCTTGGCTGGGGGAAATTAAATCTTACTTTAGAAGTTCCGGATATTATCGAGTTCTTTTACGGGAGATTTTTAAAGCCGGTGGGTCTGTATGTGCAGAAGTCTGGCAACAAATCACACAGG